ACATATGATCCAGTCCCAGCGCCTTCTCCTTACCTCGGAGTGCCCGCTCGTACATGGCCTCGGCGTCGCTAAGCCGGCCCTGATTCTTATAGAGGTTGCCGAGATCGTTGACCGTGTCTAGCGTCGACTTATGTCCCAGTCCCAGCGCCTTCTCGTAGCCTTGGAGTACCCGCTTGTATATGGCCTCGGCGTCGCTAAGCCGGCCCTGATTCATATAGAGATTGCCGAGATTGTTAACCGTGGAAAGCGTCGACATATGATCCAGTCCCAGCGCCTTCTCCTTACCTCGGAGTGCCCGCTCGTACATAGCCTCGGCGTCGCTGAGCCGGCCTTGATCCTTATAGAGAAGGCCGAGATTGTTGACCGTAGAAAGCGTCGACGTGTGTTCCGGTTCCAGCGCCTTCTCGTAGCCTTGGAGTGCCCGCTCGTACATAGCCTCGGCGTCGCTAAGCCGGCCCTGATCCTTATAGAGGTTGCCGAGATTGTTGACTGTGTCTAGCGTCGACGTATGTTCCGGTCCCAGCGCCTTCTCCTTACCTTGGAGTGCCCGCTCGTACATGGCCTCGGCGTCGCTAAGCCGGCCCTGATCCTTATAGAGGTTGCCGAGATTGTTGACCGTGTCTAGCGTCGACGTATGTTCCGGTCCTAGCCCCTTCTCCCAGCCTCGGAGTGCCCGCTCGTACACGGCCTCGGCGTCGCTAAGCCGGCCCCGATCCATATAGAGGTTTCCTAGGCTATGAAGAATCCACTCTTCCCCTTCCACAGTACATACCCCGTCCATCACCATCTTCAGACAACGATCAGCATGTTGCATCAACCGCCGTTGTACCACCCAGTACCCGCGCTCCGTGGCCGGCGGCACATGTAGCCCCACGCACCTCATCACCAGCTGCGCCATTTCGACATCCCTCACTTCATTTAGCACGTGAACCGTCCACGAGTGTACACAGCCATGCATGCCGTACCCACGCGACTCGGTCCCCCGTTCATTCGCCGGCGTGTCCGCCTCGACCAGCCCGTAGTCGCACAGCACTCGAACCGCCTCGGTAAATCCGAGCGCGTCCTCCGTCAGTTCTCGAAACCATGGCGGGCCGCTCGAGTGGCCCCCGCGCAGCAGCTCAAACCACAGATCCTCGTTGCCGAAGTACGCCCACAGCCGCAGTAGCATCGCCGACGTCACGTTCTGCTGCTCTACCTGCGCGTACGAGATGTCCCATGTAGAGTACAGCGCCCGATCTTCATACGAGATGAGCCCTGGAGTAGTCTTCTGCAGGCGAAGCCACGACTTTCGGTATATCTCGAGGTATTCGGCAAAAGTCGTCGCCACGTTATCGAGATAGGCGCCGGCGGTAGAGAGGGCGAGCGGGAGTCCGTCGAGTTCCTGCGCAAGTTGAACGGCAGCGGTATCTGCATACCAAGTTTAGCCTACTTTCACATTCCAATCACATTCCATTCGAGATCGTTACCTACCATTGCGTAAATCGTGTCTGTTCGAGGAGTGAGCCAGAATTTCAAGGCTGTCTTCAAGGTCCTTCAGCTTCCCAAGCGGGATACGATGGCCGACCGTGACTCTGGACGACCGCGTCGTGATGAGGATAGCGCCGTGATGGGCGTCGGGGAGAAACGGCCGGATATCGTACCCCTTGTCGGCATTTGCACCTCCATCGCCCTCCATTCCTCCATCCCGCCCTTCGTTCGGCCCGCCGTTTCCACCTCCGCCTAGCCTTGGATTGTCATAATTGTCATAGATGACCAACCAGCGGTCGTTCTTACTGTTGTCGAGCCACCGTTTGACAGCCTGCACTGCTTGGTTGAGGTCGCGGCTCTCGACCGCATCCCTCACGTACACGACCGACGGGTGTTCGCGTAAAATACGGTCGGCGACTCTCGCGAATGCCTGCTTCAGCGAGGTCTCGTCTCTGGCGTTTAGCCAGAACACGGCTGAGTAGTCTTCCCGGTGCCGTTTGGTGTATGCCACAGCCAGCTGGGTCTTGCCCATGCCCCCCAGTCCGTGTACTACGGCGACCCGTTTGCCGGTGCCTTCGCCAAGCCCCTTGTAAATCCTGGCAAGCTCTTCCTCCCTTGCGACGAAGTGGTGGACCTCACTGATTTCGGACAGGCTGAAGCCGATTGCAAATGCCGCGTCGGAAGTACCAAGACGCGCTACATCAGCGCAAATTCGTCAGTTACAGTGGCTAACTATAGGATGCTCTCTGTTTCAGGGTCGCCTACCCTTGTCCGCCCTCTTCTCCGCCTCCCAGCGCCGCCGAACCTCTTCGGGGGCAGCACGTGCCATGATCCGGAGGTGTTCCGATACAATATTGTACCCACTGTCCCCTTGTGACGTGTACCTGACCATGTTGGTGTGGTCCGCGTGTATGACAATCGGTTCGGCGTCCGCCTGGCCCGGTACCACGGCGGACGCGCGGGGTACAACCTGCTCCTTGTTAGCTGCCACTAATCTAGCAAGGCAAAGCCCACGTACCATGATAGAGCGGCCAAAGGCCGTCGGAGTCTCGTATTGTTCGTACGCAAACTTGGTCACAAAATCGCCGCTGATCGGCCCGTACTGGCCCAGCTGCTGCTGAAGCCACTCCGAGTCCCGTTCGAGGTGCCTCAGGATCCGGTCATCCGCAGCCACGAATAGGGATGCCACATTCACCAAGAGCCTCCCAAGTTCGACGCCGTTACCGCCCTGGTGCGGCGTGCCCATGAAGACGACTCCATAGGTGGAGGTCTTGATGGAACGGTGCTCTTCCAGAGCACCGCGTCGAGCGGCATCCGAATGAATAAGAGCCTACGTGGTTGTGAACACGGCGGTAAGGAAGGACTGAATAGGGTACTCACGCTCTTCACGACAATGCCGCCCAAACTGTGCGCCACGAAGATGATCGGACGCTCTATTGACTAAGTCTCGTCAGCTAAACTGCCCTAAGCCGGCAAGTAGATATAGCTCCTACATCGGACAGCTTCCGCTTCCTACACAGGTCGGATATGAGCGTCCGCGCATGGTCGTAGAGGTATTGGCAGCTGACTCGGGAGCTGGCATGGGTGTTGGCATCGTAGCCCCAGCAGAAGATGCGGGCGTGGGGGATGTCGTGTGGTAGGAGATCGCGGAGCCAGTGGACGCCATTGCTCGCGGTCCAGGTCTTGTCGCGGTGGCCGTTGAGGCCATGGACGGCGACGATGCTACGAGAGGGAAGCAGTTAGCTGGGGACTCGCAAAACACGACACCAGCGCACGAGGCATTCGGGGAGGGTAGAGAAGAAGCAGCAGCCTACTCGACTGTGGGGTTGATGCCCTCCGTGACGATCTCCAAGCCCTGGGGACAGGGGTCAGAGACTGCGACAGGCGCAGCGGAGGTTGTGCTGGCTTCCGGCGTGGATGTTCCGGGAGTTTCGTCAGACTGTGGAGTGGTGTGGGGTGCCGTTGACGATGATCGGCTGCGGGGCCAGTGGAGCAGCCGCGACAAGCGCGACGGGCGCGACGACATGGCTACGGCCTCAACTTCGAAGTATCGCAGCGGTCAGCGTGGGGAGAATGCTGCGATTGATGGCGGCGATCAGCGACGTTGATGGTCTTGTGCGACTGGTGTCCTTTGATAAACGCCCCTCGTGGTCTTTGATCCGAGGACATTGAAGCCAACGTCTTCAGCCGAGCGGGGGTTCGCCAATCAACTCGCAGCCTGCAAGCCTCAGCCACGCCCGTCCGCTGCTCGACATTTCATTGATGATATCTTTCCCAAGCAACCGGCGAATTGAAAAAAGGATACCTGGACAGTTGAACTGAGTGTACAAAGTGGAAGGTGATTTCGCGAGCGACTGTACAAGCTCTGGGGAAAGCCGATCCACCGCGGAGAGGGCCAAGACGGCCGAGAAGCTGGCGTTCTGCACTTCATAAGCCAAATCTGTGGGGCTTACGCCGCATACGCAGTTTGGCTCTTACCGTAAGAGCAAGACTAGATAGATGAACACATGCATCTACGACACCGGCCTCTGGGATGGTCTGCAGCAGCCCCCGGATAAAACAGCCCTCTCATCGCTCTTTTCTTTCAAGGTGCCTGGATCCCGGCACGTTGTAAGCATCCCGGCCTCAGGATGTACCGCAAGCCCGGAGTGCGGCCGACGCGACGAACACAGTATAAGATATGCCTGGGAGACGCAAGCTTGCATCAGTCCTCAAGAAGAACCCATTATGTCGCCAGAAATTCCAACTACCGCCGAAGCCCGCATGGAAACCAGAAAGAAGGCCAAGAGGCTGGCACTCAAATAATTACGCCGGCGAAGGACGATCCTAAATAACGTTCACAAATTCTCCGAGGAATTCGGACTACGTGCTTACGTTCACCTGGAGAAGAAGGGCCGATGCGGGAGCTATGACGTCTACTCCTCAAACGACCCGATGCACCCAGCGATTGTAAGTCGCGTTCACCAGTCGTGGGTACTGCTAACGTCTCCAAGGCCAAAATTTACCCCATTCCAAACGTGTATACTCCGGCCAATGTGGCTACTTTGTGGAAGAGAAGCGTGGAGAAATAATATCCATAGATATGTAAAGTGTGCAGCTGTATAAGAGATTGCCTTTGGGTATACTGAGACGAGTCATTAAGAAGAACATTGCGAGTCAAGACCTCAATCGAGTTCACATCAGCTAATCTATAACGTATATGACCAACACTTAGGGGGTAGTGAAGATTCGGAAAGCTCCTAAAGGGTCTCTTGGTCATGCTGTCACGTTGCGAGCTAATTATACGAGCTCTTTGGCACTTGCATCTGTTCTAAGAAATGCTACGGAATTGAATACCCGATATGATTTAACAATTCATTGTAACTACTGGTTCTGAATGAGAATATTGTGACCGTCCGCCACGCTATTGATGCAAGCGTAATAAAAAAACGGGGCCCGGCTTATGTGCTCGCTCAGGCGGCCATCTCGAGGGCTGTGTTTGGTGGAACCCCTATGGCCGATCGCGCTGTCGAAGTCGTACCACCAATTTCTTGAGTGCTGAGCTTCGGCTACCTTCGCGATGATCGCTTGGTTGATGGCTTCCTCCCACTCTCTCAGCCATATCGTCATATCCCGGGTTGTCGGGACAGTGGCTTGACTGCCGTCCGGTGTTTTGTCCGTGAAAGGTCGTAGACCTGTGTCTTTGACACACCGACTTGGTCCCGCAGACTAGCGTACCAGACGTCGAGATCGTCTTCTGGCTGGCACGCAGTCGTGAGCAGATGGGGGTTGACCGTCTCCCCAATCCAATCCTTGGAGCTCCTTGATGATCTTGTCCTCCTTGTCATACTTCTCCAATCTTTCGCTGTAGATCTGCCAGTCCAGTTGATAGCTCGTCCTCCCTCTTGTCGTCATCTCGTTGGCATTTTCGGGACGGCCATCTGGATCCGACTTTTCCTCCAGGGCGACTGACGGAGTTCCTTGTGCTGTTCGCTGGAGGTTGATGTCCTTGCGTGAGCCTCTTCTCGTAGTTGTGAGGGTTTGGCTCTGCCGGTTCAGTCAAGAACGCGGGACGGTCTGTCGCATCTGGGCTGATCTTCCAGATATACGTGGGTTGTGCCTTGCTTCCGAATTCTCTGTCCCACGCGTTCCAGTCTTCAGAGTCGTTGAGCCGGAGCTTCTTGATGGCCGAGGAGGACATCGTCGATGGATTGGTCGCTCGCGTCAGGACGCGCAGTGATGATGGACACGTGTTTTGGATCGCGTCGTCGTGCCTGCGCGGGCGTGTTGAAGCTCTCAGATGCTAACCGGGCTCATAACTGTTGAAAGTCATGGTGATTTGACGAATATTGGCTCCACGCAGGGCACTATTCTTAGACATAGGCTCAAGGGGGGGTGGCTGGAGTGGTGAGGCAGGCGTAGGAGCAGGAGACAGGGCTCGCTGCGGTAGAGCCGGGGCTGCCGCCTGTCGACAGGCTAGGATGGCATCTGTCGCCGACTGCCCGGGCGGCAGCGCCCAGAAGCGCAAGTAGTAAGGGGGCAGATCGGGCTTTCCCGGCGTCAGCGGTACACCGCGGTTCCTGAGCGTCTGCAGAAAGACGTTCCGGGTCCCCGCGTTGGAGATGTGAAGCGAGCGCTGGTGGCCTTGCTCGTCGGGCGGGAAGACGTACTAGATAGCCCGCTCGCCAAGTTTAAAGTGTCCAAGCAGGCCGGACAGCGTGTACCGCATGATTATGTCGTGATGTGGAACGGCTCCATCGTTTGGCTGGATGCTGGCTAGGATATCTCGTTGGTAATACTGGGGCTGGCCGGGATCGTCGGGAAATTGGGTTATGCGGACGATGAGGTCTGACAGCGACTTGAAGGTCTTGCCACAGTAGTGCCACAAGAAGGGCAGCTCGGGCTGGTGGGCGAAAGGAGGTGGTGCCGCATGGGCCGGGAAAGCGTACTCGTCAGTATTGCCGCCGTCCCTCAGCTTGGCGGGGGAGGTGCGAGCGTCAGGGCTAAGGGCCTCCCTGCCCCTCTTGGAAGAAGTCCAAAAACATAAAAAAAGGAGTAACTAACCACTAGCGGTAAGAAAGAATCTGGAACACGAAAACAACTATGTGTAAAGTGGGGCCTTTTAAAGCGAGGACTAACTTTTGCATTTTGACACATTTGGGTGGGTATTTAGGTGCATCACGATTTATGGACACCTAGAGCGAGCGACTTCCGGCTCATTGAGAGCTACTCTGAGCTCCTAGCTTAGCAAGAGAAAGAAATGTCAGGCCGTGAGACCCGAGGGGTTGGTACACAAGAGTGAAGGGAGGTGCACGGGTGTCGTCGCAGCGATGTCACATAGAATTCGCAAATGGAACGAGAACAGTGGATTTCTTGAGGTCAATTGCAAGACTGGATTGAACTCTGAACCCCCGAACAACTCTTGGGGCCCCTTGGAACCCCTCGTATCCCATCCTTAGATCGGCCTGAATATGCCCCCGCTCTTACGACGACTTCCTGCTCTGTCTTCTCGCTATCGTTGCGCAGCCTCCAAGCCCCCTCTTCATCCGCCCACGGCCAACCCTAACTCTGGTGCCCTGACAAGAAATCACCTCTATAAATGGAATCCAGTCCTACTCTACTATTATTCAAGGCTTGGTCCTTCAGATCCTGTATCGTATTACTTCCCGATTTGCTTATGCATGAACATGACAAGATCATAGGTAACCGCTCCTATATCCTTCAACACAGCTTGCACCTCTTTTTGATCAAGTAAGTATTTGTGGTTGTACAAGGTGCTTACTATGATCTCCCTGAGCCCCCCGTCTTCCTCTAGGGTAGAGCGGTATACCTGCTGAACTGCGTCAAGGAAGTCATCAACATCGAAGCCTCCGGAAACCGAAGCAACGAACTTCTGAAGCGCGAGGGCCTTGAGCCCACTAATGAGGTATTTCTCAGCGAGTGTGAAAACTTTGGCGTGAGCTAAAAGATCGGGGCGTGTCGACGCGGGCGTTTGATCCGGGGGTGCCTCCTGGAACGCCGCCGTCCCGGCAGCCCTGTCTTCACCCACTCGAGACGGGTCGGCTCGATTCAGGTCATAGTTGAGGCAATAGATATAGTTAATCATCGCATCGACAGCCTCGGAATCGTCGTCTGGGAGGTCAATCTTCCCCTCGGATGCCTCCTGCATCAAGGAAATGTCAGTTTACGGTGATTTTGTTTGCAGGTGACTACTGGCCTTGAACTCTCCACTGCAAGCCGCCGTGAAGAAGCCGGACCTTGGACAAACGATAGCTTTATGGACTCGGTAGCTCTTCCCTTGGCAGGTTATTGTGAGGTCAGAGTAGTTGCCACTGCTATATAGCCTAGCCACAGACTGGTCATTAGCTCTGTATGTACTGATCTTAGAGGAAGGGTATGTCCGTAAAAAAAATAAATACACTTTCAAAGACTCCATCAGCTCCTTGCAAGGTTCACCGTATCCCTTGAGTGACGACTGAGCTGTGGAGCAAGAAATGCTCGAACCTATTTTGAACGCCATCTCTGGGCCCTTCTCCGGCTGCGCGGTATCGAAAAGTTCAGGTAAGAGTGTCTCCGCGTAGGATTCAAAGCAGAATATATTCTCAATAAGCAACTCCTTCAAAATTGCAGCGAGGTGTGGATGCCAGAACCTGTGCGATGCCGGGGCATACTGGCTGATGACTTCTTCAATCTTGCCCAGCTTGCGTATCTGACTGTAACGTGGTTGCGAGAACACTGGCTTCCAGGAAAGATAGATTTCCCTTCGAACAGCCCTCTCGTATGACATCGCAGAAGCATCCCTCGTTCGCTGACACGGGCTTGCGCCGTCGCGGCACTCGGTGGAGTCCTGCAATCAGGCTATCAGTTAGAGTTGACGCAGTCCATGATTAGCGCCTGCCTATACCTACCACTCCTTGTGTTTTGCAGCAGAAAACGGGTGAGTCTGTGCTGCTCAAAGATGTCGCTATTGCTCGACTCAAGTGTTGTGTTTTCCCGAGTTAATACATGTCGTAGGGTGGCGGTCGGCACGGAAGGCGCTCGTCTCCACGTGCCTTGGCCACCGGCGCCCACTAGATTAGTCAGCCCAATTGATTAACGTTATGTCAGCCAAAAAAAAGTTAAGGCTCCCACTAGATGCGCGGGTCCGCGCACATTAGTCAGCCCAATTGATTATGTCAGCCTAAAAATACCCCGCGCCCGCGCCCGCCCCTGAATTGCGTGCCCCTGAATTGCGCCCCTGAATTCCACCACCAAGCACTACTCTGGCTACCTAACTACAGTACATCCGAATACCGCAAAGGACATGCCTTCGAGGTCCTTATATGGCCAACTGCATGGCACTTCGAACACGTGGTTGGGGCCCGCTGGGCCTGGGTCTGGGCCTGAGCCGCCTCAACCGCTTCAAACTGACTGGGCTCCCGCTTAGTACTTGACTGTGGGAGTGAGCTTAGAGCCCAAGTTAGCTCAATAAGCTGGCGAGGCTCAAGGAGCAGCTGTAGGTTGCCCTCGCGCTTCAAATGCCAGTGTGGGTGGAAGTGGTAAAGAAGAAGAACGCCGCCTTGTAAACTCTTAAACGTATATGAGCATAGTAGCCCATATACTCGAGAGAAGGTGCCTATACAAGTAGGAGAGTGAGGGGGGTCGGTCCTTATCAGCAACTTCCGTTATTCCTCTACCTTCCTCATTGCCTCGTGTGATACCCAGCCTCATACTACTCCATAGAGTACCCCTGAGAGTTCAAGAGGAGTACGGATTTGTTGTTTTACCTGGTGTGCTTGTAACTCAGAAAGCTGGTTCTGGAGAGCGAGTTAGATAGCCTTCCAAGCATCAAAGAGATCAAATGTCGACCTCCTCAAGTACGACTTAAGGAGTACATAAATCCCTTCAACTCGCGAGGTAGCCGTATTACCAAAGTGAGCTGACTGATCAACCCAAGCACGAACAAGCTTCTCTTTGAACGGAAGAAGCCACGTTGTTTTGATATATCTAACCTCATTAAGGTACTAGGGAATATATTTCCCCTGCATCTCCACAAGGCGTTTGGTATAGGCCTCCTGAGTTAGCGAGTTGATAATCGAGTACCAGAAACTGTAGAACTCCTTCTATACCTCAGCCTCTTGGAATACTAGTTGACAACGTATAAAGACCGCCTTATTTGCATACCAAATACAAAGGAGTGTTGTAGCTGAAGGGAAGAGAGCTGAAGCCGCATTCATTACTGTAAGGCAGCGGTCTGTAAGAATGACAGAGGGGAGAGATATATTACATTACTGATACAGTGCCTTTAACCGTTCAAGTGCCCAGATATAGTCTTCCTCTGTCTCGCCACTTAAGAACGCAAATGCGATATAAAAGGACCGCTGAGCTGCATCAACCCCAATCATATCGAGGAGAGGCATTCCATACTTGTTGGTCTTATATGTACAATCAAGAAGGAGAAGCTCAGGGTATGCCTGGAGGTAGGCAAGTGAGGTAGGATGAGCAAAAAGAACAGCTGTAACCCGACTATCTGGTGCAAACTGGATTCGGCTCCAAAAACCCTCCTTATCGAGCTGGTTAGCTAGTGCTTGGATTGGACTCTGGCCTTCACAAGCATCACGACGAACGTCTGTAATACGGTTGTAGATATCTTGCCGAGTAGCCAACGAGCCGCTCTGTCGTATAAGGGTCTGAATCTCCTTTGGCGTAAGGCCGGCATTCGACAGGGTCGCAAGCTGTGAGCCGCCTTGAGAGAGCTGTCGGTGGATCGGGTGGGCAACTGGGTGTTGGCTTGGTTCGTGGTTATGGATCGAGAATCGAGTATCAGGACGGTGTTTTAGAGCCCAACTACCATCAGACGACTCCTTGGCTAGTACCGAGAAGGGGCAGCTTATTACTCGGGAGGTCGTTCTTCTCTGACGGTTGACTTGGTTGTTAGGTGGCCGACGGCTTCGATCACAGGCGAATGTAACAGTACATCTCCCACTCTTTTCGGTAGTCGATTTTCCTGTTGTAAACGCATAGCCCCTTGTTCTAGCCCATGCGTTGATGGCCTCGAAGACAGCCTGTCGGGAGCTGTATATATTCTCCGGGGGTAGGCAGTCGTCTGCAAACGTAGAAGGCATCGTTGTCGAAGTTATTGGCGGTGGTGGTGGTGATGGTAGAATTCAGGGGCGCAATTCAGGGGCACGCAATTCAGGGGCGGGCGCGGGCGCGGGGTATTTTTAGGCTGACATAATCAATTGGGCTGACTAATGTGCGCGGACCCGCGCATCTAGTGGGAGCCAAAAGTTAACGTTGCCCCGCGCCCACTCGTGCCCCTGAACTGTGTGCCCCTGAATTGCACCATACTCTGGCTACCTAACTATAGTATATCTGAATACAAGGGCATGCCCTCGAGGTCCTTATATTTGAGAAAGTAAGGATACCCAGTTATCCCAGATGCTGGCACAGTCCAAGAAAACAGAGCAGACACTACAGCGGTTCCAAGTCGTACCTCGACGATGAAGGACGCTATCACCGGTTCAACTTTGACTGTAGGCTCCAGGAGATTGCGACTGCGCCGCGGCGTTGCGTCGAGGCGTAGGTCTTCAAGCAGATGAACGCGTGTGCGAATGCTGTCACAGGACGAGAGTGAAGCCCGCTGAAGCATCATAGCAACGATATCGTAAATGCGCAACGCTATACCTCCGCCACTACTCGTGCTTGTGGTCTTGCTCGAACCGCCGTCTGGTCTCCTCGCCCCGTCGTTCCAGCTTGATGATGGCGTCTCTCATGTATTGATCAAGCACATTCTTGGGCTTCGATAAAGTCGCCGCGCGCCGGTTTCCGAAACAGATGCAGCCCGTCCCAGCTCTGCGCCCTCGACAGCTGCACGTACAAGCTCATGAGGCTGGGTCGAGTCGCCGTACCGCTGGAGTGGACGGCTTTGAGGTTGACCAGAACGTCTGAGAACTGCTTGCCTTGGCTCTTCTGATCCGTCATGGCGAAGGCCGGTGTGCAAAGAGGTCGAGTCCTGTGGGTAACCCACCAAAAACCCGGCTTACCCCTCCATCTGCCTTCCTTGCCCTGCATTTGGCTCGGGACGACGACCGTTTTGCTTTTGATCAAGATGGTGCCGTTGGGGAGCCCAGGGATTGCGAGGCCGGCACTATCGTCCGACTCGAGGAGGACGGCCACGGGGGGTCCAAGATGGAGAGTCACGTCACTGGCGAGGGCGATGGCGCCGGCGGCGAGGTCTGGGAAGATGTCGACAGCCTTGAAAGGTACCCCGTTGACGACCTTCAGCCCGACAAACTGGTTGCGAGTCACCACGACCGGCATGCCTTGCGCGTAGAGGAACAGGCCAGGGGTCGGCAGCCGTGAGTCGTCTCCGTAGCGGAGCACGTGGCATAGCTCACCCATACTCAATCGCTTCCCCGACGTAGTATCGTGCTTGGCCACAAAGACTGGGACGTGTTTGCCGTAGGTGCGAGCCCACTGGACGACGGCGGCCATGTTGAGGTCCTACCGGTATTGGTTGAGGGGCGTGATGGCTCTGAGGCCATCGAAGAAAGAGGACTGGGACGACGGTGTATAAAGGCGGTGGTATAGCCGCTGGAAGTCTAGCTCGGTCTGCTCACCGTTGCGCAGGCGCCGGAGGAAGCCCCGCAGCCATGGACAGCCGGCCGTGCGGACCTGTTCGCGGAGGATGACGACGGCCGTGAACCGGAGGAACAGCTTATGCGCAGCTAGGTACCTTGTAGCGCTGTCTGGTTTCTGTCCGCCACAGTCCCTCGGCATTGGCAAGAGGACGCTGGACTGTAGGACGGGGTGACTTGTTAACCAGATTCGATGATTTTGACATAGGTATATTATTGGTAGACAAGAAATTCTGCCGAATGAACTCCCAGTTGTCGGCGAGGATTACCAGGATTCGAATGTTGGAGTCGACCAGCTGAGGTCCAAGAAAACGGTTTACAAGTCATATACAGAAACGCAGTCCTGCACCTCACCCTCTTCGTTCCATGGAAAGGTTTCAGGCTGAGCCGGCAGACGATATACCTGGACTTTGGCGATTGCTCGAGGGGCAGCTGGGCGCCCGAATCCGCTCACACGTCCAGAATATCGCTCTGCTACGCGTCTCGGCGGACGATGCCCGTGCTGATCGAAAGCTATAAGGGCTAGAACAGGAAAACGAAGACACCGTCGACGGGTTCAACTTTGACGACCAGGAGGTGGACGATGCCGGCGTCGGGCTGGATATTAGGGGCGTCGATCCACGGGACCATTATGAAGCCTTCTTGGATGTCCTTTCAACGGTTCGAGGCAGCGAGATCAGGGATATAATAGCGACCTCGGCCCTAAGGCGCTTAGAAGAAGAGGCGAGAGCAATTGACCCTAGCTAGGACAGCAGCACTGCCGCCTAACGCGGTTGCCAGTTTTATACCATGCTGTAGGATCTGCAAGATTCGCCTTTCAGAGGCATAGGACTGCTCAGCCGCAAGGAGATCGACGCGGTATTGAAGGTCCAGAAAAAAGAGGACAGCAGCGTGACGGCGAAGATCCAGGGAAAGCAAACAAAGCCTTCTTCTACGCATTCCGACGAGCCCCACACTAGCCCGCAATGGCCGGTTCACAGAGGCGAAGGAGCAGCAGATGGGGTCGGTCCAGGCGGACAGATACGGCTGGAACTCGGCCGTTATACAACACACGTTGATATGGCCTTGGGCCTCACAAGGCAGTAGACTCTGAACAAGCTCCAGTCGATGGCAGTGTTACTACCGGCTGCGTTCCTCGACGAGCGCGGCACGCAGCTGCAGGAAGAGGGGGGTTAGCAGCACTTCTAGTACGTCGGCGGTAAAGGCGGTACAGGCAAACCCCGTGTCATCCACGCCATCAAGGACATGTTCCAGCTGAAAAATGGCCTCTACACGCTGCTCCTAACAGGCGCTAGCGGCAACGCGGCTGCGCTCATCGGCGGAGTGACGCTGCACTCGGCGGCAAACATTACGTTCGAGGGCAGGGCCGCGACAGCCAAGAACGTCTCGGAAGAAGAGAAGCTGCGGTAGAAAAACATGATCATGCTGATTATTGATGAAATCAGCCAGGTAGGCAGTCCTACACTTACGGCAGTGGACAGCCGCCTGAAGCAGTATAGAGACGACCGGCATCGACCGTTCGGCGGAATACCAATGGTCTTGTTCTTCGGCGACTTCTTCCAGTTCGACCTACGACACCACGACCAGCTGGCCCCAGAGGAGCCGCAAGCAGAAACCCATTCTCGTCACCAAACCGTGCCCCAAAGACCGCAGAACGCAAAACGACCGAACTAGCAGCCAGCCCTGGAGCAACCGTGGATTCAATCACGGCCGACTCTGCCTTGGTGTTTACAGTTTCATCTTCAGGTATATACGCTGCCTTCTGGAGTTATGACTCATCTATATTTCAATCTAGCTGACAATAGCTCGAACGATAGTTCGGACATAGAACAATCGTTAGAACCTCAAATCGCTTCGAGTAGCAGTACCCCAACAAAGAAGAGGAAGGAACCAAACTGTCCTGAACCGGTCAGAAGCTAGAGATCTACAGCGGGAAGGAAGAAGGCGTGGTTGTATGACTAAACCCAATATTGACCGAATACGAAAAGACCATATTTGCTTGCTTTCCCAATACTCGTCAACTTCAATGCCCAAGTGTCAATCGCAGGACGGCATTTTCTGATGCCACTATGTGCCACTATAGGCTAACTGTGCCAGCGCGTTCCTCCAGGCTTTCTTTGGCGTGCCCGTGCGCAGCGGGCACAGGCATGTCCAGTTTCCCGGTTAACCAGGCGACACCGATGTTTACTAACTTCGAAAGTGAGGATCCCATCTCGCCTCCCGTTGGTCCTCTCAGCGAGACAGCCTGGTCAGAAGGCATTCCTCACAGCGGTATGCGTGTATAAATCGCGCCCCCCTCCTCTTGTCCTATATCCCTGTCATCGACAGACCGCTGCTATCTCCTCATGGCTTTAGAACATACGCGTCGGTCGACTATTGGGTGGAATAGGCCGTTGATGAGTGGGTACAAGACCTAAAGGGAAGGCAGGATCTATCCAGGAAAGGCCATAAGAAGGCGCCATGCCCGTAGTACGCCTCGAAAGGGCTGTACTCTATCAGCGAGCGGACGCACGCTTCCTGATTTCGGGATTGTCGGAGCGCCGCGAGAGCCGCTAGGCAACTGGTCCGAGGCGCGATGACAAAAGATTTCAACATAACGAACCACCGTAGGAACGACGTAACATTGGCTATTTGAGCTGCTCAATCGACTCCCGATCCTCCTTCCCCGAGGGGCACGGTGTTAGGTCAGCTAAGCGTCTCCCTCATGGGCGAATACAGCCGCGTGACCCACCATCCCAACGCTGGATCCAGTCTGGACCCCCTTAGGCCTCTCAGCGCCTTGGCAAGATTTCTCCAAGCAGCGTCTTTGAGCCAAGATGACCGTCGCCGCCGACGGGGCCGGTGATACGCGGCAGATAAGATGGTGGAAGCCTTGCCGTCCACCAGCTGCCTGGAAGGAGCTCATTCCACCGCTTTCTTCCGTTATATCGGCGATCCTTCCTCTACTACTTACAGTTAAAGAGGCTGGCTGCCACGAACCTGCACGGTTTCTCTCCCGGATCCAGGCCAAAGCCTCGGAGTAAGAGAGAGTCTTAGTACTTCTCAGCTCAGGGGCGACCTTAGCGAGCACTTCGAGAGGTAGGAATTCATCGTCTAAATCATCGTCCAAGGCCGGCTCGTAGCAGACGTTTTGGGTTAGCATGGCCGCTTGAGTTACATAGCCTACTACTACTGTAGTTATATCAGACTTATAGAGAAAAACTGTTAAGTAGGGAGATCCAGACCGCAGTATTTGGGAGGGAAAATATAAAGGGCGAAATCTCCTGGTGACCTTCCATTGGCGTTGTCGGCTTAATCATATCCGTCTAGCCCGCTGGCCTTGGACTCCTACCCATCTCCGCCAACAGTCTGCTGTCGACAGTCTGTATCGCCTAGCTTTCAGATACTGCGCTACCCAAATTGAAGTAAGCTGCCAGACCTTAAGGGGGCAGGAAGAAAACGAAGTCCTGATGGACGAAGCAGGTATCCGGCACGGTCTCGGCCAGAAGGCACACTCCTACAGACCTACCCTCCCTCTACCATTTATCGATACTCCACGTAAAGCAGCCGATGATCGCTGTCCTCGCAGCGTATAACGATTAACAATCTACACCGGACCGTAAAGGCTATGGCGACCGTAAGGGCTACGGGGGGCTACGATGGGACTGCCTATTACGGACATATCTTGGCCCGGACCAGATATATGAAGTTTGGACTCTCCGTGCGGTAATAAGAGATCACTGTCCTTGTCTTGTCTGCCTTCCTAAGAATCGGCAGACAGGATCTTGGACCAGCAGCAGCTGTAGATGTTGGCTGGACAACGGAGAGACGCCGAAGCAGTGTTTGCCCAGACGAGAGACACGAGTAGGTTGCTTGCGGTACTGGCATAGGCGTCTCAGTTTAGGGGAAGCTGGGACTCTTTCAGGATGCCCAGGTTCTAGTGGAACTTGAATAACGTTTTGACGATTAAAATTCTCCAACGCGTAGTGGTTCGTATACTATTGGTTTATCTCAAACTCCCCGATTCGGATACGGCTTATATCAGCCTCCGTCTCCTACGTTGTCTTACTCTTCAGCCCCTTCTATTCTATAAGGTATTCGGTCCTCCTACACCGGATCCGTTTCCCGAGTAACCGCTGAATCGCAAAGTCGTTTCCTTCGTAACCCGCCTTATACTCTGCCACCAACTCAGCACCTATATCTTTCCACTCCTCCCATATATTATACTCGTTTCCAAACCCCGCCCACCTCACCAGGTACCAAGTTATCCTCCCTCGCGTCCATTTGCCAAGTAATATATCGACTTCCTATATGTTGGTCTTGAGCTTAGTATCATTTGAAGCTGGCTTGCGGTTCGCGGTGATATCCTTGTCCTTCACGTATCTCGTGCTCCTTTGTATCGCCGGACGGTGCATCTTGGCTGCGGAAACGGAGCTTCGATTCTCCGTCCCATGGTGCCATAAGTCCCAGGTAGATTACACCATAGAAGTGGGCGGCAAACCGCCCATTGTAACGCGCTTAAACACCGCGTTCCCAAGGGGCGATTCCTCGAACATCGCGGCGGTTCTGTCGCTTTCCAAGGTAGACTCTTATGGCGACAGCGGGTGGGCAGCGCCGCGCTTACCCTGGCGCTTCGGGCGCCAGGATGATCTCCGAGCCTCCCTCGATGAAGAGTCACCGTAGTCGGGACGGGTTTGCCGCTGAGAGGCCGTTCTGCCGGTTGCAACGGTCACAGTGCTCACCTTGCGGCGCTTGCGGCACGGCGGCCCGACAACATCATCCTTCTCGCTGTGCTCGGCGTCGCTGTCTACCGTAGGACAAGAGTCCTTCCCATCATCGGCATCGCAAAGTCGACGACGACCGATAAGATGCTGAGGGATAGGCCGGGCTTGACTGGCGGATGGCTGCATGGATGACTGGACGGACTGCTCGGCACCAGCCAGCTCACAGTCGTTGTTGCTCTCATCGTGGGACAACCGCGGTATGCCCGCCGCACTCTCCTGTGCTTGCGGCGACACGACGGTACGGCCCTCTTCATCCTGCTTTTTTGTGTCGCCCGGCACCAGTGGATCACGTTGTGTTCGGTCGCTCATTTGGCTGCTGTCGTCCTGGTGCTCATGGCCCTGGGAGAGGGGGCGGCTGGCGAATGTCTGCTGTGTTTCAACCCCGCAATTGGAGCTCGCGCTCCGTGGACTCTGGGACCGGAGGGGTGGCTCGGTATCTGCTAGCTCGAGATCGATGATGCTCTCGTCGCCCCGTAACAATGGTGTGCTTGCCCGGCTTTCCTGAATTTGCGACGGCACGACGGGACCGTCCTCATCCTACTCTCCTATATCGCCTGGGACCGGCGGATAACAGTGTTCTAGATCGCTTGTCTGATTATTGCTGTAGCGACGATCGTTGGGCGGAGAATGGCGGCAGCTATCGGGCCACTGCTGTATTTCAACCCTGAGGCTGGAGGCAGTGCTATGTAGACTCTGGGGGGTGTTGAGGGAGCTACCAGGTAAAGTATTCGGGCGGTAGGGTAGGCTGTCTGCCTCGGCTCTTAACTCTTTGGTGAGCTAGTACTTGCGGTATATTTTTGTAGAGAGGTTGGGGTGCTGGGGACACCCGAGACCCTGTTAACAAGAATTCCCCGTACAGACGTCTTTACGGCGGTGTAAGCCGAGGGCGTCGTCGTCAGACTCTTCGTCGATAGAGATTTCAATCACGTCGTTCACTGGAATCCTGGTACTACTAGGCTGTAGACCGCCTATATCCTACGGTAGCAGTGGAGGTGATGAATCTGCTAAAGCGTGCCAGTACCGTAGCTCAGTCATCGAAGAAAACTTCAAGATCGTACCTGTCCCAGTCACACTCTTAGAATCGAGTTTATTACAAGGCCGGCCCTCGTCAAGGGTGTGTGGTCGGACTCGTCACCGGCGGACATTTTGATCCCATCGTTCTTCGGTGTCCTAGTACCACCCAGCTGTGAACCACCTGCGTTATACAGCTCCGGCGGAGGTGGCAAATGTAAAGGGTTTCCGGAGACGGCCGAAAACGGGGGATTCTGAGCCAGAAGACCGCGGCTTGTAAGCTCAAGGTCCGCCGTAGTAGGACGAGTGTAAGAGTTTTGGTAATCAAGGCAGACTGTTGCCATAGTACTGCCAGTAATATTGTGCTACTGAATTGCAGGATAATAGTTGAGGCTGGAAGGAAAACGGTGCTGAAAGGATCTAGTGTGGAAGCTGGCCGTCTTCGCACTCCCGGGTGCTGGGGAACGAGCGAAATAATTATATCCGCATTTGTCGATACTCCTCGGGAAGCAGCCGGTGATCGCGGGCGCTACCACCCACCCACCCGTATGGTCGCTCAAGGTCGGCGACCTGCCCAAGTCCTTCTTCCCCCTCTTCCCCCTTTTCCCCCCTCTTTGTGACTCCTCGGTAACTCTTCGCCGCCTCGGTCCGGGCATGGTCGAGGTACGCCGCGCTGACCAATCTGCCCCAGAGAGTGTGTTCTGCTGGTCGAGGCCGCGTCCTCGTATTGCCGGTTATCTGCAAGAATCAGGTTTTTCGTTGTCGGGGGCTGCACCAGCAGACAACCTGGCACCGTCGGCCTTCCCGAAGGCCGCGTCTGTCTCGCTGTCAATGCGACGACAACAAGGATCGCCCACCATACGGCGTTGCTTCACACCGGAAAAGGCAGCTTCCGCAGGATGTTGTCAGAGCCACGAATCATAACCCTGACCCGACACCGCGATCCACCGTATCTCTCCAGAAAGTAGCTCAGCAGGGAGGCTCGGATCATACAGCACTCGCCTCGTCCCTTCCTCATGCGACGCTCCCTAACCTCCATCCTACACCTCATCCCTGTTGTCACATTACTGGTGCCACCAGCAGCAAGAAATAGGGGGCACCGAGCTGCCTCATACGCGCGACAGTCCCGTCCCTGTGCTATCTCGCTCCTGCGGCGTGACTCGCGAACCGCCCGCTAAGCCGGAGAGGCCACGTCATATTGAGCCCGCCTCGTGACCTCCCCAGTTCGGCAAACATTGTGACCTCTCCTTAAGATCTCTTCCCGGTTGGATCGCCCCTGACCGAGGCCTCATCGTCCTTGTTGGCTCGGCCCCCGCGAGCCACTCGCAGAACCTCTGAGGCCACGCCATGTCCAGTCCGCCTCGTCCCCTCCACAGTTGGGCCTACGCCGCGCCTTTCCCTCAAAGGGCTCTCCCGGGTAGATCACCCCCGACCGAGGCCTCATCGTCGTATCAGCACACCATTCCTCCGCCATCTATCGATACTCCGCGCGAAGTAGCTGGTGATAATGGGCGCAGCCATCCCCTCCCCTCCCCCTACTACGTACACATATATATACATATGGTTGCTCAATGTCGGCAACCTGCTAAGGCCCTCCCCCCTCCAGCCAACCCCCCTTCGGTAACTCCTCGGTAACTCCTCGCTGCGCCAGCCCGGGTATGGTGCATGACCGACGCACGCTGCGCTGACCAATCTGTCCTAGAGATAGTGTTCTACTAGTTGAGGCCGTGTCCTATATCGCCGGTCATCTGCATGAATCGGAATTTTCGTCGTCGGGCCCGCGCCAACAGACCACCGGCTACTGCCGTCACCCTGTCACGTTCTTCCCTAGGGCCCGCATGACCGCCCTTTTCCTGGCTTGGTGATGCTTGTCTTTCTTAACCAAAGAGCCAGAGCCACACTCTGCAGCCCTACGCGCGGAGCGCCCCCCCACACAGCGTGAGGACTGCTCTCGCTCTCGCTCTCGTCCTCGTTTAGAAATCTAACGTATACGGCTGCTCAATGGATAAGCGTCTGAGGGTTACAGAGTCTTGCGTTGAAAACAGGGTACGGCCTTGGATATATAGTAGGAAAGAGAAACATGACGGGGAAAGCTAGAGATCGTTACCTCCCCTAACCTCCTGAACTCCTGAATCGCAAGGTGTAGATAATCAGCTGGAATGATGAGGGCGCACACGGTAGGTATGCCCCTGTCTGTGACAACCAGTATGTAGTGCGACTTTACCATTGGCTGGAGTACGGGGCCAAAATTAGGGAGAAGAGGGCGGGGAAAAAAAGGAGAGGCAGGTAGGAAGAACAGCCGGTCCCCTCTCCCTCTCCCTGAGTCGGGTTCTCGGCCGGGTGATGAGGGAGCGCGTTGGTAACCGGGGCAGGGCGGCGGCGCATGGGACCGTCGGTGTTGCACGTGGTGAATGCGCTGCGTCCCCATTGGCCGAGCAGAGCAAAACTTGGAACCCGGGATGTAGGAGGAAGTTGAAAAGAGGAAGTTGCAAATGACCAGGCGAGTGAGGGCGCGGTGTATTTATGAAAACCTGACGACTTGATCAGTGAAGGGGCCGGTACCTAGGCTCGCCAGTCGAGGTACGAGATAGTGGTCCGAGCGCGGGACCTGACCGGCCAGGCCTGGTGGGTCGCGCAAGGTAGAGCGGAGCAATCAGAATTCGGCAGTCCCGACCACGGCATATGTATTCCACAAATGACTATACACTCCCATTGCATATCTCCCGACGTTCCTCACGCTTCCTGATTCTTTTCGCTGCTCCGGTCAAGCCATTTCCCCCTCTCCTGATATCGTTCCATCTCCCAACGAACCGGATCGAATAACGCCAAACTCTAACTCCAGAAACCCCAACGTCAACCCCCCTTACTCCCCGGCAATCCCCCATAACTCACATCATAACCTAAGTTTCTTAATATACCCCATTGCGTCAATCCCAACGCTTTCCTTCCCCCATCACGTACTAACTGTCTAGTGCCCGGCATGGGCCCCAGCAATTTCAGCAACAGGTGTCCTCCCGGCCATTGCAGCGAAACACAGCTGGGCAGAATGGGCGAGGGCCGATGATGAGTGTAGTTTCGTCGTGGTCTGCTGCTGCTGTTGCTGCTGCGAATGCTGCTTCGATCGTTCTTGTTGTCGTTGTTGTTGTCCCCGTACAGGCATCCGGGAACGACCGGTCACGCCACGCAGGTCAGGAGGATGTGTATGCCGCGGGCGTGACGGGGTGGTTGTTGATACCCAAGTATCCTCGGTAATAGTCGTTCTTGATTCTGCCCTGCCTGGTCTTGCTGTGGTGGGGGGTAATGCTGACGAGGGTGTTGGTGGAGGCGGCGGTGGAGGTTGGGAAAGGGGTTGGTCCGGCTCGGGGGTTGAAGGGGGATCGTGCTCAGTCCAGAGATGGAAGAAGTCGATTTGTTGCATTGTGATAAAATAAGGTAATTAACCTCAATAACGATGCATGGATGGTGGGTGGGTTGTGATACTATGGTTGCTTTGCAAGTCGTTTCTTTGATCGCTTTCCCGGGAAACCCTTTCTTAACCCTAGACGGTCTATCCCGGCATTTTAACGGTCGGTTTGGAGAAAAGAGTTGGTGATATCATCCCCGTTGATCGACCACCACGCGTGGCCCGGGTTGGTTGTCCGGGTTGTCCTGACGTTTTTATTGTGGGGCCGCTTTTTGGATGACAGCATCTTCGCCCGTCGACTTGGGGCGGTTTTTGAGGGAAGGGAATTGGAGGGAAGCTCAATGTTCTCGTCATTTGTTTGGTCCGTAATGATTCATTAGAAGCTCACGTGGACGAGCAGTGCCTCTGCTCTTTCTCCCCCAAGGCAATATCGTCAGTCTCAGGAAGATTCTTCAGAAACCCGGAGATGCTCCGTTCAAGGCCGGCGCTGAGCGGCCCCACTTCTCCGAAGCGCCCCGGCACACAACCAGAAGGACACGAGAGTGGATTGTCTGTCAGTGAACTTCATAAATAGATTATGATACATTACAAGTTTCTCATATTACGCTTTTATACCTTCATGACATAGTCGTCCATCACACATCTTCGCCGAGCTCCCTCAATTTCTTCCGGTCCTCTTCCTTGGCCTTGTCCGAAACATGCGGGTTCTTAAGTGCAGCTTTCAGACCCCGGATTCTAAAAAAGGTATTAGTATCTCATCGCAGGGGCTTCCAACGTGTGCCACAACACTGCAGTCCCAGTGAAAACGTACACATTCCCCTTATCCTTATCCTCCACGGCATGGTGCAAACCACCAGGCTCGCCCACCGACGCCCTGCGCGTCTTCCGCGACGCCGCCCCAGCACCCTTCTCCACCCCTCCCGTAGTGCTACCGTCACGAAGAACGTGTCCCTCACCGGCTCCGGTGCCGGGGGCAGTCGCAGCCGGCGCGCTCTTCTTGCTGGCTGAGGACCGTCGTTTGGGCTGCAGGGTTGCTTCGGGAGCGGCGGCGGCGGCGGCGGCGGGCATTGTTTCGCCGTACTCGGTGGCCAGCAGCTCGCGGTCGTGCTGCTTGGCTTCTTCGGAGACGTGCGGGTTGTGGAGGGCCGCTTTGAGGCCGCGCTCGCGGTTTCGTGCTTCGGCCATTTTTGTGTTGTCGTGGTGTGATGGTGATTGTTGTTGTTGGCTTGTTTCGTGAGTTTGAAAAGAGGGAGGCTGGCTGGTTAGTAGAGAGGTGGGAGACAACTAAGATTCGGCGCGTGATATACCTGACACCCCATCTGATGCTGGGGGTTGCGCTACGAGACCATGACGTAGGGCCGTGTAATCCCATCATGTAGACCGGCCTAGAGTCTCGCTTGCTTAACGACACGAAGATAGATGTTAAACTCCGTCTGGGATACCCCTGAGTTGTCATCCAGCAGTACACCCCGCCTTTCCGTGGTGAAAAACGCGGCGGGCTGCCCAAGTCCCTGGATACCCCATTTTTCTACAAAAGTGAAAAAAGATTGAAAAGAATAAATCAAGCCAGCGGCAGTGTAAATCAAGATGTTAAACAAAAATACTATAACCACCTGGATACCATTGAAAGATCGACGCTAAGGTTAGTTAGTCTTCCCCTGGGAGGAACAGCCTAAACAGTGTTTTCTTTTGTTTATCGTGTTTAGGTTTCATTTTCCAACGCAGCCAAAACTTGGTCGGCTCGGATTCTAGAGGCCGGTTCTGTTTCCAACATCCGATATACAAGTCCCTCAACTAGATCCGTGCGATCTAGCCTCTCCTTGTGAACGGCTACAGAATTGAGCCAGGCTACCATCTGTCCTCTCGCCGTGTTTGTCTTGTCGAACGCCTCAAAGATTGGCCAAACCTTGACTGTTTTGTCTGGTAGGGGGAACTTCTTAAGCACATACAACAGAGTGATCCCCAACGCCCACATATCCCCAGATGCACCACGGTTTGCCGGGTTCTTGAGGAACTCGGGAGGGATATAACAATGGCTGCCTCCTGGCAACTTCCCGTCACCCGTGGCGGGGGTTGCCATCTCAAAGTCAATGAGAACTGCACCACGCCGCCGCGAATACGTGATGTTGGCAGGTTTGATGTCGTTGTGGGCGAGGTGTTGTTCTGTGTGGAGATAAGTAAGGGCGGACGACAGGTCTCGTAGGATAGTGAGTGCGTCGGAGGGTTGGAACGGTGACTCCGTACCGCGGTTAAGGGAGGAGGGTAGAAGTTCTAGGTAGACGGCAAACATGCGACCGTCAACTGCCCGAAGAGAGACGATATTTCTCTGCGTGGTATTAGAGCGATGCAAACGCGGTAATCACCTAATATGTACACAATTTGCTTGAACATTTGGATGCCTACTTACGTGGTGTAACCGTTCTAGCATTTCCGTTTCCATCCGCCATCTCCGGACACACTTAGTCAAATTGTTGGAGGACATGCCCTCGTACCTGATAACTTTGGCCACAACTGGCTCGGATAACTCCGAGTGCTGGCTGGCAAATACACTCGACGCGCGGTTGATGGCAATCGCACCAACTCGTCGTAAGCGGTAAGATTCTAGGCCGGGAGTACTTATTGGAGCCGTCACCGTTCCCGCCGCGGAATGGATTGTTCTCACAATCGCTTCCTCCCCATCCTGTAAGTCCAAAAGCGTTATGCCCGGCTTTCTGATTTGCCGTAACACAGGCGATGGCGGTGTGGACGTGGCGATGGCACCGGGGCCCGGCGGATCCTGTTGGTCAACAGCAGCTGGGGCGACCAGGATCTCAGAAACATCACCGTCCACTCGGCGCCGTTTGCCTGAAGCCTCGTCATCGTCTGGTGCGGAGCGCCTGGCTGACCACGAAGTGGTAGGTGGTGCTTCGGCAATATCCACGACGAACTGCCGCCGGAGGACGCAGAAGTCAAGCAAGTGTTGACGAGCGGCCGTACCTTCTGCGATCGATATTCTCCACACGCCAGGCGAAACCACGTAGCGATCATCTCGGGCCAGAATTGGCCGATCATTCCCAGTTGGAGGGACGGGGGTTAGGTGTATGCCGCCGCTAGACTCATTAACCAAAAGGCAATCGTCGCTAACGGGATCATAATAAAGCCGGCACTTGAGCTGCCGTCGTTGCAGTTCCAGGGTGAAGTTGTTCTGGGACCAGAACGGAATGTCAATGACAAAATCCACATCCTGGGTCCGTTGCACCACGCCAACTGTGTTCCAACCGGCGATGTCCTTGGTGAGGGGAACGATGACGGAATTCGGGCCGTCCGGGGCATTACTTGCGGGCCAAGCAAGTGCCAGCCGGGCATCCGGTAACGTGGCTAGCGAAGCGTCGGCAAAAGCTCCAGCCAATTCTTCAAGCGGCGAGTTGTGGGAGGCCAAAGTCGTGGGTATCAACTGAGGTTGTTCCCCGGGAGGTTGAGGCGCCTCTCCTTGCTGAGGTATCGGCAAGGTCACTCCGGCCTGCCGACGGACTTCGGCCGAGTCGGTGAAAGGTTGTGTAGAACTAATAGAAGTATAGCCGGACATAGTACCTAGTTATAGGCCGAAGACGCCACTGTTAGTATGAAGATGAACCATGGAGACCAATCCTACCCCCATCTTGAAAGAAGGAAAGATGGAGAGAAAAAATAAAGAAAAAAGGTGGAAGGAACGATGAAAATTAGGAAAAAGAAGGTCGAGAATATATTCATAAGACAATGAGAACTGGAGTGGTAAAGAGAGTACACGAAGTAATTAGATTCAATAACGATGTAAACCCGAAAAAGAAGCAACGAAAGAGAGAGGAAGAAGAAGAATACAAAGAAATAGAAAAAAGATCTAGACTTGGGAAAATATAAAGGGCAACGTCGGCTACCGTTATCGGATGAGAGATTCATGCCATGTAACAGTGTAAGTGTCTGGGTGGAAAACTTACCTCAGGAGGGTCGCTTGGATTTTGTAATTGTGACGAGCTGGATGTCACAGTATAAAAACAGACGATTGTGTTTCGTCACACTAGAGGTAGAGAGAACGGACTGAAGGGTTGTGTAGAAGGTTGGTATGAGGGGTACGAGGGGAAGATCATGATGCTGCCTGACCTGCGCAAGGCTGGCCTGACGCAGCCTCGCTCCTCTTCCGAATGTCGCAGAACGGTTGTGCAACAACAAAAATGCACAATCATTGCCCTTCGGACCTTTCTCCTGCCTGTTTCGCTATGTGATTGGTTGAGGAAGCCGTTTGGTGAGCCCAGATAGTTTTCTAGCTTACATGATTGGTCGACATGGTTTGCGAGTGGGGTACGTGAGAGCCGCCGGCTGGAAATGCCAGGAAGCGGGCCGCGCAACAGGGACCCCTTGCCTCCCTCAAGAATAAGTGGACACCGAAGCTTTTCGGGACCTTCGCACCTCGCACCTTCCAAACAGCAACTCGAGCTCCGGTTTCTACCACGATCCATCTACGAACGCACCACCGTCCTTTCCTCTTCTTATTCGGCCCATTTTGATATCACCGACATAATGCCCTTCTCGCCCCCAAGCGACACCTGGGATAAGGATGCCCGATGGCGGACCTTTGCCAACGTCGGATGCCGCGACACGAGACCTCTCTGGGCAGACTACTGGCCCCGGTTTAACACCATCACCATTCCGCTACTTGACGAAGATGCCTTTTTTTCAGATGCTCTCGCCGCCGCGAGGGAAGCCAAGGATCGCAACCATCTTGAAGAACTCCTCGCCGAGAAATCCAAAGCTCGCCGAGCCGAACTGGAGGGAGTCTTGGACAAGATCCTGCGCGCGGCAATATTCGATACGAACCCCTCGTCACCAGAGCCTGCGTGGGATGCTGCGGAAAAAGCTGGGAGGTCCGGGAGTCTGGATAGCTTTCTCCAGTTAGCCAGTGGTGTTGTTTGGGGGTGGGGAGAGAAACAAGTTGGGGAGCATAAACCACAGCCCGAGGTCGAACCTTTATCTCAAACCGGGACACAGGAGGGGCCCCACATGTATTCGCCCCTTATTCATGTCTCCGACGATTGGGATCTTATGGATCACGGTATAGGCCCTGCAATCACCGAGGTACCGGCTTCGCCAGGACCATTGGAGCTACCGCTGCCACTTCCGTCCTGCGGCACGCAGGCTCAAACGGAAAGGGCTACGCATGAGGCCCAGCGTAACCCACAGGAGAGGTCACGAACGGGACGGACGGTGGCCTCGAAGATACCAGAGCTGACGGCGAATATAAGCCCGGAAAGTTCTCAAATGTCACATCCCCTCGATGCGTCTTTAACGGACTCTACTTTGCCACCGTCCCCGAGCGATTCTCCCCCTTCATGCGCAACGTCCCAAACCACGCCGAAAACACCACCAAATCCTCCTCGCGATGCAGAAGTCGACATACCACAGTCACCGCGCTCGCCGGAATGTTCAAGGCCACGGCGAGAAGGAGCCCAATCACCACCTGCCGATGCTTGTTTGCAAGGCCCTGTTGGACAATCGAAACCAAGGGGAAAGAGGGGATTTCACGAGTTGGAAGATCCTGGCGTCGACGATGCATTGCGGGTGAAACAAATGAGGCGAGACGTGGGATGAAGAGTTAGATTGCCTGTTGGGAACCATGGGAATTTGGTAAAAGGCAACAGGTGACAGAGAGAGAGCAAAGTATCACTATCACCGTGAGACAACGGAGCCCGAAAGCTGTTGGTGAAATCCCATTAAGCCTGCTGCTAGGGACTCTATTCTAAAGTACTGTGTACTGGACCCGGTTACAACTTACAACCCAAACGGCCACGTCTCGTCATACTCCAGCGGGACATGTGGCTGGTGCACCTCAAGGGCACCCACATGCCTGGTCTGGTCAAACCACAACAGCGCGTCCAGCTGCTCTGGCAGCACCGTGGACGAATAGTGCGACTGCCTCTCGGCGTGCGGTGCATAAATCACCCCGATGAACCGCTCCAATCTTTTCTTCATCAGCTCCCTCCGCAGGCTCGGATCACACCGTCCCTCCCGCAACTCCAACGCAAAGTTCGGCACCCCGGTCGCATGCATCAACGCCTCGTAACTGTCCGGAAGACCAGGCTGGACCTGCATGATCTGCATGTCGCTGTCCCAGCGGTGGGCGGCGGCGACGGTACCGGTGTGTCCGCAGCAGCCGATGGCCAGGACTTGGTCGCGGCCAAACATCTCGCGGCAAAGCTGGCCGATGTTGAGCTCGCCGCGGGCCCAGCTCATGCTGCTAGCGCGGGCGTCGCCGATGTGGCTATTGTGAGCCCAGATGACCGCCTTTGGAGGGGATCTATCACTGCTGCGGTGCTTGAGGATGCGCATGAGGGTCTCGAACATGTGTCGGTCGCGCAGGTTCCAGGACTCGTCGCGGTCGTAGTACATGGCTCGGTAGTACTGTTCGGCGTCTTGTGGCTTTGCTTAGCATCTTCTCTAAACCCCCCGCAAAAAGAAGAGTAAAAAAGAGACAATGAATAAGGAAGCTCACCTTTCACCAACGTCGCATTCTGCTCTCCCCCATGAAACTCCTCCCCCTCGCGCCCCTTCGCCGCATACTCCAGCCTCTTCCCCAGCAAATCCCTCAACACCCTCATCACATCCTTCTCACACCCCCGAAACCCCTCCGTCAGGGCTTCCAACCCATACCGATGCGGATCCTCCGCCCACACCATCAACCGACCATACCGCTCCCGCGCCCGCTCCGCCATCTTCCCGTCGACCTGCTCCAGGTACGCAATCACCGCTTTCATCGACGCCCCCAACGAGTAGAGGTCCAGGCCGTAGAACCCGACGCTCTCTTCTTGCGCCCTCTCTTCTTCTGGCTCGCTCTCCTTTTCCGTATTATTTGTACTACTACCACCAGACCGATTCGCTTCATTCCACCCCCTCAACCACTCCACAAACCCCTGTACCTCCTGATTCCGCCACATCCACGTCGGAAACCGGCCGAAAACCTCCGGTTCCCCCTTTTCCCCTCCGTAGGACGCTCCGCGGCCATTCCTTTCTTCCCCCCCGCCACGGCCCTTCTCCCTTTTCTCCCTCGCCCTCGTCATGACACCCTCCGGTTTGGTATTAATATTTCTCCGCCTCTGTCCTGGCGCAGCCGGCCGCCGCCGCACATACCGATCTACGGCCTCAGCGTCGGGCCAGTCGGCCTCGACAGCCACGATGGTGAAACCGTGGTGGGTGATGAGGTGTTGGGTGAGCTGGGCGCGGGCGGTGTAGAATTCGGAGGTGCCGTGGGAGGCGTCGCCTATGAGGACGATTTTGGGGGTGCAGGTTGGTGAGGGGGGTGGGGTGTCGTTGCTGGTGGAAGCGGACGAAGGGGAAGAGGAGAGGAGGGTGGTGAGGAAGTTGATTAGTGCGGGACTGGCGGTTGAGGAGAGGGGGGGTAAAGGGGTGAGGTTTGCGCGGAGGAGGGGGATGGCTGGGTCGATTTTGGGGGGTTGTCGTCCGTGGAGTTGTGTGGTGGATGATGGGCGACGGCGGAAAGGCATGGTTGGGGTGGTGTGTAAGTAGTGTGGGTGTTGGTTTTGGGGGGGTTGGTATCGTGGGTGGTGATATTGTTGGTGCTGATTTTGTTGTTGACGACACTGTTGATGTTGATATTGTGGCAGACGATATCGAGCTGGGTGTAGAACTAGCTTAGTTAGGGTTGTCGAGCAAAATCTCGGCGAAAATGCCGTGATATCGTAGGAAAAGCGCCCCCTCATATCGCCAAGTGGCACTTTTACGCCTCGAGGCATGCTAATTAATTAGTCTGTGCATGAGAATACTGTCACCACCTACGGCCCGACTCGAAGCCGCCCCGGCAAGTCGTCAACATGACGACAAGCCTCGACGAGCATCGAATCGATTGGACCGTTTGACGTCAAGAGCTGGGACGGTGCGACGATCGAGATCGCACTGGGCGGCGATGTTTTTGGTGTTAAAATGAGTTTCATTTTGTGGGTTGATAATTATATGATAGTCTATGTCTGGACGCGAAGATCAACTCGTGATAAGTGTTATCGTATTGTCGCCGATAACCTACCTGCTAGCCATGACCTTCAGATAAGTAGCCGCAAATCATATTCAGCCTGCTTCCCAAGTGTTCGGGTGCCCTGGATGACGAGTTATCAAGAAGTAAACAATGACGGTGACTGAAACCTGAAATGAGGCCGTCGTTCCATGTTAACATGCAAGAAAATTAAAGTTATTACTGTCCCCATCTGCGGCAGTGTCACCTATATCGGGCAAGCCGAAGCATAACTATCGTGTGTCCTGCAGTTAGCCATGTGCTATGACATCATCGTGCTACGAGATGGGAGAGCAGGGGGGCATAGCCTCGCTGCAGGACTTCATGTCAACGGCTACCCCGAATGCCGGCATGAACACAGCGAACACCGAGAAAGGGGATTTTGGCAGTTGGGTTCGAATATTGTATCAATTTTCCGATTGATTGTGACGTTGGGAGTTCACGACTTAGACTAAGGGGGATGTCCTTAACGCCGATGGGCCAGCGCCCAAGTGATCGATAGAATGGAAATGGGTGAGGTTTGGTATACTAGTAGAATGTACAGGTAGTTCCGACCTACCGACTAACACGAATCGTAAACTGTACCTAATTACCCAAACTCACCTCCCTCGCCACAACCCAGGCCGTTTCCATACCGCAAATGACTGTCACCTAACCGAGTCATCGCCAGATCAACTCTCCTTCTATCATCAGCTTGCAGATAACCTAGCTACAGTCATCCGCATCACGCAGCTAGCAGCATCAGCACCACCCGGTGAACACCACCATCGCCACAATTAACCTTCCCGGGCCTTAATGTGTGCCGTCCCGGATGGTCTGAACTTTGCCTAGTGATTACTCGATCGCATCTGGTTGACTGCGAGTATCAATTGTGAGCGCGGGTTTATTCTTGCTTGACAGTCAGTAGGAGTCCGGCTCGACACGGGGATGATGAGAATAATATTAGCGTTGATGTTAGCGTTAGGGATGGGGACGATGAGACGGTCGCTGTACCTTATCGCGAAAGGAATGATTAGTGATGGTGATCAGAGCTGTCGGCGCTGGAAATGCGGGGCCCGACGGACGCCCGTTGGTAAATTCGACCCCGGGCCCTGCCCGCGTGACGCCAAACCTCTGATCTTTGAGTTTTTCAAAGCTTCGGCGATAGGAAGTGTGAGTTGCATAATGTTTATGGATGGCTGACGACGTGGTTATCCAGGGGTTGTCGCCAAAATGAGAAGCCGGAGCTTGCGCCGTTGTGAGCTTGGCGTCCTCGGCACCGAAGGGTCGCAGGGGAGGCTTGGGCTGCACCTCATGCAGGCACTGCGGTCTGTTTGGGGAATTCCTTGGCCACCCACCCAACTGGGATCAAATGTGTTGCTCCGGTGCGGTGTTGCATTCACAGGGCATTGATGCGGGAATCCGATAGTGGCAAGTGGGCAGCCATTCGAACAAAACCGTTCCCCGTCGCGCGAAGTTTCCCCTGGTGAGACTCATGGATCCTGAAAAGAAAATGGCATTCCAGATCGCATCGCGGTGGGGGACTGCGGCCCCGATGCCGTGCATTTGATGTCCATTTTGACTGGTTATCTTTCACCTATCCGCGGTTCCTTTCCCCTTTGGCTCATTGGGAGTTGGGGAAACCTTCAATCAGCGAGCTCGTGGGGCATCGCAGCTGAAAACGCTCAAAAGGGCGGGGTCTGGTGGCCACTGGCGCGCGGGAGAGCTGCCCTAGGACCGGGGCCGCACCCACATGGGAAGGCCTGTGATTGGCCCGAGTCCGGTTAGGCTTGGAATCAGAAGGAGCACCCCTCGAGGACCCTGGCCCGGCGACCCTGGAGTGGAACTGGAAGGGTGGCTCCTGCAGTGTCTGGTAGTCGAGTGGGAAGTTGAGCTCCGGTCTGGCGTGCTGCCCATGCTGCCCTGCGTCTGGCTCGCTCGGGAGAAAACCCCGTCAAAATCTGGCATTTCACTTGTCGACCCCCAAGCGAGTCGGTTTCTTGCTTTTTTCCCCCTCGAAAATCCAATTCCGTGCCCGCCCTGTCTGCGCCACGCCCCCCGGCACCCCCGACAGGCCGTCCCAAGATTCCATCATCTCTCCAAACCGGCCCCGTGGGACCGGCAGCCATCATCCCCCCTCCAATAAGAGGGATTCGCCTCCCTGACCTGTTGTGACTTGGGTCTCCGTGTGCAAAACCCCCATCCCCGCGTCCAGGCCACGGTCCACCTGGTGTTCTCGAACAACAACGACCCCACGAAGGAACGAAGTAGGGACGACTTGCGTGGAGGATCTCTGCTTCTGCAAGTAGGCCGATTGATCGTGAGCGTCTTATTCGTGGAGCGAGCATCGAAGGCGAAACACCCAGCACAAAACCAAGCAACTTCCACAACCGACTTCCGCAGCGCACTCGTATTCTTTCACCGCTTGCGCATCGCACGCTTTACACCTCTCACCGCACCAAACTCGTCTCATCAAACGCCCAGACGTCTACGCAGTAGCTCAACGCTGTCCTTATCTTGCAGCTCACTTAGCATGGGCCCACCATCGTATCGCCAGATCCAGCCTGCGCCCATCCGGGCCCAAAGATCGGGCGCGCCCTCTAACTCCTCGGGGCCCGGTGGTGGCCGGCTCAGCGCAAAGGGTCTCACGAAACGGCTCAAAGCGGTAACCCAGGCGTGTCATACGTGCCGCCGTAACAAGGCCAAGGTGAGCCTCAGCCCCCCCTGTAAATGGTCCTCCCGACGACCTTGCCCAGGCGCCTCTTATGACATCCCGACAACATGACAAGATTGTTAACATGTGAATGAAGTGCGATGGTGTACGCCCGAGATGCGGTGGATGCACCACGAGGGGCTCGGCCTGTGGCTATGACGGTGAAGCCGGCCAGTCTCGGCAGGCCGCGCTAAGGACCCGCCTCGAAGAGCTTGAGAAGTTGGTCGGGGACCTCCGATCGATGCCCGACGCTGAAGCCGAGCGCTTATTGCAGCGCCTCCGGGCTTCGGCCAACGACTCCGTTCTCGGCACCGCCTCGGAGTCTCGCTCTCCGGCGCCCACGACTATCCCGGCCTCGGTCGCCTCATCCGAGTCTTCGTTCCCCAGCCGCTCTTCAGCACCTTCGCCGGCTTCCTCGGGCACCAGCGGCGCGACGGGGGCTACTTCCGTCTCCGATGATGGGTCCATCATCGCTGGGTCTTCGCCGCGTAGCGCCCAGCATCCCATAACCGACGATCTTGCCGAGCTGCTTCACATGGACCTGCCGCTGCCCAACGCCAAGACGACCTGGGCTGGCGTCGAGAGCTTCTTCAGCTCGTGTGGCCGCCTCTTCCACATTTACTCGCCCCAGCAGATGGAAGCTTACTACAAGACCGTCTTTGGCGTCGACGGCAAGCCCGACACTTCGCAGAAGCTCGCCATCTGCTGCCTACATGCCGTCGCGGCTGTGGGTATCCAGTACAACCCTAACGATTTCCAAAAGGGGCTAGAAAAGACCTTCCACGAAGTCAGCCGCCGGTTCTTTTCCGAGGTTATGGAGGAGCGGCCCCTCGACACTATCAAGGTGTGCACGCTGTTTGCCTTGTACAACATTTTGGACAAGGCGACTGTAGCGCTGGCCTATGTTGGTACGTATCTTTTTTTGTCTGTTTTCTCTCTCGTCCGCATATGCTAATCGAGCCTGCAGAGGTTGGGTTGAGCATGTCGAAGCGGCAGAGCTCGAGCACGGGGGTGTGCCATCCTTCCATGGTATCGGCTGAGGAGTGGATCGATTTTAGGCGGACTTGGCGAGCGTTGCTGTTCTTTTCGAGGTGAGTACAAAACACCTGGCCCCTCATACATGTTCCGCTTCCGCTGAACTAACAATTCTCAGTTGGCTGTCTTCCACTCTCGGCTACATTTCCGGCGCCGATGACACTGAATTTGCCAAACTCCTCCCAGTGCGTATGCCCCGCAGGGTATGGTTGTCAGTTTGTGATGCTGACCGGAATTTAGATAGCGGAACAAGACCATGACAGCTACAGTGCCGAGATAGGCGAGCGTATGTCCCGTTCGTGTTTCCTTCCTCAACACACATACTAATGTCGCGCAGTCGTTCAGGCAGAGATGACCAAGTTGACGCTTCTCGAGGCCGGGATCCTGCGCAACCACCTTGCGGTTGAAGAGCTCACGACTCTCGGACTCGACGGCGTCATCCGGGAGCTCCAGGACTGGCACGGCCAGCTGCCGGACACCATGCAGCTCAGCAGCTTGTTCCGCTACGACTGGCCCCCACTGGTCCGCTGGTCCATCTACTACCTCCACCTGCTCTACCACGGCGCTTTCATGCTGGTGTACCGCCGGATTGCGGCACACTGTGTCCGGCTGCAACGCACTGGCGTCGGGCTTGCCGCCGCAAGCAAGGAACCCACGATGCTCAGCCTCGTCGAGCAAGGCATCACCTCTGCGCGGGACACGGCGCGCATCGTGAGCCTGCTTCTGGAGGACCAGGGCGTGTTCCGCCGCTGCTGGATTGTTATGTACGTTACTGTACTGCCTCGTGATACTTGTGTTTGTTTTTCCTTACTAACTCCCCCAGCTTCCAAACGCACACCGCGTGCGTGGTCTTACTGCATTCCGTAGCACAACGACAGGCGCAGGGCTTCCCGCCCTCTTCATGGGCCGACGATCTGAAGCTGGCCCGGCAGTGTCTCGACGTGCTCGGCTTTTGCGGTGCCGTGGACCCCGTGGCCCTGCGTTTCCGCGTGCGCCTCACCGGCATCTACGACAGCCTCCTCACATCCGGCCACTCCCCCCAGCTGCACCTCGCCCACATCGAAGATTGGGTCCCACCCCACCCAGACCAAACTCAAGACGAGGTCCCCGCCGAACCGCATCCCGTGTCGTACATGTTTGCGCTCCCACCACCCTCCATGGCCAACAACGCGCTGTTCCAACTCTCGTTCTCGCTCCTCTTCGCCCTGTGCAAGCCCTGGAGCGATACCTCCAACCTCACCAGCGCATCCGCTGCGGACCTCCTCTTAGCCAGCACCACTGCCGGCAACCCGGAGGCAGCCGGGACCTTCCCCGCAATCACCGCCTCGCCCACCAGCGCTGCCTCGCCTTCCGCCACCGAGGGCCTCACCATCGCCTCCTCGCCCACTGACACCCACTCCACTGCCGCCAGCGTCGTGGCCGCCGATAACGACCGCACCCGCCTGTTGGATAACATGGACTGGGACTTTGGCAAGGCCACGCCGTTTCGGTGGGACACGGACGGCATGGGCATGCTGCACGACGGCGAGGTGGTGGGTGAGAGCTGTTTCTTGGATAGTGAGGCTCCGAATGGGTGGACGCTGGCGGAGGACTTGGACGAGGTGGATGTTGTTGAGTGAAGGCAGGGTGTAAGGGGTTGTTGGTGGGTGTGAGGGTTGGGATTGGGTAATTGGGAGATTCGGTTGGGAAAGGAGTCGACGGCGTTTGAGGGAGCGGCCTTTGTGTTTTTTTGTTAAGATTTTGGGTTTGATATGTCTTCTCGCTGGATGGGTGGGTATCTGCGAATGATCGATTGGGATCTTTTTTCTTATTCCTGTCGTTATATCCGTGCTATTTTCTCTATCGGTTCGTGCTATATTCTAAGAAGTTGAAGAACAATTCGAAGTGTTAGATCTCCCGGGAGATAATTTATAGCCTTCTTCGCAGTAGATAAATGTTTGTTGCTACAGCAAGTGAAAGGCCTTTTTTCATTATACTGTGACAGCGTAACTTGGTATGAGTGAGTGAGTGGAGTTTGGAGTTGAGATAGGTCTAATTAACGTTTGTGTTCAGTGTGGTGGTAATGATATGTATTAGTTTTAGTAGAGAAGTAATTAATTACTCGCCCGACCAGCCACGGTAAGAACTAGAAGGAACCAATCCGCCTTAGATAGCACATAGATTCAATATTGAGCCACCAACATCGGGATAAGTACCTAGTATATTTTTATCCTATTGTCACTGTTGACTATACCCTTATCATTAGGAAAACAGTGTCCGCATCATTCAATCAACCTGAATAGCCTCCACCATCTCCCTCAACTCCCCCACCGTCGGCCTCTCCCCCGGCACCTCCCGCATACACGCCTCCACCACCCGGTCCAACGGCTCCGGAACAGGCCACTCCACCTGCGGCGTAAGCGGCGCATTAGCATACACCATCCCCTTGATACACCCAGCCACATTATACACATCCGACATCTCACTCCACCCGGAATCCTCCAACCCCCTTCCCACTTCACCTCAGGCGCAACCCTCTGTCCCCAGCGTCCTTCTAGGTCACACACCACCAGCCTTGTCTCTCCTCCTTCGCCCTCCTCTTCGTCCTCCGAACCATCTCGGGCAAAGAGCAGGTTGTCGACGCGCAAATCGCGGTGTACAATCCCCGCGGCGTGCAACACAGCCAGGGCGTCGAGTAGACCCAGCAGCCAGCGCTTATACGTAGCCAGGGCCGAGGCGCGGGCAAGCGTAAGGCCGCGGGTGGCGAGCTTTTGGAAGACGGGGTCACCTGTTGCGGACGCGCCGAGGTGGATGATGTGGGGGGAGCATCTAGTACCAGGACAGGAACCGCCTTGGAGACGGAGGAGGTTGGTGATTTCGGAGCGGTATTTTGGTTTTTTTATGAAGTGTTTGGTGGGGTCGAGGTTGGAGATCAGGGGGAGGAGGCGGATCAGGTCGGTGGTATCTTCCGAGTCGTCTTCTAAGGGCTCCGGGGGGTCGGGGCAGGTGTCTTCCCCCAGGGGCCGGATGGTATCACCTTCTATTTCGAAGTGGCCGGTGGGTAGGCAGGAAGGAGGGAAATTGCGGTTGAGGCGGAGGATGTCGCCGGAGAGGGTACCGGGGATGTCGAAGAGGCGGACGTAGCGGCCGAGGGGGGTACTGCCGTCTTCGTATTAGATGCTGGTGGTGGGTGGTGAGCCGTGGGTGAGTTCCATGTCGAGGACGGATTGGCCTACCGGGGGGCAGAGGTTGGAGGCCTGGCGCCGGGCTTGGTACTCGGCGCGGAGGCGGAGGACTTCCCGGCTGAAGGAGCCGTCTCTGTCGGAGAGCATGGTGGATATTTGGGATCGAGGTACGTCGTGATATTCAGGATGGAGGGACGTTGATGTGTGGTCCTCAATGGGATGTGCCGTCGAGTGTGGGTGAGAAATACGGAGTGGATGTGCCAAGCGGGAGATGATGAGGATTGAAAGATGGGCTGGTTGGGAGTTTGCCGACGCAGAATCAAGGGGGAATGTTCCAACCAACAACACTACATCGGTTGGATCGATGTGATTCGGTGGTTTCTCTCCTGCGACACCCCGGCAAACTTAGGCCCAACTAGTGTGGTGTTGGTTGAAGAAGGAAGTCAATGGTGACAAGGAGCGTCAAGTCGGGTCTCAAGACCATTCATACTTGACGTGACCTTACTGCAATACTGATAATTGACACCTAACCAGCGAAAAGCAGGAATCAAACGTGGATCACAAGAAAATAACAATTTCGGTATTGGCTCAAATCAACGCAACTAATAAATAATAGCCAAGAACACCCGTGTGAGCGCCCCGTCCTCTCAGCAAAACATAAACGTCCATCCCTCTAATAAACCCCTGAACTACGAATTTCCAAACGCAACGCCCCAAGCAAAACACCGCCGACCCAACCATCTACTGATATCCCCCAACCTCCCATCCAGCCCGCCATCGCAATGCAGTAACTCGAAGAACAAAAGAAATAGCCAAGCCAGGGATATCTGTCTGTACACTCCTCCTTCACATCTTACCCATCCAAACTAGGCAAAGATCCCAAAGCACGCAACAAAAGACAAAGGAAACCAAAGGCTATAAAACCCCGCAAAGAAGAAAAGAAAAGTCCACCGTCACCGTCGACTGGCATCAAAATAGGGGTAGCCACCTGATCAGCGAGGACAAGTTCAGTTGGGAAACTAATCCAACAACTTCTTCCCCGCCTCCAGCGTGGCTGCCCCCCTATCAGTCGCCTGCCACTTCCTCAACTCCTCCAGATTCACCTGTCCAATCACATTCCCCCTGTGCGTCCGCAACTCGGTCATCTTCATGTCATGCTTCTCCCGCGCGCCGGCGAGTTTCACGTCCCGCTTCTTCTCCCACGCCTCCTGGTCCAGCGCCCGCTTCTTGTCCCATGCTTCCTGCTCTAGTTGCCGACGGCGTTGGGCGTGCTCGTATTCTTGGATGAGCTTTTTATTTTCGTATGTTAGTTGCTGGCCCTGTGCGGCGTCACGCGCTGCGTGTTGTGCGGCGTGGAGGGATTGGAGGTGGGCGAGGGAGGTCGCGTTACGGAGGTCGGTGGCGGTCGCGGTGAGGGCGATGTGGTCGCGGCGGTGGTTAATGGTGGCGGTGTGGTAGTCAGTACCCATGGCTAGGTTGGCGGCGTGATGTTCAGCAGCCATGGCGAGAGTGTCGGCGTGGTGGTGGCGGCGGATGGTGGAGTCGACGTTGGCGGAGGAGAGTTGGATTTGCGCGTCGGTGTGGTGTTGCTCGGCGCGCATTTGGATGCTTTGCGTGTGGTCGAGGCCACGGTGGCGGCGGGTTTGTTGGGAGAGAGCTTCACGTTGGGAGAGGGTCCGGGCGAGGCTGTCATCCTGGAGCTGGGCGAGGGCGATGGCTTTTTCACGCTCGCGGCGGATCGTATTGGCGTGGTCTTCTTCGACAAAGCGGTTCTGGCGCTCGCGTGCGCGCCGGTCGCGTTCGTAGTCGCGGATTTCTTCGGGTAGGCCGACGGCGTCATGCGGTTGGGTTTCTTCGATGGTAGCGTAGAAGCGGTCGTCGCAGCCGTGAGCCATGAGGAGTTGGAGCAGGGCGTCGGAGGGAGGGCCGAGGAGGACGCCCTTGACGACGTACATGGTGGGTGAATAGTGCAGCGCGCCGTGTTGGTAGGTATTCTCGTGGCTGTTGAGCGTACGGTACAACATGCGGTCCAGGAGGAGGCGGGTGATGGTCTCGTTGTGCTCGTTGTCCAGTGCGAGGAAGATGACGGTCTTGCCCTGGACCTTGAGCAGCGGGCTTGCTTCTGCAGCGTTGAGAAGATCGAGCGATTCCTCTGCCGCCGCGATGTCTGTCGGGGGCGTGGCCTTGAGTGCAATCTCGCCCAGTGCGGTGCGTCCGCCGTGCTTCGTCGACCGGAAGTTGGGATCGTGCCCGGCTTCCAGCAGGAGCTGCATCACTTGGACGTGGAACCCTCGCGAGGCTTCGTGCAGGCTGCCATCGTTCACCGCCGGACGGCTCTCCAGCAGGAGTTCCACGAGCTCCGTGTTCCCAGCGCGCGAGGCATAGAAGAGTGCAGAGTGGCCAAGCTTGTCCTTGGTCGAAACCTTGGCGCCGGCCTCGATCAGCATCTTCACCACGGCGACCGTTCCAGATTTTGCGGCCAGCAACAGCGGCGTTGTCCGGGATTTTGGTGTGGTGTACGAGATGTCCGCTGGTCCTGTTAGTAAGGTCTCCAGTGATTTTACTGGGAGCAAATAGTAACTCACCACCATGATGAATCAGCGCCTCGAGCACAGACAGACCGATAACCCCCTCCTCCTGCAGCAACACCCACATAAGAACAGATGCCGGCTCAAGTTCCGAGCTAGCAACGCGGTTGTCCCCATCGCGCTTACTACGAGCAAACACATGCATAGGTACAGTCGTCGAGAGCTTGCACCCGGCCTGCACGAGACAATCAAGAACCGTAACCGAGTGGCCGTACGACTTGAGACACTGGAAGATCGGCGGCGGCATACCAGGGATGGACTTGTTAAAGTCCGGCGCGGCCGCGACCTGCGTGGAGAAGATACCGACCAGCTGCAGCAGTAGGTCTTCCTGGTGATGTGCCATGATGGCCGCCGTGAGAGCAAGCGTAGACGACGAGGCAGTCGCCCCGTTGTTGAGCAGCAGCGTAAGCAGGAAAGGGTCGCCTCGGCTGGCCGCGATGCTGAGCGCTTTGCCGTTTTCCTGGTTGACGTCGACTTTAGCGACAAACAGGCGACGCAGTAGCGTTTCGGCGAGGTTACGCTCCGGCTCCCGACAGGCGAGATGGTCGACAATCTCCAGCATGGCTTTACCCGCTATCGTCCCCGACGCGCCGTGACGGAGCAGGATGTCGATGAGCTCGACGTGCTCGAAGGCGATCCACATCTTGTTGCGGTTGACGATGGATGCTAGCGCCTGGCTGTAGATGCTGCTGTGGTGGCCCAGATACTGCGACAGGATGCTGAGGAGCTCCCGGTCGAGGGTCGATGCGGCGTGCTTGATGCACAGCCCGTCCTCATGTGTGGCTTCGGCGCCTGCGTCAAGCAGCATTCGTACCATGGCCACGTCTGTCTCCTCCTCCAACACCACGTTCTTCAGCGCTGTGTTGAGGTGATCGGTCTGCAGCCGGCTTAGGAGGTCGCTAAATAGGGCCCGTCGGTTTGCACGGGGGGCGTTTAGCGCTTCCATGACGGCCGTGAAAAGGGCTTTGTAGCTGAGGCCCTGGCCGAGTAGCAGGTGGAAGGTATCCGGGCGGAAGTTGCGGATGGCGTAAACGAAGACCTCGCCGTTGTTGTAGTTGACAGACCCGCGGGTCAAAAGCAATTCCACGACCTCCCTGTTCATTTATTAGCGTGAGAGCACAAAACGGTAGGGTGGTAAAGGAAGATCACTGACGCATTGTCAGGTTCGCTCTTGAAAGCAGCAACCAACGCCTTCCCAGCCGCATCCTCGTTAACCTTCCGCCGGACAAGCATCTCAACCAGCTGCTTCTTCTTCTTGCTATCCTTAACCTCCATCGCCCAGCCCAACGCCACGCCCAACGACTCCGGCGAAGGTTCCTTGGCCAAGATCTCCTCGACCACCTCTACACATCCCGACCGCACGGCAATCTGCAGGGCATCTCCCTTTCCGAAATTCACATCCGCCTTCCCTTCATGCAGAAGTAGATGAAATAGCCGCATGTCCCGCTCAATCCCCAACTTGTCCCCCCGCCGGAGGTTGGCCACGAGACAATGTACCGTCTTGACCAACGCCTCGGCCGCACACTGGCCGCGAGCGCCGCATTGGATCAAGAGACGGGTGGCTTCGTAGCGGAACTGCGGGCTGCCGACGCTGACTGTCTGTGAGATGGCGATGGCGAGGCTGTTAGACGACGGCTTGAACTCGAGGAGGGTCGAGATGATGTTGAGTTGCTCAGCCCGCACGGCTTCGATCAGCGCTGCTGCCTCGAACTGACCGGGGGCCTTCTTGTATCGTAGGATGATGGTGATGAGCTGGATGTGCCGTTTCCTAACCAGCTCCACCAGCCCCTCTGTAACGAGCTTGTTCGTTTCGGGGCCCTTGGCCCCGGACGCCAGGCACAGTTCGAGCATCTCGCGGTTGACGCTGGTGTCGTAGTCGCCGAGGAGTGGTCGGAGTTTGCCGATCGCCGCATCGAGAGAGCGGGATGACGCCTGTACGGAGCCGGAGAGGAGAAGAGCGACAAGGTCCGGCCGGGAAATCTCGACGGCCCTGGTTAGCGCGACAGCATCCCCATAGTTGACATCTGCCCAGTGTTCCAGCAGCAGGCGCACAACCTCGACCGAGCGGTTCTCCACGGCTATCCTAAGGCCCGTGGAGCGGCAAGACAAGCAGGGGAGGTGGTGTCCAGAAAGGAGGAGCTTGATGAGGTCGAGGCGGTTGTGGTAAACAATCTCTTGGAAGTCGTCGTGGAGTCCCACAGGACTGGCGCCATGTTCCAGCAGCGCGGCGACAACGGCCAGGTCGCCCCGGACGATGGCATCGTGGAGGACGCTGTCGAGATTGAGCTGATCGGCATGGGCTGCGATCGCGTGGACCGTCTCGGGTCGGCATCGGATCACGGCGCGGAGGAGGATGTTGTTCCGCTCGCCGGGGACGTTGCGTTGCGTGAACTTGTTCCAGGTCGTAGAGTGTCGGGTCCGCGCAAAGTTGACGTCGGCCCCGAGAGCCAAAAGCGCCTTCACCACGCCGACCGAGCCGTTGGACTCGACGACCTCAGCGAGGACCTTGTTGACTTCGCGGGCTGTGTAAACTGTGCCGGCTTGTGAGGATATCCGGTTGCGAACCCAGGAGAGCGGCTGGCCGTCACGGTGGACAGCCCTCTGGGCTTGCAGAAGTTCTGTTGCTTGCTTGATCTCGGGCTCCATCTTCTCATCGCCAGGATGATGAATGCGGAAGACTCAGGTGAGACCAAGCGGGTGCGTGCGTGTGTGTTCACGCCCTCTTTAGAGAGTGGAAAAGCGGAATGGAGTCAAACAGGTCGCCGTTCTGGGTGGGTGGTTTGCCCTTTTCCTTAAACCCGTGGGTACAGAAACTAATGTTATGTTATGTCGAGGAAGAAAGCCTTAGCACAACCCTTCGCAACCCGCTTGCCAGATATCTCCGGACCAACAGCCAGGCACTTTTCGCTGCCTGCAGTTTGTCCCCAAACTTGAAACCGCATGGCTGCAGCGGCCAGCACAAACAGGGAGGAGCCACAGCACAGCACCATCACTCCATGAGTTCGTGATTCGGCTTCTGGCCCGATGGGACGGAACGCAAAGGTGGGCAGTGGAGAGACCTGAAAGGGGCTGCGCCGCGGTCACGCATGACTGGTGATAGGTTCACCATTCCATTCGATGTTCGTTGTGGTTTAGTGGGGCATTCCGGGCTGTCCGCCCCCTGTAAGCCGACCCCGCGTGTCGGGCCGGAGCGACGGTGGCCAGTCGTTTGGTTGGCTCCGAGGGGTATCGCGTCTGCGTCAGTAGCCGCTGAAACCACCCGTCGAGCACATCGCCCCTGAACGAACCGCGAATCCCAGGGGACAATTAGGCGCTGAGGACAACACGGCACACCACACTTAACTCGAAATGACCATCTCAAGGTCACCAACGGCCCGGGCAGGCAAGGCAGGGCAACATGGCGAACACGGATTGAGGCCACAACGCGGTCGTGCCGAGACGTTCGATTGAGAAGGATGAGAAGCCGGAAAAAGTGACAGCACCTAACAACAAATGGCCGCGATTGCCACATTCCGCCAACTCCCTCGTGGGACCCTGGCCATCTGGCGCTTGTGCGGCCAGGCCGCGTCCAACAAGCGATGTGAAGTTGGCTGCTGAACCAGGAACAAGTTGAAATGTTGGGAAGTGTTATCGGCGGTCACGCCAATTGAGAAAATGGAAGTTTGGGGGTTGCCCAATCCATGCGTGCTCGCAAGCGCCTGCTTCCTGTTTCGGCCGATAACTGAGGCCCAAGGCTGTGCCTTCCCAAAGTATCGAGCAGTCCAACTCACCATCCCGGACAACAACGAAGGGAAAGCACCACCCAACAGTACAGCAGGGCAAACTAGCCCAAACCTCAAATACACACGCACAATTCTAAACTTTTGAGTGTTGATTGGGGAGCATGGCCCTTCAATTTTGTTTTTGCTGTCAAGGCATACACAGCTGCTTGTCCTTTTCTCACTCACCTTCCGGGGATTCCCCTCACTATCGACCGGTTCCCACAGGGCCCCAGTGCGATTTTTTGATTCTAATGGTGACCATTCGTGGTATAGTCCAAAACTGTCAACCTTACTTCGTGCTGCGCAAGCCCCGGCCCTTTGCCAAGAAAGCCGTGACCATAGCCGCAGCAGCGACCGCCGTGGACGTTGCAAACGAGTACCGCAGCCCGTCGTAGTACACGTGACGCGCCTTGAGCTGGAGATCCGGGGGCAGATCCCGGATGGCGGAGACCGAGTGCCGAATCTCGTCGATAACCTGCGATGCGCCCTGGTGTAAGTATCTCGCGTGTGGTCTGTCACTATGAAAAAAAGCATCGCATATGACATAGAAAAGGGGCGTACTCTCCATTTATCAGGTATCTCGCCCAAAGCGTCCGGAAGCCGGACGCTGAGCGTGGTTTGCACAATGGCAGAGGTGATGGCGACGCCATACACCGTCCCTAGGGACCGGATCAGGTAGACGGTTGAGGCAGACACGGCGTGGTCTAAGTTCTGGTGAGCACTCCGCGTATCATACATGTACTCGTCGAGGAAATCGCTTACCTGCGTGGTCAAATGTGGCGAGAGACGTGAACAGAATGCCGGGGTAAATGATGCCTTGGCCGAGATTCGCCGGGAAGATGTAGGCAAAGTATTTCCACGCCGAGTCTTCGAAGCCGAGAGAGGTGACCAGCGCATTGCCGAACATCATCAACAAAGCGCCGGTCCGCACGAGGGGCACTAATTTACCCCATCGGGACATGACAATGCCCGCGATCAGCCCGCCGATTGGTGTTGCAAGAGACGGGATCGCCAAACGGGCTCCAGCGGTGGTGGCTGAATCGAGCAGGACGATTTGGAAGAACAAGGGCAGGTTGAAGAGATACTGAGAGGTGTGTCAGTGATTCTTCGTCCTTTTCACTCCAGGTGCACACTCGAATGACTCACCGCATACGCAGACATGCCAGCGCAAATGTTTGAAAATTGGATCAACGCCGGGAGTTTCCCGTGCAGCAGCCGGAGTGGAATGACTGGGATCGCGCTGGTCTTGGCTTCCACCACCAGGAAGAGGCCGAGGAGCGCAGCGCTCACCACAAGCGAACCGATCACCCACGGGCTGCTCCACGGCAGTTCGTTGCCGCCGAGACTCAGACCGACCAGCTGCAGCGAAATGGAAATGACGAGCAAAAAGGCCCCGGTAAAATCCACCCTCGCCCAGGTGTCGCGGAAGCCTTGGCCCAGTTGGAAACCTCCCTCGGGGTTGTTGATGACCAGGGCGCCCACAATCAAAGCAAACGCCGAGATGGGCACCTGGAGGTTGAAGCACCATCGCCAACCGATCGTATCGGCAATGGTCCCGCCGAATGAAGCGCCGCAGATGGCGCCGAAACCGAACATTCCGTTTTGCAACGCTTGGTACATCCCGCGTTTACGGAACGGGATCATGTCCGAGTTCACAATCGTCGCTTTAGGCAGATTAGCGATGCACGATGAGATCGGCAATGAGATACGCGAAATGAAGTAACCCACCCATAGTCATGAGACCCCCGCCCCCAAAACCGGTCAGCGCGCGCATGCAGTTGAGGAACACGATGTCGTTCGCAAGACCACAACCAAGACAACCCAGGGCAAAAGTGATGGTCGAGATGAAGAAACAGATGCGGCGCCCAAAGATGTCCGACACCCGGCCATACAGTGGTTGAAAGGCCGTACTCGTCACCAAGTACGACGTGGTGAGCCAGGAGGCGGTGTTGGCCGCGTCAAAGTCGGAGCTGATGATCGCATAGGTCGCAGCAGTGATGGTCCCATCGAAGCCGTACAGAAAAACATTGGACATAATGGCCACCTGGATCCAGACAAAACCCCGCGGTGGTTTCCAGGAATCTTCCTCCGGGGCGCGAAGAAGCGGCTGGTCCTCTCGGGGTTCGTGGGCCTCAATGGATCCATTGGACCCATTGAGGCCGTTCTCAGCGTCGTGAGAAGGCATAATGTGGTGTTTTTGGTTGAGAATCGCTTAGTCTAGGAGATTTGCGCACACCTGGAGCAAAACTTTCTGGCGGGCAAGAAGCGAACCTCACGTCAAAGAAGCTGGGTTTTGTTCGTCACACAATGATTTTTTTTCGCTGTTGCGTTGGCACAGGCCGATCCGATCGGACGTTGGGGGCCAGGCACGCCAGGGGTAAGACCTTGATATTTGCATATCCCCGGTATCTTGGTTATACCCCGCAGTCGAGTCAGGCCGAACCGAGACATCTCACCCAATGCCGTTCGTTAAGTGAGACAACCGGCCAACCGCCAAGCAACACGTGGGTGGGTGGGTGTTGCACGGTGTTGCTCGCTTGTGTCGCCTCCGGTCCCGGCAATGCCCCACCGTTGCAACCACGAACCCAGAAGTGGTGGAAGCTGGGGACGGTCCTTGGTTCAACCAACAGCAGAAAGCGATCGTGGTGTCGCCATCGACGGCGCAGATGGTGAAGTGGTTTGTTGTCTTCCGAAAGCTCTTCCCATTGGCCAATTGCAATGGTTCTAGAAAAATGCTGTCCCAGGGGTTCTGAAGCTTGGATGAGCTTGTTTGTCACACCGGAACAAGATGTCGAGATTTTCCCCCACGCGCGGGGATTCATGAGGGGTTGCGATGAGATTTGTCACCCTGCGGGACGGTCTCGTCATTGAGAGGGGAAGATCGAAGGCCCAGACGCCTATCCTGGCAGAAAGGCGAGCGAAACAGCCTGCAAGCATTGTTGAAATCATTGAAGCTCTGAATGGCGTCATCTTCCCCATGCTAAGCACTTGGGTGCTTCCCAAGCCAAGAACAGACCAAATTTACATTCAAAAGCACCCAACTTCGCCCACAGTAAAGTTCATTCCTTCCTTCTTTCCCTCATCGTGACAGTTACGGACAACAGACCAACAGACCTGTCAACACCAAAAAGGCGTTTTGCGGAGGAAAAACACTGCTTGATTTTCGGAGCGTAACCCCAACTAAGGTGAATGTACCTAATGCTGAACAAGATGAAGGCGATGGTGGCTGACGCACTTAGTTCGGATTCCCCACGGTCAACATCGTTCTCACCACCATGATGAAGACCTCGGCTTCTCTCGCCGTGGCAGCCTCGCTGCTGCTCGGGCCGGCCGCTGCCGACTGGCAGTTCCGCTCGCGCTCCGACCTGGCCCCGCCGCGGCTCAACATCACGATCCCGGCGACCAAGGACGTGGAGCCAGGCTACCTGTTCGTGGCCCCCTTTGCCGGCTTCCCGGACACGCCGACGGAGCAGCACGGTCCGCGCCAGGCTGGCCCGTACATCTTCCGTGACAACGGCGACCTGGTGTGGTCCGGCTATGGCATCTACAGCATCTGGGCCACCAACTTCCAGGCGGCTCGCTGGAAGGGCAAGGACGTGCTCTTCTCCTTTGAGGGCGACCACAACGCGGGCTACGGCCACGGCCACGGTCACATCACCATAGTGGACCAGCACTACGAGACCATTCGTGAGCTGCGCGCCGGTAACCACAAGTTGGTTGACAAGCATGAGTTCCATGTCATCAATGAGGAGACGGGTCTCATCCAGGTGTACCAACCTGTGCCGCGCGATCTGAGCGAATATGGAGGTAGCCCGGAGCAGCAGTGGATTGTCGATGCTATCATCCAGGGTGAGTTTCCGTTGTTGTCCGTGTGTTACACCGGGCAAACGCTAACCTCGACCACAGAGCTTGACATTGCCACTGGTAAGCTGCTCTTCGAGTGGCACTCGCTCGACCACGTCACCCCCGAGGAAGCGATTCTCCCCCTGAACCCTGGCCAGGCCGGCTCCGGCTACAACTCGTCCGACGCGTGGGACTACTACCACATCAACAGCGTGGACAAGGACTCGGCTGGCAACTACATCGTCTCAGCCCGCGACGCCTGCACCGTGCACAAGATCAACGGTACCTCAGGCGAGATCATCTGGCGCCTCCACGGCAAGAAGTCCGACTTCTCCGTCCCCAAGAACGCCGAGTTCTGCTTCCAGCACCACGCCCGCTGGCTCCAGGAAGACAACGGCGACGGCATCGAGATCATCAGCCTGTACGACAACTCCGCCCACGGCACCGAGCACGGCTCCGGCCACGAGGTCCACACCGCCGAGAACAGCAGCGGCAAGATCCTCCGCCTCGACACCAACGCCTGGACCGCCGAGCTCGTCCAGGGTTACTACCCGCCCGAAGGTTACACTCTCCTTTCCAAGAGCCAAGGCTCCACCCAGGTCCAACCCGGCGGCAACGTCCTCGTCAACTGGGGCTCTGAAGGTGCCATCACCGAGTACACCGCCGACGGCACCGTCATCTTCCACGCGTACATGGACAGCGGCGACCTGGACCTAGGCGTCGAGAACTACCGCGGGTTCCGCTTCAACTGGACGGGTATTCCCAATGAGGAACCTGCTGTGGTCGCGCTGGAGGGTGAAGACGGCAACACGTCGGTGTATGTCAGCTGGAACGGAGATACCGAGACGGCTGTGTGGCGGTTCTATGAGGTTGTCGACGGGTTTGGGTCCCGCTCGTTCCTTGGTGAGGTTGAGCGTACCAGCTTTGAGACTCGTCTTGATCTGCCCCGGGGCAAGAAGGTGACCAAGGTTGGGGCTGAGGCGGTGGATAACCGGGGTCGGGTTCTGCGGGTTACCCAGGATGTCAAGGTTGAGCCGGAGATCGTGCGCGCTGGTGCCAAGAAGTCGTCGTCCAAGGCTCACGGCAAGGCTGATGGCCAAACCGTGCTTGCCGATGTGCTTGATGCTGCGTCGGAGGGTAGCCGCTGGGAGGAGTATGCTATCCTCAAGTTCTTTCGTCTTGCGAAGGAGCTGAAGTGAGTGTTACTCCCCAGCAGTGCTTGACGGACCAGATATATTGGGGCATGAACGCTACGCTACGGAACTGCCCTCGCGATGGTCAGCGCTGCAACACACAAACAAGCACCTTGTGTTGGAAGTCTTTCTAGACACGGTTGTGCATCTTTCCTCCTCGGTGGGTTCTCTTGGAGGCCCATCTAGTTTTGATCATGTTTTGGGGATACAGACAACAGACTATTACTCTCATTTAGATTAGATACCAATGTCACTCATTTAAAAAAAGTTGACGGCCATATCTGCATGCTGTTCGCAATGCTAAGCTGCCAATTAAGCTGCGGCAGGTTGCGTCGGAGTGCACACAGCTAAGTTCTCGCGCGACATGAAAGGCGGGCAGTTTGTCTTCCACTTCTAAATCCCTCAGCCGTTCATGACACCCCCGTTTCCAACCTGGCTGGTGTAAATTCATCAGAGAATGAATAGCTTGGTAACATCCTGAGTTGCTAGTATCTAGGGTGAAGTGGATTAATACCGTCGATTAGCGAGGGACTCGGCATCGTAATAGGCATCATGATATCCCATATCGCGAACATACAACAGATCATCTACCATTGGCTCCTGCCTTAGTACAAACTCTCCTCCTCTCTATTGAAAGGAACGAAAAGCAAAAAGCTCACAACCAAGGCCTATCCCCATCCGGAGGGATGGATAGACGTTGGCAGTTACGAAAAACCGGTGTTTTTTCTTCTCTGGTCCTGGGAATCGAACCCGGGACCATTTCGATTCACGACGGAAATGGCGGGGCCAGCGCCCCTCCCAATACCGCTGCGCCAAACAGCGGTATTTGGCGAATTGGGAGGAGATGGTGACAAGAGGTGCGAGAGGGGGGGTTATATCCTTAGGGCAGGGGCAAGAGGGGAAGGTGCGGCGAGTTTGAATGGAAGGGCATACAAACGTTTGAGGAATTGCACTCATTCACCCACATCGACAGTACCTAGGCAATTATCAACATTGAATGTGGCGCTAGCTCAAGTCCAGCCTTTTGTAGTTTGTGGTTGTGAATTAGATATTTTCGGGTTCACCGTTCAATCAATATCTTAGTATTGTGGTCTGAAGGTTTAATTAGCGAAAATAAAAGAATTAATTCAGGGGATGTGTTTGAGTTGGGCAACCTCAAAATCTAAGGCAATTACTACCAAGCCCAAAAAGCTGTCTTGAATAACTCGTCTTGGCTTAGAAATAGTGTTACTTGATTCCCGAGTAGAAACTTTCAGAAACATCTAACTACCTAATTACATCAACTTTCTAAAGCTCTGTGACGTCCTGTTATGGAAGTTTTCGCCAAGCCACTTGGTGCTCCCTAAACGACAATTGTAACACGCGGCTGACAACCAGGATTTATTGTTGAACTCCCCGAGACAAGTCCTTTCCGAAATTATTCGGAAAACACTTCTGCTAATTGCGATCCTAGTTGCTACCGGCCTAGGCCACTGCATGACCTGATTTTACGTCGGCGGCGAATTTGTCCTCGGGCAGCCCTTGCGGATTGTGCTGTTGTGCATGAACTCTGCCGCGTTCCAAGAGAGGCCCTGGAACTTGTCAGTTTTCTAGGTTACCGATAGAGTTGCCTAGTTACATCACTTATTCCCCTGCAGTTTACGATTCAGTTGTTGAGTCCTTCACTAAAGGTTGGGTATTGTAATTACGCTTGGCAACAAGCAACTGCTTGACGAGATTAAAGTTTGACCCCTCTGGACGCCAAGAAGGATTTCAGTCTAGCTTGAACAGGGAACCCTTATCTTTCGGCCCCTTTCACGTTGATGTTAGTAACGAATTGACGTTCTCCGAGCTCAGACCCTGTGTTGTGGCTGCGCTAAACAGGGACTGCCATGTCCGTCTCCTCAGCCCTTCCAGGAGCTTGCCTTTGATCAGTGAAATATCAAGACCCATCACAACTTTATTTGTCCGATCCTTGGAAGCTTTTTCTAGACCTCGGTCAGCACCAATCCGGCTTAAAGTAACGTTATGGCTTTATTTGAACTCTTGTTTCAGAGTTTTGGTCCATGACTTTATGATTCCTCACCTAGACCAAATGACCACTTCACTTTACTTAATCATTCTCGGCTAATTCACTTCTTTTCTCGGCGGGTAACATGGCCTCCCGATCTCGGCAGGGGTGCGACGAGTGCCGGAGACGGCGACGGAAATGCGACGAACAGAAGCCGTGCTGCGGGCCGTGTGAGATGTACAAACGAGGCTGCAAGTACACGCTTCGTGTGGTCTGGGAAAAGAGCCGGCACAAACAGTCGTCTCGATCATTGCCGTCGTCTCACACAGGGGTTGTGGTTTTGGGGGGTAAGAATAAGACAGGTGAGACCACGCGCATTCGTGCTTTTGTTTCAGTATGAGACTATGAGTAAGTGACTTACATCACGGTAGGAACCTGCGAGATTACGTCCATTTCACAAGGGACTGGACCACCAATAGCAACATCACGAATAGCGACACCACCGCCAGCACCACCAGTAATACACATCTCACTATCACACCCTCAAGTCCCTGTTCAACACTCCCCATCCTTCTCCTCCCAACTCCCCTTCCCCCGTCTCCTCTCGAACGGCATTCCCCTCCCCCCGCGCTCCCAACACCTCCTCTCCCACTTTGCCAACAACATCCTCGCTTCGCTCTCCTGCCACCCCTCCATCCACGCCGACTTCCGCGACGGCCTGATCCCCGCCACCTTGGCCTCTCCTCCCCTCTTATCCGCCTGTCTAGCACTGGCGGCTGCCGGGTTGCTTTCCCGCGGGGTAATGTCCCTTGATGGGGTTGCCACGACACGCGTGCTGGAGCATTTGGAGTCATCTGGTTTGGCGTTGTTGCGGGAGACATTGGGCCGTTCTGGAGGGGGCTCAGGGGGCCCAGGGGGGTTGTTGTTGGATGAGACGGCTATGGCGACTTGTTTGGTGTGGTGTTTGGCGGATGTTTTTGCTTTTGATCGGGGGGCTGTTGCTGGTGAGAACACGAGAACTGCGGGTGAGAGTACGAGTAATAGTACTGTGAGAGGAGGAGGGGGGAAGATGACGAGGGGCACGGCGTGGAGGATTCATTTGCGGGGGATTCGGGCGTTGTTGGATAGGGAAGGACCGCATCGGGATTTTCGGGATTCAAAGGGGAAGTTGAGGGCTGCGAGACGGCATTTGTATCAGTTGTATTTGGCGCTAAGGACGTTGCCGTATATCCCGGCTTCGGAGGAGGTGGAAGACGCTGAACAAGAAAAGGAGGAACAAGACGGAAATGAGGAGGTCAAGGATTGTGAGGGAGGATTGGTGGTGGGTTCAAAGAGGTTGCGTCGGCCGAGGATGATAGGCCCGGAACCGGTAGCCTCGGTGTTGTTGTCGTCGTCATCAGCACCGAGCTCGGAGATCGATGGGTTCCTGGGGTACAGCGACGAGTTGTTGGATGTGATTCGGCAGATCGACCATCTCTCACGGTCCGCTCCTTTCCCGGTGCCCACAACCTCAACCTCACCGTCACCACCACCAACAACAGCAACAACAACAAAACAGACAACAACGCCAATATCAACACCAACACCTATACCCACCCCCGCCGACACCCTCCTCACCCACCTCCACCACATCATCGCCCGCGACACCGCCCACCCCCCAACCATAAATATTCCACCCCCCATCACCCCCTCCTACACCCACGAATTCACCCTCTGCCACTACATCTTCCTCCAATCCACCCTCATCCACCTCCACCGCCGCCTCTACCACCTCCCCTCTTCTTCCCCACCCATCCGCACAGCCACCAACACTCTAACCGCCCTCCTCCACGAAATCAGCAGCATCCGCGACGCCACAGAACCCTGCCATACTTGGGTGGCCATGGCCATGCCGCTGTTTACACTGGGGTGTGAGGTAGTGGAGGATGAGGGGGTGGAGTTTGTGTTGGAGGGGTTGGGCAGGTTGGAGGGGTGTGTGAGGTCGGGACATGTTGGGGGGATGAGGAGGGCGTTGGGGGACGTGTGGCGGTTGAGGAGGGAGTGGGGGGATTGGGGACGGGGGGAGGTTTGTGCGGGGGTGCTACTTGGTGAGTTTTTATTTTTGCTTCTTTTTTTTGATTTTTTTTTTTTTTTTTGAGTTGTGGTAGAGATGATGAGGGTGATGCTGACTTTGGACAGGGAGGTTGGATTATCATGTGGTGTTGTTTTGAGGGTATTGGTACAGTACAGTACGTATCATCGTATCACGCCAAAGCTATCGCCGATTCACCTGCCGATAGGTGTCTTAATTGAGGTAGTTTTCCCCATTTGGGTTTCCGGCAACAGGTCATACATTTGGGTCGAGCGGCAGATAAAAACCGGGGATCCAACGTGCGTGGATGGAGAAGTTAAACAACCTCTGGAGAATGGTTGGTAAATTGGACGAGACATCCAACCCTAACCCTAAGACCATCTGAATGAAGATCCCTCAAATCTCACGCCGGGTTACTCTCGGCGTGTTTTGGCATTCGCTTTAACATTAACGTTAAAGCCTTGGACACCAGCTTCTTAGAGAAGCCCATAACCCTTTTACATACAGGTGCCAGGCTCCTGTTCTTTCAGGTCCAACGCCAGTCACACATTCACAGGATCACGTGAGGTGCCTCCTTTGTCTGGTGTTCCACTGGAGTCCAGCATTTCTGGCGTACTGCCCCGCTGTGGGCCTGCCTGCCGGACCGACGCCGTTACCACCTCACTCGCATTCATTCTCGTGACACCACTTTCATCCTCACCGTCTCTTGCCCACTCTCCACACCAATACCTCCTTTCTCATGAGCTGACCGGCCGCGATGTCAGAAATGGACTCGGGCATGGGGACGGCGTCAGGCTCCGTGCCTGGCATCGACCCGGCCGCGGCGGCGGCTGCCCATGCGCAACTGAAGAAGGTTAAGAAGCAGAAAGTGTTGCTGATGGGGAAGAGCGGCTCGGGGAAATCGAGTATGAGAAGTATCATCTTTAGCAACTACTTGGCCCGGGATACCCGGCGATTGTAAGGACCCCGCATTCGTGCCATCTCACCAGTCTCACGGATGAGAACAAGATGCTAACCATTCTCTTAGAGGCGCCACAATCGACATTGACTTGTCCCATGTTAAGTTCCTGGGCAATCTCACCCTCAATCTGTGGGACTGCGGCGGCCAAGAGGCTTTCATGGAGAACTACCTCTCCCAGCAGCGCGCCCACGTCTTCAGCAACGTCGGCGTGCTCATCTACGTCTTCGACATCGAGAGCCGCGACGTCGAGCGTGACATGGCCACCTACGTCAACATCATCAGCGCCCTGGTGCAATATTCACGCGAGGCCAAGATCTTTGTCCTGATCCACAAGATGGATCTGATTCAGCCCACAACCCGCGAAGACGTCTTTGACGCCCGCGCCGCTCTCGTCAAGCGCAAGACCGCCGAGGCCGTTTCCATCGTGCTCAAGCAAAAGCCCGAGCAAGGCGGCCAACAACAACAATTACAACAACCACAACAACCAGAACCCTCCCCCACCCTCACAACCTCCGCCTCCACCACCTCCCTCAACAACGCCGACCCTTCCCTCAACCTCCAACTCTTCGCCACCTCCATCTGGGACCAATCCCTCTACAAAGCCTGGGCCTCCATCATCCACGACCTTGTCCCCAACCTCTCCGTAATCGAAACCCAACTCGCCAGCCTCGGCCAAGCCATCGACGCCGACGAAATCCTGCTCTTCGAACGGACCTCTTTTCTCGTAGTCTCCAAATGGACCTCACCCGAAGGCGAGCGCAACCCGTACGGCGACCGTTTCGAGCGCATGAGCAACATCCTCAAGAGCTGGAAACACACGTGTTCCAAGTACACCGGCACGCCGCGGAATGCGGAGCAGTTTTCGGATTTTGAGTACAAGATGGGGGTGACGTTTAGTATGTTTGCGACCAAGTTTACGACGAATACGTATATCCTGGTGTGTATGCCGCCTGGGGAGGCACGGTTTAATAGTGCGAAGCTGAATGTGGCCGCCGCCCGGCCGTGGTTTAAGTTTCTCGACGGGCCGGTTGTGTCGGCGCAGTCGCAGCAGCCGCAGCAGCAGCAATGAGGTGGATCGGGTAGTGGGGTCGGGGAGGAGGACATGATGGCCCAAATGGATGGATGGATTACTGTAGATTTCAGAAGGGTAGGAGGTCGCTGTTTCTGTCGAAGTAGCGTGATAGTACTTAGGTATTGGTGTTATGGCGTTGGAGAATGTCGGGATATTATTCTTTTGTATGGGTAGCGCTTAGCTCAGTGGGCATGGCAAGCATGTTAGGCTGGTAGTCGTTCATACATAATGGTCATCATTATCATGCGCATAATCTCCTGGCCGGAACCACGTAGTGTCTGATGCCCAGGAAAACACCGCTGGTAATTACCCCACGCGTCTATCATGTACGCTACCAGACCAGCTACGAGATAACTAATCCCTTTCTTTACGAGACCCGTTCTACAGTACCCCTCACAACTTGGCAAACTCATTTCCACTTAACCACCGCCGTGCCTCCCCTCTTAAACTCAGCCATCTCGCCCAACACCAACCCCTTCTCCTCATGCTCCTTGTTCGGGAACGTCGTGGACAGCACCCAGCTGCGCCCGCCCGCATCCGGCGACGAGCGCTCAATGAAGTCATACACGTCACCAACAGTCTGCGTCGTGTTAAACCGCGCGGGAAGACGGGTCCCATCAGGCAGTTGGATCCGCAGTGTCAACGTCGGCTGCGACTCATCCACCCTAGTCGAGGTTCCCTGGCCACTGGAACCAGCGCCAGAAGCAGCAGGTGTTGTACGGGTAGCAGCCGCCTCGGGGGCAGCCGCCGCAGCAACACCACCCTCACCGGGAACAGGACTTCCCAACCGACGGCCCTCACCGCCAAACGGCCGGTACACCCTCGGTAGAACGCGATACTCCTCATTATGCTGCTGCAACTTGACATCCACACGCTGATCAAGCCGCACATTCATAAGGTGGATCGGCGCGCGGCCCTCGCGAATCATCTGCAAGTCGGCACGGTTCTGTGGGTCGTCGAACCGCCGCAGCTCGCCGTCGTCGATGCTGAAGCCGTCGTTCCAGATGTGCAGGATGCGTTCCTGGACCGGGCCGTCGGGAGCGGGGGCTGTCGGGATGGCGCTGCCGCGCGGGTCGGGGACTACGCGGCTTTCGACGCCGTCGCCGCCGAGGATTTGGCCGGCTCCGCGGAATCGGGTGCGGGAGGACGGGCCGGCGGGTTCGTCGGCTGAGGGTTGTTGGGTGTTTCTGTTGTATATTCCTATTAGCACATGAACAGGACGTTCTTAAAAAAAGGGCGTCTCACGAGCGGGCTTTGGCCACAATATCATGAATCAGCCTGCGCGGATCCGACGACCGCTGGCCGGGATCCTGAACCGCCAACCCCGACTTCTCACCCCCCGCAAAGAGATCCCTCGGCCCACGCCGCTCGTCGTCCTCATCATCATAGTCTTCGTCGCCCTCCGAATCGTCATGCCCGTGACTGTGACCGTGACCACCTCCACCGCCGCCAATGGAGCTCAATGTTGCGAGACCGGTGCGTTTCTGCGGCTTGCGGGAAGACGACGCTGCGGAAGATGGGCCTGCATATTGGGGCGCCGGACGACCGTCGAGGGTTCGCGGGCCGGTGTAGGCTGGCTCTGAAGAGGCTTCGGCGGCTGAAGCACTGGTTGATGCGGCCGGTTGGTTGCCGCCTTCTTCGATGTCGGCATAGTAGGAGGTCACGGCTCCGTCAATGTCCCATTTGCTGGCGGTTAGGTATTCGGTGGCCTGGAATGGGTAGAGTTAGAATATGGAGAAATGCGATTGTTTTTTGGAGGTGATTTGCGGATTACCTGCTCGGTCGAAGCGTTGGTCAACTCGCAAAAGTTGCTGATTAGGGTGTCGTGATCCGCCATCTTGAATGTCGATTAACGAATTTCGAAATGTAAACTTGTGGATCGGTTGAAGTTTGGGAATTGGATTCTCAACGGAGAGGAGCGGTGTTGTTTAGGGGCTCCTTTTCTTCTTTGTCCTGGGTTCGAAGGAATGGTCGGATCTATTGATTGACAAAGGTCGGACAGGCAGCTCAGAGCTGCGGCGCCTTGTAATTCCAGGCTGCGTGCCCCGCGTCATCGCAAACAACAGCCCCGCCAACCACCGTCCAAACTCGGTTACGTAATCGCGAGCTCCTGCACGCCGGCCCGAGCGAGTGCAACTGCCCGACACTCCAAGACTGCCCATTCGCGATACTTAAACGGTGGCAGTTATTTATTTCGAAATTTCATCTGTAGACCCGTTTGAATTTATACGCTTGTAAACGTTATTTTCTTTTCCGGAAGTGATTTCCTTGACCTGATCCCAAGCCCCGTTGCCGGCTAGTAAGCGACTTCCGGCAAGACAAGCTCCCTGATCCCTGTCCGCTGCCCGTGCCTGGGCCTATTTGCGGAAGCGCCTCTCGGCCAAACTTCAAGACGTTCGTCGGCCCTCAGCATCATACTCTCTCGCTACGACGACCACCACCACCCCGCCCACAATCGCCATAATGTCCGTGGAAGAGCCACCAAACCCCCTGGCCGAGTCCGGCGTCACGATCCGGTCCGACAGCGAGCAATACTCGCGCCACGAAGACAGTTCCGTCTCGCCCCCGTCGTCATCGTCGCCTGCCGTCGTCCTGTATCAGCCGCCCACGCTCTGGTCGATCTTCCGCGGGGCCGCGATCAACATATTTCTGCCGTTTATCAATGGTATGATGCTTGGGTTCGGCGAGCTGTTTGCTCATGAAGCGGCGTTCCGGTTGGGCTGGAGCAACACAAGGGTACGCTACGGCTTGTTTCTCCATCTGCGCACTGCACATTAGATGGCGGAAACATTGGACTGACCTTTTGCTAGATTTTCCCTGTTTCCCGGCGGCAAGCTCACCCCATCGGGCCCGGTATCGAAGCCGTGGAGAAGCCGAGGGGGAGAAACGAGCTTGATGACTTGACGAGCCTGGAATAATCACGATCCATGTTACTTTTCACAGCATCGAGAACTCGGGATCGCCTATCCCATTTACACCACGCGGCGCTTTTTTTTTTCTGAAAAAAACAAAAAGGGAACCAGAACGATGCGGGGCAGTGGGACAACTTGCCCTTGGTTACAAGACGGTGGTGCGTTTTTAGCAATATTCGAGGGAGGAAGGCGTTGGGACGGGACAGGCGGCGGTAGATCTGCGCATTTGCGATACTTTCCATACGTTAAAAATGTATCCAGAGCTTAGTTGTTGATTCAGTCGTCACCTTCGTGTCCGGTCCTCGACACCCTCGGGCTGGTTCGGTTGCCCCACATTCCCCATCTGCGCAAAGGTGAGCCAGCTGCCAGGGGCCTGCCAGCCGGATCCTTGCCTTTCCCGCACAGGCCCACATTAAACTCCAGGAACCGGTCGAAGAAGCCGCTTGGAAATTTTGGCTCGCAACGGCAGCTTTTGAGAGCCGAACATCCGCCAAACACCGCAACGTGCCTGCAAAATGCTCCCAAGTAGGAGTCTTTTTCGCTTCGGCCCGGCGCCTGGGCTCTCGAGGGCAGTAAGTGATTGCACCCTTAAACCGCCCGGCCGGTCTTGTCAAGAAGAGAAAAAATATTAGCCAAGGAAGTAGACGGGAAAAGTCAGAACCCCTCGCTCACATCGCTTTCGAACTAGGCAGTACCAAAAGCCTCGACCCGACTCGCCCAGCGACAATTCAGTACCGCATTACGAACCAATGACGCCGTCTTGCGCAACACAACGACGTCCGGGAGGATACGCGGCCCCGCGATCCTAGCCGCAACATCCCAACCGCTCCTCCTCTCTCAACGGCAAGCCCGCAATGCCTCGACACAAGCAACGACCACCGTACCCCCGACCGATGCGGTAGACCTCACAAATTTCTCCGGGACACCCGTCAACCTGACGGGTAGCGACCTCCTGGACATCCCAGAACAGATTGGGTTCCTCAAAACGCTCGGCCTCGATTACGGCTGGGGCCCGACCTCGTTCATGCAGACCGTTCTTGAGTCCGTCTACGTCTACACCGGCCTCCCTTGGTGGGCTTCCATGGCGATCGTGGCCGTGGGTATTAGGGTGGCTCTCTTCAAGCCTACGCTGATTGCGTCCGAGAATGCGATCAAGTTCCAGGAACTCCAGAAAGACCCAGAGTATGCTGGGGCGATGGAGGAAATGAAGCGCCTGATGGTGAACGGGAACCATATCGCAGGGGCGTCGGCGCGGGCGAAAGTCAGCTTGATGAACAAAAAGGCCGGGTATTCGATCTTCAAAAACTTGTACCCCATGCTCCAAATCCCGCTCGGAATCGGCATGTTTCGTCTCACCCAGGGTATGGCTGCGCTCCCGGTACCGTCTTTTGAGACCGGCGGCTTCCTCTGGTTCACGGACCTTGCTGCCTCAGATCCTCTTTTCATCATGCCCATTATCACGGGTCTCCTTATGGCGTGGAGTATGAGGGTATGTTGACCTCCTTGTTACCTTTGTGCCTTGCGGTCCTAGCCAATGGGGTGGTTGTTGGCTAACTCGGTCCAAACACAGATACCACTGAAATACATGGCGCCACAGCAACAAAAGATCTCCAGAATCATGAGTCTCATCATCATGCCGATATCCACCGGCGTGGCTCTGTTCTTCCCGGCCGGCACAACCTGGTTCTTCTTCCTCTCGTCCCTTCTCCACGGCACCCAGACCTACGTCCTGCACCAAGGCTGGTTTCGCCGCATGGTTGGGCTTCCCCCGCTCAGCGCTCCAAGCTCAGCGCCGAGAGTGGCCTGGCACGCCCCACGCGTTCTCAACGTGGCCGCCCCGAGGGTCAAGGGTAGCCAGACTGCCAAGTCGGCACCGGCTGCCGGTTCGCAGAGCATTTACCAAAGCCTGATGACTTCCATCAACGATGCCAAGGGGATGACAAACGCGCGGATGGACAAGAACGCCGGGGAGCGCTCCGCGAAGGCGGCCAAGGAGTACCAGGACCGGCGCGCCCTCGAGGAAAAGGAACGGTTAGTCTCGCGCTTGCAGAGCAAGAAAATGAAGGGGTACTAAATCGGCAGTACTCTTGACGTCATTATACCTGGGAGTATCGGCGTCTTGGGGTTGGTGGGGGGTTAATTGGCGAGACCGACCGGCTTACATCCATAAGGGGACTAAAAGGAGACGTTGGTGGTTTGTTTGCATCTCTTCTCTCAGCTGCTGCCTCCAACTGGGCGGTCCGCATCCCACATGACGTCTCCGGATGCCATTCTATCCGTGGAAGCTATCACTTACACGTACATGAGCTGCTGCAATGCGACTCGGGCTTTCAAAATTCGGATACGGCCGCGCAGATCACTGGGATGGTGAGATGGGGTGGCTGAGTGACACGATCCTTTTCTCCTCTCCCAAGAGGACGGGCAAGTTGGGGTAGAAGGGAGAGGAGGGGTGATATCTGAGCACGCCATTCCATCATGGTGGCCTGCACCACTCAAAACAGCAACTGCATCCGCCAAGCCGCCTTGAGTGGACGAAATGGGATTGGACAGCTTAGACGGCCATCTCGACGGCGGGGGATCGCTTTTGCTGCCTCCACGGCAGCGCAAGGATTGGGGGGATCTAGGTGCCAGATACTTCATCATCTGCACCATGTATATCTACTTGTAGCATTTTCCCTTGTCACACTATTCCATCCATCTGCTCCTGTTGTGTCCACCTCCCGTCCCCCACTGACTGTGCGTTTTGTTTCATCAAGCTCGGCGAAACACTCCCGCGCTACGGGCCAATAGTCCGTTCATTCCTGTTCGACTGCATCGTCACTTATATAAATATCCTCCTCTCTCACACTCCATTTGCCCTCTATTACCATCCACACTGCCCACCCTCATACACACTCACATACACACAGCCATTCAACCCATATTGTTCAATTACCAAACCCCCACCACAGCCATGAGCGCCATCCAGAAGAACGTTGAAGCCAGCTCGGCCAGCTACTCCGCCTCCTTCACCAAAGGCGACCTCGCTCTGCCTCCGGCGAAGAAGTATCTCGTCCTCACCTGCATGGACGCCCGCATCGACCCTGCTCAAGCCTTTGGGATCGAGCTGGGCGATGCCCATGTTATTCGTAACGTGAGTCCTGTTCCTTTGAGCCTTTGAGACGCTAGGGTGATTTCTTTTGCCATACGGAAATCGAGGAAGCCAGCCCGGTATTGACGGCCCAATAAAATATTGTCTCTAACCTGATTCCCAGGCTGGCGCATCCGCCGTCGACGCCCTCCGCTCCATCGTCATCAGCGAGCAGCTGCTTGGAACCACCGAGATTGTGCTCGTCAAGCACACCGGCTGCGGCATGTTGACTTTCAAGAACGAGGACGCGTATGCTATTGTCGAGAAGAACCTTGGGTATGTCCCTTTCTCTCTTCCTTAACCCTCCACGGAAAATCACGTAACCCCCCCTTCAGCATTTTACTCCTCTTCAAAATCCAGTGCCAAACAACCAAGTAAACCGACCACTAATACTGATACAAATCACAGCCCAGCCGCCGTGGACGAACTCAAGGCCAAGAACCTGGATTTCCTCCCCTTCCCTGAGCTGGACGAGGCCGTCAAGAAGGATGTTGCGTACATCCAGGCGTCGAAGCTGGTGCCAGACTCGGTGACCCTCAGCGGGTGGGTGTATGAGGTTGAGACTGGGAAGACTAGGCGGGTTGTTTGATTTCTCTTTTTCTGGAAGGTTGGATAGGAATGGAGCAAGTAGCTTTTCGTGTTTGTGTCAGGATAACTAACTGTAGTGACGGAGATTATGGTATGAGACTATATGCCAACCAATTTGACCGTCGATGAGTAACATTTCGGACCTTGAAACCATGTCTCACGTGTGGGGCAACTAGATAATAGCTTGTCTAGTAACATGACGCGATGCGGCTCAAAAGCCATGCCGTGCCATGGCTATATAGAGTCTGATATAGCGTCGTGCAACTATTGCAATTTAGTAAAATCAATCAAGAAATGGAGAAGCAAATATCGTTGCTTTCAAGATCGTCTGCGTATTTGACATCACAATAATTGGATGTCATGAAATACCCCGAGGGCTAATCGAAAATCAATATAGTTAAAGAGCAGAGGTTGTCCAAAAGACTAGAAGCAAAATATCCCTCATCTACCTCACACATCCCCATTTTTACCACAAAACTCTTAAAAGTCCTCCCCAACGCGCGCTTGCTTGCTCCCCGCCCACCCCTCACGCTCAAAGTACCGAAACACCAAATAATAGTCCTCAAACTCATGAATGATCCGGTCCATCCTTCGGTACCCATTAATCCGATCCATCGTCTTGTCCACACCAACTCCGTTCGCAACCTGCGCCACGCCGTCCTCATCGTCCGCCGTCTTATTCTTCGTCTCGAAAAATGTCACTGTGAATCGGCCAGGCTTGAGGATATTGACCACGTGCTCGATAGTGTCAGACGTCTGGCGGCCATTCTGTCCGCTTGGGACGTTGGTTTCGAACGAGGCGTAGGAGCAGATGGGCTCGGGCGTGATGTGGACCGTCCAGTAGTGGGCTAGTTTGGTGGCGGTCTCGTCGGGAGCATTGGCGGGGGTGGTGGCTACGGGGGCTGGGACGACACCGTTGGCGGAGTAGCCACAGGGGGGAAAGAGGTAGGCATCTATGCGGGCGTCGGGGTAGACGGAGGTTGGGTAGATCCCGGCGAGACCGCAGGTTTCGGAGACGACGGTTCCCAGGGCGTGACCTTCCGTGGTGGCTTCAATGGTATCCGCTTTACCCTCGGCCACTGGACCCTTCTGGATATCGGACTCGGCGATGTTCTCGAAGACATCCACTGTCGCATCGATATCACCGACACACTCCTGAGCAGCGTGGCGGGCTTCCTCTGCTTGGGCTGGGACCCGCTCGTTCGCGGCCGCGGTCGCTTGTTCAATGTAGAATTGTTTCGCCAGCTCCGGGTCGAGATCCATCATTAGGACCTCGAGCGTTTCGTCGGCAGGTCCATCGCCAGGTTCGCTGACATGAGATACTCTGCCAGTAGGGATCCTCTTCATGCCGGTAGGACTGCTCCCGTTGTTCGAACCAGGCGTCGGGGGCGGTGTTAGGGCTGCACTGGTGGGGTTCGTCATGTACAAGTACCAGTGGTCCGCGTTCATCCGCCCGACCATGTAGGCACTCCCATTCTCGAAGGTTTCGTCAAGGAATTTGACTTCTTCCTTCCAGCTGGTGTGAGGTCCCTGCTGGCGGTCTGGAAAGAGGAAGTTCTTGCGGCTGTAGAAGACCCGGTGTGGTGTGGCGGCCACGTGGATGTCTTCGAGAGATGCGGCGTTGTGGAACGGGAAACCGGCATCGACGGCTGCGATGCGCAACATACGTCGCAGACCGAGCAGTAGGGTAGTGGTGCCGCACGTCTTGAGGATAATTTTGTGCGGGAAGACGAACATGCTGGACTCGGAGAGGAGGTAGGCGTCGACGTGGTCGGACTTGACGATCGACAGCACCTTGCAGTTGACCATGTCAAGCATAGTCTCCCAAGTCGAGGGCGTAACCGCCTTCAGGCCATTCTCCTGAGCAGTAGCCGGCAGAGTGCTTGGGCTTGGCGCAAACCAAACCTCGAGGAGCTTTTCCGGGCCTTCGAAGGCGTTGCTCGAGTCCAGGTCTGCAGCCACATCATGGTTGATGGTAAGCTGGAGGCTGCCGGGGGTTGTAGAAAGGTTGGAGACGGGGGTCTCGAGGTGAGCCATTGCTGGTTTACGGGCGGAACGGGAGCTATGTCGTCTGGTGTAGAGAGCGTCCGCGGGACACTAGCTGCCACTCAAACGAGCCGTGCGGTCGTCGTTTGAGAGAGTAGGCCCACAGGAAGTTGTGTCCTCGAGAGTGCTGGCGGAGCCAGCTACAATGTGCAAAGGTAGTAATCGAACGTCACCGAGGGGACGTTAGGGAGGCCGGCCACGAACGGTGATCAGGTAGGGCTTTGTGGACGGTATGATGGGCTGTCGGGTCTCGGGCGTCTGAGTGAGTTGTTGGCCGATACGTTCGATCAAGTATCGGTGGGTGGGAAATAGAAGAATTTTCACAGATAGCGGCCGTAGAAGGTCTGAGGTGGGTTGCAATGAAGTGTCGTAGGTTTAGGTTGGAGTTATCTAGGCCTAAAGTTGTGGTTTTTGTTAGGTACCCATGAAGCTCGAGACTTGCAGATATGCACGCACTTGGCCGGCTTGGAGAGGAACCGTAGGAGATCAATTGAGGTCATTGACAGACGGGGCGAGGGAAAAGTTCGATGGCAGTGAACAAGACACTACGCGGGACAAGCAGCCGTATTTAAAAGCCGCGGATCATGGCGGGACGGGGTCGCTTCGCTATTAAGCGCGGCTTTTCGAGCGCCAATCTCGGGCACGAGAGAGTGCGGCAACTGATGAATTCAAGAAAACGCACCTCCGAAAGAAGCTAGAGTATAAGTTTGTTCGTGGTTTGAAGCAGTATATTAGGAATTCGGCGGTTAGATCCAAAATTGATAAGTGGTATGTCGACGGAGAACCCAGGCGCAAGTTCACACCTGCTTTTTGACATTTCATCTGAAGAAGTTTTGGAGGGGCAGAAAAACAATGGAGCGGTTTTTGGGACGAACCCCACATTTCAACCTTAGCGTGTGACATTGATCTGATAGAGGGGTACCTCTTAATAAAATTGGGATCGGATGTAGCTACCATCATAAAATCCAAAAATGTTCGTAGTATGGCCTATGATAAGGCTACGGTTGGGGCTATCTGTAGCGAAAGCTTCGTAATTGCTGATGTCGATTTGCTTAGATGTATAACAGGTTGGACGAACCTGTAAAGGTATCACTTAACTTTCAAGAACATGCAACAGGGATGTGGGCTTGATGCCCCGCGGCTCGGCAGCCCACCAACGACAACAATTAGGTTTCCTCACCGCATCTCTGGATCCTTGGCCAACGTCAGGGACAATGTTGCGTCCTTTTGCGGGAGAAAATTGTACTACATAACTGGTTGACATTTGTTTTTTCTCTCGGATGATTTAGGCACCTATCTCCTCTATTCCTTTGAGAACATCCTCCGTTATGTTTTTAAATACTGGAGCCAAGGAGCAGCTCTTGTACTTCTGGACTAGAAGCGCAGAGTCGCGTGTCTCGTCGCCCTCAGCGGGCTCGTGGCCGTTTGACGAAATATCTTGGCCATTGACCGAGGTCCCTTCGGGGTATCTTGGGCTTCTCCCTGTTTCGATAAGGACCAGAAACTGAGGATCAATGGGCACGTTGCCCAAAAATTTAACCTTAAAGTCCTCCGCCATGACCCGGCCCCCTCCACTGCTGAAGATGTTGGTGCACTCGCTGCAGTTTGGGCAGACAAACCCACTCATGTTCTCAACAATCCCCAGCACCCGTATCCCGGTCTTGGTGCAAAAATTAAGTTCCTTCCTCACATCCGCCGTAGCCACAGCCTGCGGCGTCGTCACGACCACAGCACCGGCAAGCTGTTCAGGCCGCGCCTTTTGCAGGAGCGTCTCAGCGAGCGAAATGTGTTCGTCGCTTGTGCCCGGCGGCGTGTCGATCAGGAGGTAGTCGAGATCATCCCAGAAGACGTCGGACAGAAACTGGCGGACCATGGCCGTCTTCTTCGGCCCGCGCCATACCACGGCGTCGCCTCGTCGCGGGAGGAGGAACCCGAGGCTCATGACCCGTAACGCGCCGATCCCTGTTTCTGTGTCGGCTTCGTGGACTGTGATGGGCAGCCAGCCGCCGGGGGCTTGGGTGACTTTTGCATCCTCGATTCCGAACATGCGCGGGATGGAGGGGCCTGTGAGGTCGACATCGAGGACGCCGACGGAGTGGCCGGCGAGGGAGAGGGAGAGCGCGAGTTGGGTGGTGACGGATGACTTGCCGACTCCGCCTTTTCCGGAGAGCACCTGTCAAAGTTGTTAGTCAGCCATAGCCTCGAAGGTGGAAGTCCGTAAGGAGTTTGTGGCCGCTTACCAAAACGATGTGCTTGACTTTGGCGAGCGACATGACGGAGCGCAGGAGCTCGAGAGCTCAGAGGTTGGGGGTGGGATTTGTCTTCTTAGGAGGGTAGAGTAGCCACCGTTGAAAATTATAGATATGTTTTCAGGGAGGTTGCGCGCATTCCATATGTGTTGGAAACATCATTGGTGATGCCATTTTTGAGGCTGTCGCTTTTCTTTAGTTCAAGACGGCGCAATTGCCCCTCTATCGGCGGGATCGGACTGCTTTATCAGCAAAGTGGGCCTCCCACCACATCCGAAGAAGAGCACCACGGCGGAACTTGCATCCTAGAAACGACGGCTTTGATAATGTAGCAGAAGTTCTCCTCCATTTGCCCACCAAGCTGAGCACCCTAAATAGACAGCTATCTATTCAACGCCTCAATGAGAAACCGAGACATCGTCCATGTGTTGTGGCACAGGCCTTGCGTTGAAACGATGCCAAGGGTTGAGCTTCCGCTGACTTTGCACATGCCGAGTCTCTGGAACTTCTACAGCGTGGACGGGTACGAACTGCTCGCGTGTCAAACAACGCTGAACACCACAAGGCCGTTATTCTGCTACCAGCCGTGTGATGTAAATTTCCCGGTATTTATCTTGATATCGGTATACACTAGATTTGGGTGTGAAGCAGAACTTGGTGTTTGGAGCTTGTCTCGTTTCAAAAGGTCCCCGGTCGCTGCGATCGGGACCTGTAGGGGTTTGTCACCCCCTGGCTTGTCCCGTTTTCTTCTTCCAATTGCAATCTCCCAGCTCCCCGGTCGACAACAATCTCCCGGTCGCTCCGACACGAACATCGCCATTCTCAACCCATCTCTCTCTCGACAACAACAATTTGATCCGCTACGGCAGCCATCTAAATCCCGACCCAATCCCGCTCACACAGCGTCGCCGAAACACCAACGACGGCCGGCTTCTCGATTCCTGCGAGCGAACGATGCTGACCACTCGCGGTAGCACCTCGCCCGGCACACCATGATAATCGTCGCGGCACATGATGGACGATCCTTGGGGTTCACCATGGGCTGCCACAGATTCCGACAAGGGCCGGAGGGCCGCATCGCCCGCGAAATCCGACATTGCGCCCCCACCGCGCGCCTTTCTCTCGGCGTCCAACTCGCCGCGCATCCCGGACGGGCTGGAACAGCATTCGCCTTGGGGAGGGGGGATAGGAGGAGGAGGAGGAACAGGAGGTGACGATGCCGGCGGGTTTGGAGAATGGGCGACGCCAGCGGCGGTGGTTGATACACCGGGACATTCGGTCTGGGCTGGGGGATGGGGCGGTTCAAGCCCGAATTTGCTTGCGACGCCGCGGGATGACGCGGCGTTGGGGAGGAATAGTCCAATTACGTTGCCGGGGAGCGTTGCGAGTTCGAAGCCGACAGGTAGTAGCTCTGGATTTCGACAGCCGTCGCCAGACCCGTGGGGGAGTGGGTTTTCTTCGCGACGACCTTCGCATAACGATGCCGGGTCGACCCCGAGATTGGTTGTTGAAACCGCGTCTCCTGTTGACGAGCCGATCGAACTTGTGGATGGGGGTGTTTTTGGGATTGATGGGGATTCAACATGGGGTAAGGCTGATACCGGCGGGGACAGTATCCCCACGATGACCGACGTTCCGGACATTACCACATCCCCAGTGAGGGTGTCAGTCGAAAACAAAGAGGAAGAAAGGCGTGATAAACGAAGCACTCCGGTTCCGGCACCGTCCGACGACGCCCGGTTTAGTGTTGAATCCATTGCTCACGGCCACGAAGACCAATTCTCGGCACCGTCGAACGACAACACAGATTACGAAGAGGACCGACAGGACTCGCCCATCACATCCATTGATGAAGAACCCAGGGGGCTGCGACCCGTTTCTAGGAAAGAATCTAACAAGGTTCACGAGCTCGTTGTTAAATTTGACGGGCTTGCCAGAGCCGCTAGTGAAGAGCGCGAGGTTGTCGCACGTGCCCGCAGCACAAGCCGGTCAAGTGCCCAAAAAAGGGAAGATTGGACCGATGCTGGAGATTTTGGAGAATTTGAGGACACCCACGAAGATGGCCAGGGCGGGAACCACGAGCTTTCTGTACGGCTAGAAGAACCGCCAGAAGAGCCTGAACCAAAGCGGGACCCCCGGCCGGAAGAAGCTCCACAACGCGACGCGGATACAACATTGTCAACACACTCAGAACCTGACACACCACCGCCCCGCTTGTCACCTATTGCCAAATATGGGCCTATCCATTTCGGAGTGGACTTGGCGCTGATCGGCAAGCTGTTGTCAGAACCGTCAACGTCGAACAAGTTACCCGAGGTCGAGCGCAGCGTTCCCGACCATGTCATAAGCGACAGTTTCACCACCATTTCGGAACGCAAATCGTGGTACCGAATTTCACGGCTAGGCTCATCACGCCGACACAACGCCGGGGACGACGATAACTACCGACGGGTTGCCTGGCCTTCCTCGACGGTCCACGATGATACGATCAAAATTGTCCGACGCTGGATGGAAGAGGACTCCATTGCCGGACGTGTGGCTCTTGGAGGCGGCATTTCCAAAACGCAAAAGAACATGTTTGGCTGGGACTCTTCGGCCGAGCCCGTGGCCTTGGAGACCATCTTTAGGAAGAAGTTCTCTCACAACAGAGCCTCCTCCGCGCAGCCATTGAAGACTACCGGCCTGTTCCCGGGACCCACCGATGGGCCAGCGAAGGCTTCCCCGCTGCGTTCGGCGCATCGCGCTACGGAAAGCGTCGGCCCCGGCGTCCCTTCGTTTGGCTGGGGTAGTACCAATGATCCGCCCCCGCGTGCTACACACCAACGGACTCTCAGCGGGCAATCCAGCACGTCCAGCACGGCGATCCCGGCCCCGGCCACAGCGGTCGTTCCCGAGCCACGGCTGAGCGTCTCGAAGAATGATGATAACGACAACGATGAGGACGACGACGATGAGTGGGGGGAAATGGTGTCCTCGCCTGTAGTATCCCAGCCTCCCGTACTTCCTGCGACGAAACAAGCTCCACCTACGACTCTGAAGACAACTCAAACAGTTATTCCTCAGCAGCCCAACGAGCCGGTCGTTGAAGAGTCTCAGAACATGGTCGATGTCTCGATCTTCGACTCTATTCCTGCCAACCCAATGCCTGCTTCGGAGATGCCAGCGACACCAGCGTCTATTTCGAAAGTTGTCGAGACAGCTGACACAGATTCGACTGCTGGACCCAACCCGGCACCAGGGGTCGGTGATACTTCAATAGCGAAGACCGCCGTTGACTCGACATCATCCACATTGACGGGTGATGCCCTCAGCTCGGCAACTGTTGACGAGCCGCAAGATGACCAAGAGGAGACGGTACATCGAATACTCGCTGGGTTGCCAGACTTCTCGTATATGTCTCTTTGAGAGTGGAGTGCACGGCCTACGGTCTAGATGTTGTTCACGGTGCTGGCGTTACGGAATGGCATATCAGAAAAATATTTTGGTGGTTGTGGAATACACATTTTTGGATTTTAACTACTGTAGCTTTGTCATAATTCTAACCGAAGTAAGAGTTGTTGATGTCATTTGGGTACGGTATATGATCGTTCCACCAGTTTAACATTTTTCGGTACTTGACCCCGACCCCGGAGATCCACATCCTTCTCGGAATCGCGAGGTTCGCAAAACTCGATGCGATATAAAGCGACTCGGGTTCGGCCTTCGCGCCGCGCTCCCCCACACTTTTCACAATGCCGTACCGCGTTGCCGGCGCTTGCTAACGGCCCGCAAGGTCGGGCAATGCGGGATCCCCCCGCAATCGACGCAGTGCCAAGACCGAGAATCAGCTGGCTTCGCCAAGCCGACGCCGATTGGACCTAAGTCCCCGGTGGAAATCGGGGAACGATTGCGTAGCAGACTACACTTCTCTCGAAGCCGACAGCCACAGCCGGACTCCCTTGATCTGCCACCCTTCGTTTGACGATTGCCAGTGTTCCCAACGCCACGGCGTCACAAGGCTCCTCACACGGATCGAAACCTCGGCCCTTGGGAAATGTTTAAAGCCAATTAATTGCGTGTTGCAGCTGTTGCTCTTCCTTTTCGGATGGGACGAGACTTTTACGGGTTCTGTCTCGCGTGCATCGTCATTTCACTTTTAACCTAAGTTGCCTCACAAACGGAAGCGACCAGACCACGGTTAATCCGGATTGTGCTTCAACTCAAGACACTTCATCATTTTCCCGATACTGCAAGACACCTCATTTACGCTGCAGGTCCCATTTAGCCTCTCATCCTATTGGACATGGCGGTCGTCAGTCTTATCTTCTCGCCTTGGGCATTCGTGGGCGTCTTCGTCTCGCTAGTGGTCTACTACGTCTATCCGTACCTGGTCACATACAGGCATCTTCGACACATCCCGGCCCCTTTCCCGGCCCAGTTCACAAATTGGTGGCTGTTAATAACGGCCCGGCGAGGTAGCCGGTACGCCACGGTCCATGAGCTGCACAAGAAGCTCGGCCCGGTGGTGCGGCTCCAGCCGAACCACGTCAGCTTGTGTGATGATGAGGCTATTCAGATTGTGTACGGCCATGGGAACGGGTACTTGAAAGCGTGAGTTATCATTATTTGGTTCCATTGGTAGAATTTAGATAACTGATACAGTCACAGCGACTTCTACGATGCCTTTGTGAGCATCCAACGAGGCCTCTTCAACACCCGGGACCGCGCCGAACACACGCGCAAGCGCAAGATCGTGTCCCACACCTTCTCCGCCAAATCTGTCGCCCAGTTCGAGCCCTACATCCACAGCAACCTCGAGCTCTTCGTCCGCCAGCTCGACAACCTCATCACCAGCTCCACCGCCGCCGACCGTGCCGCCCACTTCGACTGCCTCAACTGGTTTAACTACCTCGCCTTCGATGTAATCGGCGACCTAGCCTTCGGCGCCCCCTTCGGCATGCTCTCCTCCGGTGCCGATCTCGCCGAAGTCCGCTCTTCCCCCACATCCCCCCCGATCTACGCCAGCGCCATCGAAATCCTCAACCGCCGCGGTGAAGTCTCCGCCACTCTCGGCACCCTCCCCGCGCTCAAACCCTACGCCAAATACTTCCCTGACCCCTTCTTCACCCAGGGCGTCAAAGCGGTCCAAAACCTCGCGGGAATCGCCATCGCCCGTGTTAAAGCCCGCCTCGAAAACCCGCCCCCCGCTCACCTGCAGCGCAAAGATCTCCTCCAGCGCCTCATGGAGGGCCGTGATGAGAAGGGTGAGCCCCTCGGCCGCGAGGAACTCACTGCTGAAGCCCTCACCCAACTCATCGCGGGGAGTGATACCACTTCCAACTCGTCCTGCGCGCTGCTGTACCATGTTGTGCGCACCCCGGGGGTGCTGCGCAAATTGCAGGCGGAACTGGACACCGCTCCCGGGATCCCAGAGGACTGTGACGTGCCGACGTTTGAGATGGTGCGTGACCTGCCGTATTTATCGGCTGTCGTCAACGAAACGCTACGTATCCACTCGACGTCGGCACTGGGACTGCCACGGCAGATTCCGTTGTGCAAGGAAGGCTTGCACTACAAAGGGTGGTATTTCCCGCCTGGGACAGTGTTGAGTGTACCGGCGTATTCGGTGCATCACTCGACGGAGATTTGGGGGCCGGATGCGGATGAGTTCAGGCCGGAGCGGTGGTTGGATGGGGAAGAAGGGAATGCGGAAGGGTTGACGGCGCGACAGAAGAACGCGTTTGTGCCGTTTAGTTATGGGCCGCGGTCGTGTGTGGGACGGAATGTGGCGGAGATGGAGATGAAACTGATTGTGGCTACGTGGGCGCGGCGGTATGATGTGAAGTTGGAGCAGGAGGTGATGGAGACGAGGGAGGGGTTTTTGAGGAAGCCGTTGGGGTTGGACATTGCGTTGACGAGGAGGTAGGGGATCTTTCGGGAGGTCTTTCAGGGGGTTTTTAAGGAGCAGGGTTAGGGTTAAGTGTGAGATTGAGATGCGAGTTTGTTCTCTTGAGACTGAACCCCCCCTCCATATTAGCACACCCAGCTATGAATACACACGAACAGCCGCTGTTTCTGCCCCTTCTTTACTACCAGTGAGCTTCACTCCCCACCACAGCCTTGACCCCCCTCATAACCAACCACCCCGACATAACCACATGAAACCACCTTCCAAACCCACTCTCCAACAACACCGGCGCCTCCCCTTCGCGCCTCCACATCCACGTCTCGTTCACAAACACCACACCATCCTCCTCCCCGTCCCTATCCTTACTGCGAGACAAAGACAAAGGCACCCTCTCCATCCCAGCAACCACAACCCCTTCCACCCTCTTCCCACGATAACTCTCCGGCGCATCTAACGCCATCTCCACCCTTTCCCCTTGCCATTCTCCTACTACACCCCCATCCCCTGCCTTAGAATCATCATCACCAGTCGGGAGTGTTGTATGTGTTGCAACCCGGGGCCCGACACCGCGATACCCAACCCTCCAAAACCCATTCACCCTATCCCCCAGCGTAAACCCCAGCCCCGCTATAAACCCCCGGTCAAAAGTCCGCACGGCGGCGGCGTCGTGTTTGACTGAGGCGTGGAGGAGGTAGGCTTGGGGTGTGGAACGGAAGGCGGACATTGTTGTGCGGAGGTAGGTTGTTAGGGCTGGGGTGTAGGAGGGTGAATCCGGGGGTGAATCGGAAGGTGGCAAGGGAGGGAGGAGGGAGAGGGGGATTGGATGGGAGGTTAGGCGTTCGTAGGCGAGGATCCAGGTGGTGTTGAAGCCATCGTTGGTGTCGTTGTCGGGGGTGGTTTCGGCGTTGATGAGTGCGAGGTTCAGTTCGTCTGGGAGCGTGATGGGTAGGGGGGGTGTTGTCGGTGTTGCTGGGGTTGTTGTTGTTGTGAGACCGGTGGATTTGTTTGTGCGTTTTGGTGTCCTGACGACTCCAGTGGTGATGGTGAGGTTTTGGGAGACGAGTCGGTCGAGGTAGAGGAGGTACCCGACGGGTACGACGATGGGGACAACGACGAAGGTGATGAGTGCGAGTTTTGGCGCTGAGGGGTACAGGTCCGGGAGGCCCATTTTGATGGTTGACGACAGAAAGAGTGGTGTTGTGGTAGAGTTTATACCGTTGAAGGGGGAAAGGTTGAGTTGAGATTGAGAGTTGAGAAATAAAAATCGTCCGAAAATGAGCGATGCCAAGCGCCGATGCTTGGAACTTTGCCAAGGTGGGCAACCGTATTTCGTATCCGTCCGAGTGTTGGGGTGTTGGGGTGTTGGAATTTTAGCCACATTTGAGCAGGACGTTTTCCCGAAAGAATTGGTGATTTCGTTACTCGTTTACTAGAGCTATTTTTGCTTTGTTTTTCTGTCTTGGCCGGCAGGTGTGGAACTGCATACAACTTGCCGAGTCAACTGCTGCTTTCCAGTTATAGACGGAATCTTCCGTATTCTTTGTGAAGGGATTTTATTTTGATTTGACGATATCACTTAATTATGTTACCGCAGTTCTTGTTCTGTATGTGAACTCACGTTGGTAATATCATTCGCAGACACTCTGTCTTCTGGATGTAAGGCATGGCTAGCGCCGGCAAATCAACCATCATGAAACAATACGTAAACATACTAGCGTTAACGCCAATCGATAGCAATCAAGTTGTCGTATGTGCTCTCCTTTCCCGGATCCCCAGCGTTGGGAGCACGCTGCCGCAGAAGCCTCTCTGCCTCGTCTCGGAGGCGAGAGGCTTCCTCAACATGTTGAGGCTCTTGTTCTAACGCCTCCGAGAGCTTGAAAAGGCACCGCATATGCTCGGCCACCATGTTGTGCTTACGCTTCTCCGTGACTGCCAGGGCGTCCCGCAGGTGTTTTCTGTACAGCTTCTGTTAATAATTACCAGGCACGTTGCTTCCAGCGGCTTAATTACTGTTCACTTACATAGCGGCTTCCAGTTGACCACGATCAAGAGCGATGCAGCCAAGTCGGTACATGCATGCCCCGTTGAATGGAGAGCTCCGCAACTGATCACCGTTCGCCCGCAAATTCGGGGCTTCCATGAAATGAGCCTCGGTCGGCTCGTCCTTGTGCTCGACGCGGTCGACGGTGCCGGGTGCGAAGTGAGTGCTGGTAATTACGGTCAGCACTAGATCTGGCACCCCTTTCTGCGCTGCGCAATCTCAAGACCTGGGACACAGAAAATTACTTACCAGGCTGCCATGGCCCAATTGAATGGCTCAGACCTATTGCATTCCGCCAGCGCCTCGGCCAGAAGTTCCCTCGCTCGCTCAGGCTGGCCAAACCATACCAGGCAGTGCGCTAGATTGGTCTTGATGTCGGCGGATCCCTCCCCCTTTCGTTCACTCTGCTGTTCTGACCATGTTGTGAAATGGGCCGAACACCGCTCATACCATTCAATGGCTTCCTCGAACTGATTGAGCGTCGCGATGCCCGTGGCGGCATTGCAAGCGGCCCAGGTCGATTCACCGTGGTTGAACGGGATGGCCCGCCCGCGAATGTCGTACGATTTCTTGAGCAATACAACCCCCTCTTTGGCTTTCCCGATGCGCACAAGCAGCTGACCCTTGTGCGAGGTCAAAGAACCCTGTAGGCCGATGGTCTGTTGTTCCTCTGGCAGTGTGTTCAGGGCAATGGTGTTGGCATCAACAAGAGATTCAAGCTTCTCATACGAGCTCAGTTCTAGTAAGTACCTGGTAAGTATTGCACCGTTAGCCAGCTTATCCATCTACTCGGGGGAGAATAATTGGTACTTACCGCTGGCATGAGTTGCTGAGCTCACAGTAAGCCTGCAAGACCGTGAACTTGGGCTTCGACTCTTTCTCTTGTAAAAAGCAGTCCTTGAGGCTCATGACGTGCTGAAGATACACGGCACAACGATCCCATAACAGATAAAGTTGGAGAATCTTGGAGTCGCGTCGGGGAAAGGCTTGGAAAAGAGGAATTGTGGCATTGTTGAAAGCTTGTTGTCTTCCGTCTGGGCCGAGGAAATCTTTAAAAGACGCCTGCACTAGCCGATGAAGCGAGAATGTCCTCGAGGCTTCATCCCTCTTGATCAGCGCGGAAATTAGAACATTCTCGATTGCCTCGGAAAAGCTGGTAAAGTTGTTGACTCGGGTTAGAAACACAGACAGACGGACTCTGGAGTCGAACAAGACACACCCGAAGCCATCTGAGCAGAATGCCAGCGAAGCCGGCAAAGCCGTCGGATCTTCAGGCTCAAAAAGAGCTTGCGGGATGCTGTCGGGCTCTAGAAAGGACATGACAGCTAGAATTGCATGACTCTGAGCATCTAGAGACTTGAAGGACATATACCACAGTGCTTTGATGGCCGGGGTTCGAGACGGAACTTGACTCCGATGTTGATTGTAGAACTCCATGAATTCCTTAATGCTCCAAGCACGCCGATGTATGACTCCTGCCAGCGCGGAAATGGCTAGAGCATGACCACTGAGCTTGTCAGCAAGGTCATGCGCTGAAGCGATCTCGGAATCCTCTAAATCAAGCGCGCTGTCTCCTTGCAAAAGGTGTAAAAGGAACTTCGATCCTTCTTCGTTGTCCCAGTTCGCAATTTCCATTCCCGTATCCGCGACCTCGAAGGCTACTTTCAAATTGCGAGTTGTGACCAGGGCACGACCGCGACCGGCCAAAACTCTTGGAGAACCATGGGGTCCTCCGCATTGTCGTAAACTATCAGCCAGCGGCATCCTTCTACCAGGTCAGTCAGATGCACCGCCGATCAGAAGTATTGACGTACGGGTTTCCGGAAGCCAGTTGAGGACCACGGCGCGGTTCTCCTCGTGATCTCCCGACCGAGCTTCTGGAAGCTTCAGGCTCAAGGCGATGTTGGTGAAGCTCTGTTTTAGAGAAACAAGCTTTTCACTGTAGACCCAGAACAGAGCATCAAGCTCGCCTCGATGAAGCTTGTTTTCGGCATACTTCAGAGCAATAGTAGTCTTCCCAACACTGCTAAGGCCATGACGTACCAATGATCGGAAAGGGCGCTCATCAGCGCCGGCGCTGAGGTTATTACCAAAGTGCTCTTCAATGCGCTGAATGAGCTCAGCCCGGTCAAAAAAGCGCGGTGTTCTGATGGTTGGTAGAACAACACATGGGAGCTTGGCTGGATCCTTTGGCAACGATACCTGCATGAGATGACTCGCCGAGTTGTTGGGCTAATCTTGAAGATCTGGCTTGCTGCTGGCGTCATCGTTCGCTCGGTTGGGGGCCTTGGTGGTCTTCGGACCCTGCTCCGCTTGGACGAGCACGGCATCCATCTACGAAAGAAATTGTACACACGTCGCCTTCCACTATCCGATAAGCAGAGATTCCGTGTTAGTAGGTCTGAGAAGCGGAGTTGCCAAAGTGGAGGATGTAGAGGAGATGGGAACAGAGCAGCGTTTTTGGTAAGGAGAGTTCAGGGCTCCGTGAATCCTTGTCGCTCACTAATGGAGAAAGATCGCGGAGAAAGGAAGTTTGCAAACGCGGGGAGGGGTTGTTGGGATGCAGAATAAACTTGCCCAACGTTGGCCGGGGTACAGTATGGGGAAGCTCATGGCCCGGTTTGGTCCTGCCACAACCAACAAACTGCAGGTTCCTCAAACCATGGAGCTTGGATTATCCAGGAGGCGAACAGCTTACCATGGTTTGTAGGCTTAGACAAACCCCATATGCCATATTCACGCACAGCATCAGAGACAAGTTTATCGAGTTTCGAGATCGAAATACCCTGGGGCTATTTCATCGAATGAAAGCCTTCTGGGCATTCACCAAGCTGCACAGTGTAGGCTTTACTGTAGCGAATTCCCGACTTAGACAAACTCTCCAATACAGAACAGAAGATTTGACCAGAGAAATCAGGCTTTCGTTCAAATTCAACGCACCCACTAAACGAGTTCAACATTCCCCACCTCCTACTTTTCAACATCCTTGAGCTCTGTGGCCGGCAGCTTGAAGGGCAATGGCCCGTTGTCACGCACAGCAGAAAGCTGCTCGAAAGCGTAGGCCACTCGGAGCAGCACACCTTCAGAGAAGGCCTTGGATATGAAGGTCAAGGAATAGCTAAGAGCATGTCAGCATCTTAGACGTAACTAAACGGTAAAAGGAGATATTCATTCGCGGTGACGGGTTAGGGGACCGGGGATAGGAGAGAGGGGGAGTAAACCTACGGAATCCCAGGAGCCACTTGGACGAGGTGCGGTTTGTCCTCATCAAGCTCGATAGGGGTACCTTTAGGATGAAATCCAAGTTGTGCCCCCAGCACGGGGAACCCCATCTTGGCGGCAAGGTCATTGGAAATGCCGAGCGTGGAAGGGATGACGAGAACATCAAGGTTGTGTTTCTCCATCGCCCCCAGAATGCCGCCTTCGCCACAATAGAAGCGCTCGTTTCACCATTTCCTTGTACTTGTCGCTATCGACGTCGATTCCCTCTGCCTGGGTCCACAGAAACTTGCCGATGTCACGCTCGGGGTATTCTTCCTCTGGGGAAGTTTTGGTAAACCCGATGATGTCCTCGGCCGATTGGATGTTGTGGGGGTTGATCTTTAGTGTCTTGAGGTAACGCCCGATGTCTCTCCTGAACTCGGGAGGATCGCACGATACCCCTGACCTGATTGTTGAGCTGCTTGAACCCCTCGGCTGCAGGAAAGTCGGTATTGTCAACCACTGTTGCACCCGCAGATGTCAGTGTCTTTAGGGCAGCTTCAACGAGACCATGATGGGAGATGTCGGGTCAGAGTCGAATGTGTTCCGAGGAACACCAATCGTCACGCCGCTCAGGTCGGTGCCGTTACAGAACTCTGTGAAGTCGGGAATTTGCTGAAACGGGATGTCCCAAGTGCCCTCGTCTCGCTCACTGCGGCCAGCCATCGTGCTGACCAAGTATGCCGCGTCCTTGACAGTTCTGGTGAGGGTATCGATAACATCCTGGCGAGAAGAGACGGGAATGGCACCGTCGTTTGCGATGAGGCCGCGGCTGGGCTTGAAACCGACGACGTTATTCCTCTCGGCAGGTGCCAGGATGCTTCCGACCGTCTTGCTGTCACATTAACGTCCTCCCGATAAACACACCAGTAAACCAGGAATGTCATGCTCACCTCGGTCCCTATGGCAGCGGTACACAAAGTCAATGCGGCAGCGACGGCGGAGCTGGCACTGCTTCCGTCCGGTTGCGATCCAGGATAGTATGCACCCAGTGTCTGGTCACCCCTCGGGCTCCATCCCGAACTGACGTTCAGGCCTCTGAGGTTGGCCCGCTCGGAGAGGTTGGTCTTGCCCAAAAGCAAGACACCGGCTTCACGCAGCTTCGCAATGACAGACGACTCGACGCCGGGCTTGGCTCCAAGGAGAGCGTACGAGCCAGCAGATGCATCCAGCTCTTCCTGTGTCACAACGTTGTCCTTGACCAAAAGTGGAATCCCATGCAGCGGCCTAGCCACCAACGGCGGTCAGTTCGGCAAGAGAGTGAGGCCGGTGGGGGACATACCCTCTGGCTCCGGAACGGGTCCGCTCCTTGTCCAATTGCCGGGGCCACATCTAGTGCATTGGGGTTAACCTGCAGTACTGCACGAAACTCGGAAGCCTCGGTGATTCTGGCGAGGTAGGCCTTAGTGAGAGCGACGGAAGTGAAACGACCCGATTCAAGACCGCGGGATGCATACTCGATCGTGAGATGCATGAGGGGAGGCAGCTGACCTGGTGTGCGCGGTTCTTTGTTAATCATATCGTCATACACCCTCCAAATAATGGAAATCGAAGGTGTCGAGTGCCGCACGTACCTGCCGTGGCGTCCATGATGCCTCTCGATCCCGGAACGGGGGAAGAAGGTGAAGAATAATCGCTGGTTTGCAATATGGAGGGCCTCATAAGGAAGATACCGCCGAGGTGAACCAGAAATAGACCCAAATGCTGAAGTGAGTCCATGAAAAAGGGGGGTGGGACGGGGCGGCTCAGGCAAAGTGCGGGTTGGGAGGACGGAAAATTAGAAGCGGGGTATGAATCGATGTTTATCACACAGAAGAGGGAGGGCGTCGGCTTGGGCGTTATTTGGCTGGGACGGCTGTACACTTGAAATGTGTTGGCTCCCCCTCAAACGCCTGCGGCAGCCCAAGTTTGCCCAATTTTGCACACTGTGAGCACCTCGGATCTTGTTGGTACCTTCCGGCTCGCGTCGATACCAACCTCGTCGATCCTAGCACCAAAATCCCTCGGCGGTTCTCTGAGTGCTTCATCGCCGAGGCATCATCGGATCGGGATGTGTTCCGGAAGCGACGTCTGAATATCGTTGGACCAGCAACCGGTCCACGAGAAATCCGGATGCTCGGCCACTGGCCCTGATTTTATGGCTCGCCGGCTCCATACCGTTGAGCCTGGTGTATGTGTATGTCTCCTTCAAGCGGCCGGCCTTAGACCTCTTCACGCTGGCCGTTGCGCCCGAACTGGCGTCGATGCCGATTCCGAAAATGACTTATCGCCCACACTCTCAACGTCATTCAAGTGGTGTTCGTTCGAACCGCCCTCTATCTGCAACCCCTGGCTACCAATCCGCTCCCTGGCCATCCGCCGGGTCTCCTCGGCCCGCATTTCATCCGGCACATACATAAACGAGATTTCCGGATTCTCCTCCACCAATTGGATCCCCCACCGGCGGAACAATCCCTCAATCGGCTTCTTCAGCGACGGACTGCACGCCGCGAGGATCGACGCAAACTGTTCCGTGACCGTCCACGTGGCAATCGACAGGGACAGCGCCCAATCCCCCAGCCCAGACCGGGACCACTCTTCGATGAGCACGACCTTCATGACCGACGCGACGGTGACGAACAGGCCGATGCCTGTGAGGCTGCAGATGAGGATGCGCTCGCGCAGCGGGCGGCGCAGATTCCACAGCAGGAACATGGGCACCACGGACAGCACGAGGTCGGTGAGGATATTGGCGCCCGAGCAGAGGTTGGAGACGATGCTGTCGATGCGGCCGCCGGGGCAGCGGGCCGGGATGTGGAGGTCCCAGGCACCAGGCTTAGGGTCGCATTTGAGGAAGCTGTAAAGCGTATTGGCGAGGCCGAAGGAGACTAGGATCGCGATGAGGGTGTACAGGCCGATTCGCCAACCGCGTTTCAGGGGTAGGCGGAGGAAGGAGAGGACGATGGAGGTTTTGATGAGGGTCATGGAAAGTGACCAGACGGGGATGGCGAAGTAGGAGAGCGTGACGGTGTAGAAGGTTTCGTCCCAGGAGATGTCGGTTGGTTCAAAGTACAGGCCGCGTGCAAGCAGGGCCCAGTCGGTGATGGCAGAGGCCTAATAAAACAACGCGAACGAGTCAGATACACCGACCGGAGCGGCCGACAGGTGTTTTGTAGTTAGAGGAGGGTCATTTTCTGGGTGTCTTTACCAAGCCGGCGACGATGAAACCGTCGTCCAGACCAAAGCGCCATTCCGGCCATATCCTTACGTAGATGCGAGCAAAAAAGGGAACCAGGGTGAGCGCAAGCAAAGGAATCGTGGTGCTAACGTGGATGAGGCTAATATACGGGACACGGTCGTTGATGTGGAATAAGGGCGTTGTCGGCGTGAAATTGAGGGGCAATGTGAAGTTGTCCATACTTCTCAGCGTGAGATGCAGGAAACGGTTCACGAAATCGATCTGCCAAACCTCGAAGACAGAAACAAACCAAGGACGACAAGTGACGGACAGAAAAAGAAAAATAAGCGAACCAAAATCGACAACCAGACAGATTGGGAAAGTTAAACGAGCGGCAACAACCAGCCGAAAGCAACATCGACACAGACACAGGCCGACCCGGCGATTCCTCCGCTTTGAATCGTCATCTCGCACGCACTCCCCACCCAGCATGGAAACCGGTGAGCCAGCCCACCCGGACGCTGGATACTAGTGTACGTAAAGGAGCCGGGGGGAATTCCGCGGCATCGTTTCCTTTCCCAGTCAAGTCCCAGGCGCCGCCTCGCCGGGCCCAAAATCGCGGGGGAAAGGGGTGTGGAAGACCCCGGCTTGGCGCCCGTTGCGCTTCGGTGGCAGGGGTGGGGCGTTCTTTCCGCTCGCTTAGGAATGCTGGCAGCCAAAAACGTTCACCTTTGGATGCCGGCATTCGAGATCGGGACTGGTCGTTTTTCCAGGCTGCGATGAGAGAGGCGCGCATCCAAACGCGCATTTTGCCAACTCGTAACGAATAATTCCCCACTGTATCATTGTTACCTTCCAATAGCAGAGAGTCAAGGCAGCCGTCCCAAAGTTTCGATGCTCTGACTAGGAAATAGGCTGACACAGTCGACACTCACTAGTTAGTTAGTTAATTCACGAAGTAGTGTAGGAGGAAGTGGAAAGCTGACGTCCTCTGCTTAAATTATTCCTGTCTCAGAAGCTGCCGAAACATGCGGCACCCTGGCGTTCGTGAAGCGCGTCATGCGCCTGTCAAAATCCAGCTGAAAGACCCTCGTCCGTCGAGAAGAGGACTTTATGAAATGTTATGCATGGGCTCTCCCACGTGTTTGCCGGACCACACTTGCTGCTCAGCCCGGCAAGCCGAACCACGCACGGGGTTTTGCATGAGAACTCATTAAAACAGGTGCCAAGAAAACAGCCCTCGGCTCGCAGCTTCCGAGAATATATTGGTTCCTGGTCCCTGGTAGGGAATGACCAATTAATCCAACGGGAAGGAGCCGAGGGAGCGAAGACCGCTGGCCTGGACCTCTTGTTTCTTTTGTCTTTCTCAAACATTTCGAGGAACATCTCCACCCCTGTCTCGGTCGGGTACGCAGCCCACATGAGGTCCACCCATCACGGTTCAACGCCTTTTTGTGATTTTTCCCAGCCGGCCGGCAAGAACCGAGCCATTTCCCAATCCAGGATGCCATTCGCATGGCCTGTCTCAGGATCCCCCAGGGATTTTTTCCCACGACAAGCCGGGATCCGGCAACTAGCCTCGAAATTTATCCCCGATTTAGCGCTTCACCGGTTCGACCAAGAAGTCTTGACTGTCTTGGAGTTCACCAACAGTGCGGAACGGTCCACAGGTCGTCAGACACCAGACCGGCAGAGCAGCACATATGAACCAATCGATCCGGTGCCTTCCGTCCCTCCCGGCCCGCAGGCTGGGCGAAGCTAACGTTAACTACTGTCGTTCGTCGCTCGAAACATGACCGACGTTGCTTCCTCGTCTCGGCGCGCGTGCGCGCGCGGCCTCGCTCATCTCCGGCCAAGCCCCGCCAAGTTTCACGCCAATACACTCCACACGCTCCATCATTCCGTCCTAGTCCTCTGACGTCTCATACTCGGTTGCCGAAATGGAGTTCGATGATGGAGTTCGATGACGGCGATCGGGGTCGAGATCGAGATCGAGATCGAGGCATGGCAAACGGACGTACTCCATTATCATTTCGCTCCCAGAAAATGTTGCAAAGAGCATTTGTTGGTGTGTACTCGCTTGAACTTTTTGCTAAAAGGGGTAGTCGAGCGGATGATTTTCACCTACCTTCGTTTGGCTCGCACTAACAGGAGGTACAATGATGTTTTTCGGCTTTCAATTATAGCAAGTGCGGCCAGCAGGTTCGCGACTTCCCATGTACACACTGGTCGGTGGATAATCGTGAAAGTGGGCATTCGTGCTCACAGGAGATTTCTTCCTGTGTCGAAAGTTGCCATGCAGGTTTCAAAATGCCGAGAGGAAATGAGGGAAACAAAATGTGGGCTAGTACGGCGGCGTTAAGTATGCCCTGTCCAGGAATGGCCATCTTGCAACTGCTCACAATTACTCGAACACAAGTCCGTTTTAGAATGAGCACCGGTGTTGGAACCGGTATCGTTCGATCTGGGCTCCATTTGTTATTCACTTGTTTTTACCGGCCTTATACTTACTTCCATGATACTTCTACGGACACTACGAGTGAGAAAACGATCTGAGGGTCTGAAAGGGGCCTCAGTCAGTTTCCGGCCACCGTACCCATTGCCTTTTCAACCCCTCCGACAGTTGCTATACCCCTTTTCCCTCTGGCAACCCGCAGATATCACTCGGAAGTCCGTTTTTTTGCTACTCTTCTTCGGGTTCGAAAAGTACACCAATGCGGCCATAATGGAGGGACAGAGGCATGCACATGGAATCGTTTTGGTCCCTGCCTGCATTTGCACGTTGAGGCCGCTGTAGGCCTCCATGCACCAACCGTGCATCGATGGCTTGAGACTCGGCATTTATCGCCTTTTCAAGACAACCCAGCCTTCTTCCAGCAGGTCTAACAACCTTAGTGTGATCACACCAAATCTTTTCTGACGCAACCAGGAAGTCATCACAAGGCTAACGCAACTCCCTGGCTGCAGCTGCACCCCGCAATCAAACTTCACAGCTGCAAGCGAAACGCGGGTTGGGTTCAACAGCAGGACATAATCCGGGGAGAATGGACAATGGACACATCATCGTCCTCCATCTTCCAAAGGTTCCGACGTCGATACACCATGTTACCAACGCACGACGCCAGCGACGACATGGGACCTTCATCGGCTGAACGCTCTCGATCCCGCGATGTCGATGTCGATGTCGATGACGATGACCACCCCCGATCCAAACGCCCCATCTGGAACTGGCACCGCAACCACTTCGGTGGCGCACTGCTCTTCAACACCGCCGCCTTCATCCTGCCCGCCTTATACGGCACACTGGCCAAGCTCTGGGTCGCCAACATCGATCGGGATCTCGTCGTCACCACAGATGTCTACACCTACATCGGCACCATCGCCGAGGTCCTAAACGAGGGCTTGCCTCGCGCCGCATGGGTCATCATCGGCGACAGCGCATCCAGGACCTGGACGCAACGGCTCGGTCTGACGCACACCCTCCTCCTCTTCCAATCCGTTCTCGGTCTCATCATGAGCCTCGGTTTTCTCGGGGGCGCGGCCACGTTCGCCAAGGGCTTCGTGCCGATCGAGGTGCGCGATGCCAGTCTCACGTACGTGCGCATCAGCGCCTTCTCCGCGCTTAGTTCCGCTATCGAAACCGCCGTGGCGGCTGCGACCCGCACCCTGGATATGCCGGATGTCCCGCTGGTTATCAGCAGCACCAAGTTTGCCGTGAACATCACGCTGGATTTGTTGATTATCTCGTGGTTCCACGTCGGCAGCCAAAAGCCGACGATCAACATGCAGGCCGGGATCCAGCTCACCTGCAACATGACAGCTGCCCTGGTCGGACTGGGCTACTTCTTCTGGGCCACACGACGGCCCCCTCTCCCACACGGTGATGGTGATGCTCAGCAATCCGAACCCACCAACACCAACAACAGCACCCGCCCGACCCTCCGCGCCCTCCTAATCCTCCTCCGCCCGGGCCTCCTCACCCTAATCGAATCCGCCGTCCGCAACGCCCTCTACCTCTGGCTGGTAACCACCATCGTAGCCCTCGGCACAACCTACGCCACAGCCTGGGGCATCTTCAACACCATCCGCTGGGGTCTCGTCATGATACCCGTACAAGCTCTCGAAGCCACTTCCCTTGTCTTCGTCGGCCACCGCTGGGGCGCCTGGCGACGCAGCATTGGCACGACCACCCGCAAGCCCGGCCGTGTGGCGTTCCGCGGTACCATCTTCCGGATCGTGCAGCCCGCACTGTTGGCGGCGGGTATTGCCGTTGCTATTGAGGTTCCCGTGGCGATTGCCCTGTCGCTGCGCGGGGCCCGGTCGTTTGCGCGGTATCTGAGCGATTCGGATGAGGTGGCTGAGGTGACTGCGTATATGTGGCGGACGATTGATTGGTGTTATATCTTCTATGCGGCCTCGACGCAGCTGGCGACGGTGGTGCTGGCGACGCGGCCGAAGTGGTATTTGTATCAGAGTTTGGCGAGTAATTTGCTGTACGTGCTGCCATGGGCGGTGGTGTGTCAGGTGGGGAGGTTAGATACGGGGAATGCGTGGACGTATCATAGTTTGGTGTTTGGGGGGAGTTTGGTGTTTAGTTTTGTGGATATTTTGGTTGTGGATGGGTTGTGGGTGTGGAGTTTGATGACGGGCAGGGCGAGGTTGGAGAGGGTGCGGCAGGCTTGAGGGAAGTATGTAGGTAGCTTTACCCAGCATTCGGGGAGATCAGGTACTCGGAAAGATAATCAGATGTAAAGATACACAACCGTGAAGCCAATGATGTAAGGGTACCAACAGTCGACTTTAAGAGCTCGATGGTGAGCCGTAAGGCCCCGGGGGGGCATTACCACCTTGATTTCGCAAACAGTCTACAATACCTTCCTCGGAGGGTAGAATTAGTAACATATAAGCACATTTATCCTATGTTCTACAGTCTATATCGAAATCCGTTTCCGTTAAAGAGGCCCCGACCAGAGGGTCAAGAGTCGTTGGTTAGTATCCTCGAGGTGGGAACCAATTGTGACGGGACTGGGACTTGTAGGGTCCAACAGCTGGGAACTAACCAAATTTCACATCTCGTACATGGAATGATGCTGTCGATTGTTTACCCTCGCAGATCTTATGAACGTACCGTATTTCTTGGGCCTCCTTCTCACCTTCCCTTTCGTATGTTCAATGAAAGTGTGGGCTAAACTTGCGACAGTTTGTTGCGGTTTAGGATGTGGTAGCGAGTTAACTATTATCAGGTACAGTAAATCATAGATCGGGGTCCCAGGGGCCCAAAGCCCAGACATAATCGTCAACATCCCTGTAGACATCTGCCTTCGCGGGCTCATTCTCTCTGTCGTTGAATGGCCAAGCCTTATCCTTATCCCCACCCTCATCTTCGCCATCAATCGGGTTATCAATATGCCGAGCCCGGATTTGTTTCCATTCCATCCCCGGCAAATCACGCCGGATATCAGATTCGATCAACGGCGAGCTCTCCATTTCCTCGTACTCGACATCGTGCCCCCTCCTCACTACCACCATCAGTTCCTTCTTTTGTTCGTCCCCAGCCAGTAGTTCGCGGTCTTCTAAGAACACGTGCTCCGGTAAGTTCGGGGAAAGGGGCGCTTTCTGTTCGAATTTCGCCCGCCTACTCGGGTCAAGGATAGAACCGCACTGGGCTGGCTCCTTGGCCCGGTAGACTGTCACCGAAGGGTTGGAAGCTGCCCCGTCACGACTTTCCATGATTTTTTGCCACTGCGCTGGTTGGGGCTTCCTCCAGTAATTCGTTTGATACTCCCAGAAGCCCAGCAGGTGTTCTGCTGACCGGAACCCGAGCATTGCTGAGCTGTAGCTAATGTAACGTAGGGTTTTCCATCCATTACCGTCCTTAATAAGACGGTTGAGTGAACCATAACTGATGTGATCCACAAAGCCGCCGAGGATAGTAAGCTGGTCAAGCTGTAGACCAGGAAGCAGCTTGAGAACACAGACAAGGGGATAATAGCCCTCATCCTCGGGGTAGTTCAATAGAAGAGTGTCGCCGCGCACTCTCATATAGCGTAATTTTGAGAGAGTGTCGACAGAAAGGGCAGAAAGCTTATCGAGCATTGTCTCGATGGTCTCGAAGCAGAATAGGACGTGGCGAAGCCATGAGTCGCCAATCTCGAGGTACGCTCGACGACATGTGCTAAGCAGTGCGAGGCCGTTCGGCGCAGGTTTGATATTCACCCTTCCGATACGGCTAGCTGGAGTCTTTCCGAAAGTAAATCTGGTAGAGGAGAAGAGCTGAGTCCAGATGCAGTCTCGAATCTCCTGTGGCAGTCTATGGAAAAGCGAGCTTTCTGTTTGCGGATTGAGTTTCGCATTCTGTTGCGGGTCCTCGCCGTCTTCCTGCTCGGGGAATTCATTCCTTTGCTCGGGTTTTTTGGTCATCTTGATGGTAACGCTTAAACGTTGTAATACTGGTCGTGAATCGTGGTCTCCTCAATTTGAAGCGGTGCTGAATGAACGGCAGGATGCTGGCTCAGAACAGCCAACGGCTTGAGGGGTTGGCTCACAGCTAACCACGTGCACTTTCTTATTGGTGGTACAATTACAGTCCTAGCCACCGTATGATGCAAGCTTGCCTTCCTAGTGTGGCGGCTGGGTGCACTTTTGCTGCTTGATAGAGGCTACCTAACTAACTTAATTATTCTTGGCCCTTGGAATATGCGGACACAAGCATTTCCATAAAAGTGTATTCCATGATGTGGGAGCGTGATGAGGCGTGGAGTGTAATGATCGGCGAGTACAAAAAAAAGGCTTCAGTAAGGTACCTACCTCTTAATTAATTGGTCGAATAGGTGATTTCATTCAACTCGGTGTATCTAGGTGGAATGTTTCAAACAGGTGTTTTCTGGAGGGTTATTGTTTCGCTTCCGAGTTATTATTTACCTCAGTAATTATGTAGTTATGTTACCGGTTAGTATTAGCTCCATGAGAAGCGCTAAATCAAGCTTTTGGCCAAGGGCGAATCGACGTCACACTCAACTTCAGTCTCCACATTCACTCAGCTCCAACTTCTCAACTCACAGAGATCTCCTTAACATCCCCACTAGCTCAACTACCACCATAAGTACATTCTAGTCTTTGAATTCCCGATAACAACTTCCGCGCACCGGCCACAATGCCGGACTCCCTCACAATTCAGCTGGTCAACCAGACCACCTCCTCCAACGTCCACGCCTTCATCACGGGCCTCGCCATTCAGCACAACATGGCCCGCGTCTTCCTCCAAGCCGACGGCAAAGGTCTTTACTTCCCAGAATCACCTCCCCCAGATCAAATCCTACAACCACTCACTCAAGATTGCGCTATCCCCCTCGGCGCGCCAGGCAACTCCGTCACCGTGACCATCCCGCAAATGGCCGGCGCGCGCCTCTGGTTCAGCGCTGAAAAACAACTGACCTTTTTGCGCAACCCGGGCGGGCCAGGCGGCGGCGCAGCCCTCGTCGAACCGTCGGTGTTAAACCCGAGCGATCCAAACGCCGATGTGGATTTTGCGTTCTGCGAGTTCACGCTCAACAACGACCAGTTGTTCGCAAATATCAGCTACGTTGACTTTGTGCCGCGCCTACCCATTGCGTTGACTCTACAGACCCGCGGCGGCGCGGTACAACACGTCAGTGGGATGGCGCCAGACGGGCTGGAACGGGTGTGTCGCGGTCTGCGGGAACAAGCAGCAGCGGATGGCTGGCCATGGGATAAGTTAATCGTGCAGAAGCAAGACGGCCAGCCACCGTTACGGGTCCTCAGCCCAACGCACGGCGCGACAACGGGTGCCAACTTCGACGGATACTTTGAGCCCCTGGTCGAAGCAGCATGGCAGAAGTACCGCCAACAACAACAACAACAACCATCCCCTCAACAGCAACAACCTCCCCCAAAGCACCACCGCTTCCGTCTCCCCCTCATGGGCCGCGGTCCCTCCCCCCCACCACCAACTCCTCCCCAAGCCCCCACCTCCACCCCCTTGCAAATCAACACCCAAGCCGGCCCGGGCATCCTCACCGGCACAGTCTCAACCGACGCTGACGCCGGCCCGGACGCCCCCCTCCTAATCGGCACAGAACCCTTCACCCGCCCCACCACCGCCGACATCCTCGGCTGCAACAGCGGGCCCTTCGCCACGGGCCACCCAGACCCATCCCGAGCAGCCACCCGTGCAGCCATCATCCCCCGGCTTGCGGCGGCTTTCCAGCGTGGTGCGATCTGCGTGACGACGGAACATCCTTCGGCGCCGGAAACGTTCTATCCACCCGGAGGAGAGGCGAGGAGTAATCACTACTGTCGCGTGGTGCACGAGTGTAATTTGGATGGGAAGGGGTACGCGTTTGCGTATGATGATGTGCAGCCGGATGGGGGGGCGGATCAGAGTGGGAAGGTGAATGCCGGGGATCCGGCGGTGTTGATTGTTGCGGTTGGGGGAGGAGGGGCGTATGTCGGTGATCGGATGCCTTGATATCGGATGGGTTGGTTCTTGTAATTAGTTACTTTATTTGTATGGTGCTTTCTGTGCAGAGAATGCTTTGGGTAAACTGGTATTCATCGCTGTTACTTCTTTCGGCCGTTTAGATCCTCCGTCGAGCCACTATCAAAAATCCGCGGATGATTTGAGAAAGACCGCCAAATTTTCCTCTTCGTCCCTATTTTCACTACTCCATCCCCCCAGCCTAACTGCCCTCCTCGTCGCTGTTTTCATCCCCTTCGTCTTCGTCTTCGTCAAAACTCTGCTCTTCATCATCCTCTTCCTCTTCGTCGTCGTCCTCTTCATCTTGAGGCTCCTCTGCAAACCGGGTTAGCTATCATCTCTACAATTATCACGCAGTTAACGGGGGAAGGGTTTCCTCACCATCCTTCAACCAGTCTCGGTCAATTGCATCGATTGCCCGCGCAAGAGCCATGTCAAGGCTCTCAAGGTTTGTCGAGCATGTCCACTCGTTCACCCGCGAGTCGACCCCAGGCTGACCAGGCCAAAACAACACCGGCCTCGGCACACCGGGTGGTGCTCGTGCTGCCGGGTGCGACGGAAGCCTCATGGCAAGGGTTCGGAGCCGTAGGTCGGGTATCCTGCGGAGAGCAGATAGAAAACGTTCCCAGGGACTAATCTTGGAGGCTGCTGGGTCGAAGGCGTCGACGACGTCCCGATCATGGCGCTTCAGACATACTCTGTTTAGGTGCAGCGTCGTCAAGGTTGGAGCGAAGCGTCTGACAACACTCACGAGTAGTTTGTCTGCAATCGTGAGGTCTCCGAGGTCCAACCGCTCGAGTTTCGTCAAGGGGATAGGCGGTGTTTCGAAAGAAGCGAGGGAAATTTGGTCGTCCGGGTGAGCCAACCAGTTGAGTACCTCGAAGGATTCATGGAGACCCCGCTTGCGGGCAAAATTTAACCGTAGCCAGGTCAAATTGGGCGCCAGCGACAAGTACTTCTGGTACATGAACGGCCTGGAGGGGGACACGCGGGATGAATCCAGCATGAGGTGGAGAATCAACAAGTTTGAAAGGACTCCGGAGACGGCAGGTTCAAGGCTTGTGGGGATGTAGAACGCGCCGTCGTGGAGCCCCGCACTCGCGACGTGATATGCAGTGTCTCGGAGGTTGACCTCGATGCTTTTAGGTCGTGCGTTTACTGCGGCAAGAGCAGCGGTAATGGCGGTGAAAATCCTGCTACCGAAGGTCTCTTCTTCACCGTGCCTCGGGGCGCCGTCAACGGCTGTGTCTGTTGATTCCTCCAGTGCGCGGGTGCCCCAGCTTCGCCATTTGCTGTGCTCTCCATCGCGCCAGCGGCTCATCGAATTGAAGTTGCGAATGTCGATTATCTCCAGCCCGGTCAGGTTAGAGAAGGCTTCCGCTAGCATGTCTCGGAGCCCCCCGGTGGTCATCAGGTGATTGAGCTCGGCATGAGCCAGCGCCTGGCGAGCTTTGACCTCGGCCGTCCTGTCAGCGTCCGCCCCAAACCCATGCGGAGGTCTATCTGCCCGCAGGCGATCAGTCGAGATAATGACATGTCTGAGGAATGGAGACAGAGTTTTGTGCTTGGAGATGTCGATCAAAGCTTGTAGACTGTGGGTAGTCACCATGAACTGCTTCTTTCGAAAGAACTCATGGGCGAAAAAGTTGAAAAGGCCACGCTCAAGGGCTTTGCAACTCAATCGCACATTTCCGACATCGACCGTTGAAATGCGGCGTGTAATCCGGACCAGCACCTCCAGGGGAACTTGGACGAGCCTCGATTCGGACTGTGGGTCCATTGTAGAACGCAGCGCAACTCCTGCGCTCGACATAACGTTGGCGGAAGAATTGGTTGGCGGGCGGGGCAGATCGGCGCAGTTCAATGAAGAAAGAAGAGCATGCGGTCCACTCCGCATTTGTTGAGATGGAAGGGACGTGTTATGCTATTTAAATACAATTTGAGGTACAGACGGAAAGCGCAAGGGGAGGTTGAAGTTCAGGGCTCCTGCTGCCTACCAACGGTTAGGCAGGAAGTGGGTCGAATGATGGTGCACGGAAGCACTGACCAGCAACTGGCACTCGATAGAAACGACGCAACCTGGAAACCCTCTTCCCAAGTTCCCATCTTGCAGGTTTCATTCCTACTTTCCTCGTTTGCAAGGGTATGAAACACTCCAACAAACGGGAAGGGTCATTTTAGAGGTGGACCACGAAGACAGACAAGTTTGTTGTTTTCCCATTTTTGCATCGCCTGGGCCCCTTCGTTAATGAATTAATTAGGTAGACGAATACAGCCAAGCCAACCTGACAACGAATTAACGTACGGAGTAGTTATAGGAAAAACAGTCTGGGGGAGACGACTTGGAATTCCTTAGGTACGTCTTCCACTATTTCTCTGGGGCTCATTACTATGGCAGGGTTTGAACGCTACCCAGGTATTATGGACTACGAGATGGAGGTGCGGTCCAAGGCGAAGTACTCGGTGACGACTTTGTCTCTGGAGGATTCGCCGTGGACGTCCAACTGTACCCGCCGCCTATCTTTCGATGATATTTCGGGTTACTTATACCTTCGCGGGCTTCTCCCTCGTCTCTTCTGGAAGGAGCGGTTCGAATATGATCTCATCTCGGGCTGTTGTGAGGGATTGTTTGATGAGATGCAGAGGAAAGTTGGGAACCGCTACAATTGAACCCCACTCACACGGCCTAGCCAACAAGTTCCCCGCCGATGCGCAGCGTCCATCCCCCATCGATTGGACAGTTATTGTTAAACTCGCATAGCAGCCTGTCACACAAACACTGGAAACAACGCTTCTGTCGCCATATGTAGCCCTACCCACTGCTAAGAACAAAAGCCCTGCCGCTCACCGCTCGCCCGTCAATATTGTGTTTTCCCACCGTTTCTCACGTCCCGTAGTCCGAAAATGGTACCTCCAGCGAAGGAAGCAGCTTCGTCAGGTTGCACATGAGGCGCTGTGGAGACTATCTAGATCGGTTCTTTTATTTCTTTTTTTCAAATAGTATAGGTGCTCGACCTCCAGCGCCTCCTTTCTAAATTAATATGATCATGTTTTCCAACAGACTGGAATCCAGGTCAGGCACCCCGTCTGCATCATAAGAGACACTTGTGGCGGCAATCCGTCCAAACCCGTTCATTTTATTGCGTTTTGCTCTCCCTCTTCCTTGCAACTACCGCTCGTGCTACTTTGGCGCTCGCCTCCACAATCAACTGGTGCTCATGTGAGTGAATGCGCTCCTCAAGCTGGGACAGATCCTCGTCGTCCTGGCACTCAATCTCCTTCACCAAAATCGGCTCGCCCCGGTCCACCTGGGCGATGACATAGTGAACCATGATTCCAGTCTTATTGTTCTCCAATTTGCCCGCCTTGAAATCCTCATACGCGCGCTCAATAGCACCGGCGCCGTCATATTTGCCTTCACGTCAAGATGTCAGTGAACAGGCACGTCATTAAGGGGTTCGTGAGACCCAAAAAGAGTAACGCGATGGGCAGAATTTACCTGGCAATGCCGGATGGAGGTTAATAATCTTAACCCCCGCCGCATCCAACGGATCCAAAAAACTCTTCCCAAACACATACATCCACCCAGCCAGCACCACCAAATCCGGCCGTGTCTCTACACCCCCCTGCAACAACTTCTCCGCCAGCGCTGCATCATACTTATCCCGTGACTCCTGGATCTTGACCGGGTCCTTCTCCCCTTTGGCTTGGAACCCGTGAGAGATCAGGTTGAAGTACTCCCACGGGATGCCGGCGCGCTCGGCACGTGTGGTAGCGAATGCCTTGCCGCGGTTGACGTAGAGGCGGATGATTTTGGAGTCAGCAATTTGGCCGGAGGCGACGGCGTCGATGAGGGCTTGGAAGTTGGAGCCGTTGCCGCTGGCCATCACCACGATCCGACAAGGGTCTGCCATGGCGACTTTGGGGTTTGAATCTTGATGTCTGCGATGTGAGGTGGTGAGACAGTGAACGCGGCGAATGGTTAAAAGAGTGTCTGCGTCGTGTCGTCCTTACGACAACCGATTCAGATAGTCGTCCTGTGACCCTGTATGTAATGATGGCTTTTTTTCAAGTTGTCGTTGATAATGGAGACCAACTGCTCCCCCGTCACCGTGCGCCAATTTGGGGTTCAAAGAAAATGTTTGCGGTGGGGTGCTGACAGGTTTCGGGTTAGGGTTGGCTGCCTTCACCATGAGAGTTTCCGAAATCGGATCGACGGACTAACTTGGGAATAGACTTATAAAACTACGATATGGCTGTTTTTTTGAGGTATTTGTCCGTTTCAGGAACGCTGGTATGATCTCCCGGGATACTTAGCAACCAGCTTACGTTAACTTACTTGCAGTGCTTGAGCCATTGAGAACACCTGCAGATGTAATTATGCCCCAGGAACGTAGGACTGACGAATAGCAAAAAAAGTACTGAGGGCAATCAGAAATGAAGCTTGAAACTCGTATATTAAAAGTAATAATACAAATGAGACTAAAATCAAGCGGCAACAGGCAAAACATCCTGCAAGTCATGGATGGGAAATTAACCCGTCCTAGAAACTGCAGGGGCAATAATTAGGAGAAAGGGGATCAAAAACAAAACACACTGGCCAACCTCATGTGCCGTCTATAAGATCTCCAGATCACACCTCCTCAACAACTCGCCTAGGATAAAGATTGGCCACTAACGCACAACCTTTATCTCAATGGCACACCACATGTGCACTCGTTTGTCGCGTCGTATTATCGTCTGTAAAGGTGTCAGTCCGTCGGCATCAGGAGTCGTCATCACGTTGCTTACCTCGTTATAATCAGGCCCAAGCATCATTATGAGCATCCACCGCACCCTACTGCTGGTAGCCCGACTGCCAGGTTCCGGGTTGTCCCCAGCTTCCAGGGGTCATCGGAGGCGGCGTCTCTCTAAACGACTGCCCTCCCGGGGTCCACGGGCTCGGTTCCGGGCCAGGCGTCGGGAGCCGATCACCCCGGCGGGCCGGTTCTTTTCTCTTCTTGTTTTCGCGGACCGGGCGGCTCATGGGCGGACGCGGTCGGGTACCTGGTGTAGTAGCGCGTGCTTTCCGGGAAACGGATGCGTTGGACTTGGCTACGCGGTAGGGCTTAGGGTTGGTAAACAAGACACGGGTTTCGACCCTCTTCTTGTAGCCGGACGCCCCCACGGCCTCTCGGAGTTCGTCGAGGTCGTCGGCCTCCAAGGGTGGCTCGTTGGGCGTGGCGGGAGTGATGGGGGTGGCCGGGAATGTGAATTCGTGTTCGGACTTGATTTCCATAGCGCGTGTGTCGGCCACGGGCGGCCAGGACTCGCCGATGTCAGTCATGTATTCGTCGTCTGGCTCTGCGTCGCAAAGGAGGAGCTGCGCCGGAGCATTCTGGGCCTCCATGAGGAGGCGTGCCCGTTCTTCGCGTTGATTTTCCGCCTCGGCGACAGTTGTGGTGAGGCCCTCCCCGTCAAAGTTGGTAAGAAGCAACTCGGCGGCTGAGACACGAAGGTCGGGGTTCTCCTGGACCATATCCGCGAAGGTAGGCCAAACTTGGGCGATGGCGACGATGGAACGACGAACATTGCTGTACGAGGCATTTGAGGGGGGTGGGAACTCATCAAACCGGTGATGGATGTCGGCGATGGTGGCGAACAGCGACCATACATCCATTTTGGGGCTTTGGGGGAACTTGCCGCTGGGGTGTGATTCGGGAGCCTGATAGGTCTTGGTGCCGCAGTGGCCCTCGGCTTTGCTGATGTGGACTGCCAATTCAAAATCGGCGAGTTCAAACCGATGGCCGCCTGCCGGGAGAGGGAGGCAAAGGATGTTTTCCGGTTTCACATCCCGGTGGCATAGCCCATAGACGGCGAGATAGTCAAGGGCACAGAGCATCTGAGACATTGTAGACTTGCACAGCTTATCATCGTCTTCCTGTCGCCAGTTCGGGGAGGTGATGATGGACCGGAGGTTTCCGGGGCGTAGCGGTAGGTGTATTTCGATGGTCCCGTTAGGTAGCTCGGCGTGGCCCAACAGCTTGATGATGTTTTCCTAGACCCTGGGTCAGAATCTATTACCCGATGCATTCCCCGAATGGTTGTATTGTATCGAAAAAATTGCTTACGTGTTTTAGCTCCGAAAGAATGTTCACTTCATGCTTAAAGCGATCGCTGATGGGTAGAGCCTCGGCTGGAGTTTTCCGGGCGACTGCTTTGATCGCGAACGCATGGCCGGATTCCTCGTCGACAGCCCGATAGACGGATGCGGAAGCTCCTCTACCAACTTTTTCGCGTAGCGTTCCAGCAGCCTCCCGAAACCTGGGCCCCGTTATGCCCGGGGCATCGCACCGGACCTCGTACCATGGGCGCTTTTGGAGCGGCGGTTCGGTGGGCCAGTCCCGTAGATCCACCTCGTTTTGCCGGCCTCGGGAGTCGCGGTAGCCTGCGATCGCCAAGTCCCGAAGAGCTTCAGGAGAAATGGGCTTCCAGGATACTCGAAAGGTGTATTGCGCAATTGTCAGACCATATTCTACCCCGTAGGTGAGGACACAGTCCCCTTCGACAACTCCAGGTTGCGCACCAATCTGGCGGTGAACGGTGACGGTTTTTGCGCCCTTAGCTTTCACAGAGAGACGCACCACCAAAGTATCCGGGTGCATCTCGAAAGCAACATGCGTCCGGGAAACACTTGACCCTTGGAGGGTCAAGTCACCCTTGCGACCGACTGTTGCGAGAACACGCGATGGAACGGACGTTACATGGAAACCCACTTCGAGTCCCCGAGGGCTCAGGGAGGAGAATGACGAGACATACCGGGAATTTGCAGGAAGATTGAGTGCAGCTTCTGCTTCGCCGTTTGTTGGGATCAAGAGGAAAAGCGTGTCCTTGTGTGCCATCGTGCGACTAAATGAAATTTCAAGTGTGTAAGGCTTAATCACTGAATTATATGGGGAAGCAAGAGGCCGTCAAGTAGGGCAAGTTTGACTTACCAGCCCGCACAAGGAGCAATGGTTTCTCATTTCCGAGATGAACTTAAGAGGACGTTATTATAACAAAATCTGGCCTCCTAGATCAACTCTTCATCTTACCTTTGGGCTTTGGCCGGGCTCATCGGCCGGTGCAGCGTAGCCTACTGAAGTTGCGCAGTCTAGTCCTATGAATATAGGTGTTTCCCCGGTTTGTGAGCTATCCCGGCGGTTGATAAAACAAATCATGCAGCTCGCGTTTGTGGATTTTACTTTCGATACCGCGGTAGAGTCGTACGTTCCTGACGTGCATAATCTGATACACATCATAGGGAAGGAAAAGCCAACGAATTCTCATCCATGCATGGATATGTGCATGTAAAATGGTGGGGGATACAGTGTTCGGCACCCTCATAACGCTCGTAAGACCAGAGTAAAACAGTGTTCGAACACTGGTTGAAGCGCCCAAGAGACAAGGCTGCGGTGGTTCCTGCCAGCTTTCGGCCCGGGAGGCCTGTAGGTTGGCCGATATGCTGCACTGCAACCTCCTTGCACGAGCGCGGCACGGCCAACAACTGGCGCGCGTCAAAACTAACAACTTGTACCCAACTACCCAGTCAACCAATTTCAAGTCTGCCCCTTGTCTCGTACCGCGTTTAGCGCAGTAAATAGCTGCCCATCTTTAGCCCCGTTTCCTAGTTTAGACTTGAGCGTAGTACACATCAGGAGCGAGCCAGACACACACACATCAGCCACTGAACCCAACCGCATTGCCGAAGCTCAATGTCAGGGTTGTAGGTAGTACAAGGGACACGGGAGCAGCGAGGCTCTGCTTGGAGCGTAACACATCCCATCTCATGATCTCAAAGCCCCATCACGAGGTTCAGTCAGCTCAAGGCTCAAATGGCCCCTTAGCCGGCCTGAGCAAGCAAACACTTTCAACAGGTTCGTCCAGTGGTTCTGCTCTGTCTCAATTATGTTGCAGGGCAAACCCATACTCGTCTCGTCCCCAGGCACTTCTAGGGTCCTTCGCTTAGGGAGGTTTAGTAGACAGCTACGAAAAGCCCAGAGGATTTTTCTTGGGTGCCCCCTCCATGACTTGAACTCGCGAAGGGGAGAAAGCGGGCACTGCTCGGTGGTGCCCGCGCCCCCCAAATTGCACCATCCGAGGGGTTGTGCATTTGTCGGATTGGGGGCCTGCCAAGAATTGGTGGCGGAATGGTGGGTTATAAAGAGCCGGGTTGCGATTTGAGAGGGGGGGAGGGGGGCATATGGGTATAAGCTAGACTAGGATTCTTTTTACTTGTCTGTGACGGTGGCTCTGGGTAGTGGCGATGGCTCTAGTAGTGATGATAGCTCTGGAAGCGGCGGCATATGCAAGATGACGAGAAACATCTCGGACAGTTATTTCGTGGGAAAAGACGGAGTGAGCTGATCGGTAGGGCGGTCGTTGAACGATATCATTCACATTTTAATCGTTTTGACGCGGCGCAATGAACCTGGGACGTTTCAACGGGTTGCAAAAGGAGTCGACCCACTACCTAGTGTAGTTGGGACTTTTGCTGCTGAGCTTGACCTATTAACTAGTGGTAAAAGTTTTGTACGACGCGTTACTCGGTTCTTCACGACCCCATGATTTGAAGAGGTTCCGGGGGCATGGAGTTTCCAGAGTAGGAAGCTTTTTAGTTTTGCAACATCACGATACTAGTAATGTGTGTTTGATCGATTGCCGGCCTCCAGGTGTATGCCTTGTGATGGAAGCTTTACTGAGTTCCTACAAAGTAAGGCATGATGGCCTCGAAACTACCTAGGTTGGGCCAGTCATTCTCGGCCACAGCTTGGGCAGACGCGCCACTCTTTCGGCCCGTTCCGAACCCCGACCGCGAAGAGGCCAGTTCCTTCGGAGAGGTTCCGACCGTGGCCGGGGCGTCGGTTGTCGTTGAAACTTTTCGGCTCGGGCCGTCTTACGCGGGAAAAGGGGCCGAACTGTCCACAAAAGACCGGAACGCTCCGATGATTCGTCCGGCATGATTCAGAGAGTACGGATTAACATGCCCAGGTTTCGGTAAAACTGATGCATAAGTACCACTGTCACTCGCCAGGCTGTATCTGAGATTGAGGGACGCTCTGGGCAAGTTTGAGGACCAAATTCATTAGGCTGGTGACTTGGGCATGGTGTCTCATCGGAACGTGGTGGCTGCAGTTTGGGCGCATGGGCCAAGCGCGGAATTGAAAGAGCCTCCCGGGACCGGGCCGGAAGTCGCTGAAGCCGTCGCGTTCGTTCGATGACAAATGAGATGGGAGTTCTCTCCCTTGGGCACGTGTGGGCAAAACCCAGGATGAGCATCCGCATCCGAACTGCAGGAAACAACTTGTTCCCGATTCGACCGCAATTCAGGAGCCTGGAGTCCGAGAAGACCCAGGCGATGAAGGTTAACAATTTTTAGGCAACCACAAAGTTGGAAGGCTGAAGGTCGCTGCAAGAAATGGGAGTCCAGTGGGGCGGGGGTCAAATTTCCATCCTTTGCCCCACTTGAGCCGAGTGCTGTTTCGCTTTGATTGGCTCCGTCGTCCGAACGTCGCATCGTCCAATGATTGGGTAAATTTCAAGACTTTCCGATTTCTATTTTTTGCCCAGCGAAGAGGGGCTCCCACTCGCAAGACCCCCCACACCTCTTTCCAGTGATTCCACACGGGATCATGCATGGGAAATGGCGCCGGGCTGAACGAGGTCGACGAGAGCCGGAGAGACGAAATCTGACCACAGATAGTAACCGTGGACAAAACGTGGCGTGGCCAGGCTTGATGCTCCCTCTGCGCTTCCCGTGCAATACGATGTCTTCGTCAACAACCCTCGTTAGTTAGAACCTAGTTAAAAGCCTCAATGGCTTCTAGACCTTGGCTCGCAGTGGAGGCCAAGCTTTTGGTCGTGTCTCTCACGCGGGAAGAGGCTTGCATTGCGGCTGGGGTGCTGCTGACCAAACAAGGATAGCCGACCTCCGATGGAACGTTGAGTTGTTCGTCTTGGAGAACGGGCTGGGGCCGCTGGTGAATGGCCGCTTCGGCTCCCTGCTCCCCACCCTTGGGCCTGTCAGCTTGTGGCTGCGCCTTACCACGAGGGGATGGTGTTCCGGTGCAGTGGTCCTTCAAGTTCCCCCCAGGGCCTTTCGTCTCGTTCTTCGCCGTTTGATGCAACGGCGGAAGAAATACCAGGCTGGCGCCACTCCAACTGTTTGGCTTGTGGTTTTTCTTCTCCTTCGAATCGAATGAACGACAACAAAAAACTGCTTTTTAGCACCCACTGTGGTCTAACACAATCTTCGACAGCTTCTAAGTCCCAATCGCCTCGCAAGGTGCCTCGGTCATACAGCGCCCCAATTTCCCCGCCTTCGATACCCATCCGACGCGCCCGCGAGACCGAACGACAGCCGCCATGCGGTCGCAATTCTGGCTGTTGAGCGCAGCCGGGAGTTTGGCGGCGGCAGCAGACTGGCCATTTGGACAAGATCTTGACTACCGGGGAGGACATATCGCCCATGCGATACCAAGGGCAACACAGGCGTTAGACCGGGACGACACAAATGGCTGGGCGCCAGAACCCACAGAAGGCCCGTCGGCCGAGCTTGTGCGGAGGAGACAGAATATGCTCAAAATGAGGAGGCAAACTAGCAGCAACACATGGGTAGATGAGCACACGTGTGGATGGCTGGCGGAACAGGATTGTGAGTATTAGCTTTTTTTCATTTTTTTTCATCTTTTTTTTTTCATTTCTTTTCAGATAATTAATTCGCGGCACTGTTGGAACCTCATGCTAACTATCTTCTTCTCACCAGCCGTGGCATTCACTTGCGCATCAAACTACCGCTGTGCGACCGACACTAACGAGGTCGTTGGTTGCACATCAGATGGAGCGGCCAACCCGTTCTTCACAGTCTGTCTCGACTACCAGGCAGTTAAGGCCGGGGCATGTGAGAGCGTAGGGTCTCAGACAGGGTGCTGGTGAGTTTTCCCCCTTTAACCCTTTCACCCCGATTCCAGACTAACACTCCGGGCGTTAGCATGTCATCAACCGCCGCGGAGTGCATCACATATCTCTGGCCCGGCTCCACCATCAAGTCGATGTACCGATGCTACAGCGAGCGAGCCGTCATCACGATGCTCGAAACTCCCTCCGGTCTAAGCGAGACGACCACAACCACCACGAGCAGCACCCGTTCGAAACCCACCACCGCCACCACCGAATCTTCCTCCAGCTCTGCCGCGCCAGGCCAAACCGAATCCGTCGGACCCCCAATCCCTACCAACTCCGGCAACAGCAACAACACGGGCGCCATCGTCGGCGGTGTGGTCGGCGGCGTAGCCGTCCTCGCCCTAATCGCAGGCGGCATCGCCTTCTTCGTCATCCGCTCCCGCAAGAAGGCCAAGGAATCCGGCACTGGCACGGCCTACAGCGCCGTCGCCCCCAACGACAACCAATACCCGCCCGGCGGCCCCGCTAGTCCTATGCCCCCCTCCACCTATGCCGCCTCCTCCATGTCCCCGCCCATGTCCCACGCCGGCGGCTACAACCCCAGCACCTACGGCGGCGGCACCACCCTGCACCCCGACAGCCACTACGCGCCGAGCGTAGCACCGGGACCTCCGACCGGCGCGTACGACGTGCGGAACTCGTATTATGATCCGGCCAAGGCTGCGGCCGACCAGCACGGTGGCCACGGCGTTCCGGTAGCGTATGCGCCGTATGGTGGTGCGGGGGGTCAGCAGCAGCCGTACCCGGGCCATCAGGCGTACAAGCCGCCACCGCATCAACCGCCGATTCAGGAACTGGATAACAGTAATGTGCCGGCTGGGCAGCATGAGAATCCGGTAGAGATGGCGGCTAACTCGCCCACGCAGCGGTGATGATACCATGGGGCAGGAAATAATGATGCGGTGTATGTGGAAAGGCTTGGGGTAGGGAGTAAAGAGGTTGAATTAAGTGAACGGACATGGGATGGCGGACATGTGAAGGACGTGTAAATGGTTTTTTTATGCCTCGAGTTGTTACATATTTACCTGGATTTCGGGGCTATTATCACTGTGTTTAGCTTTGGCGTGCGGATTTCTGGTTGTATCAAGATCTGTTTTTGATCCCTTATGGCGAGATACCTGGGGGAGTTGGGTATGGATGGATAGCAAATGTGTTCCCAATACGAAGTCTGTTCATCAAGCATTTTCTGCCGGTGGATTATCTCCCTTACCAGCATGTCTTTAAGTTCATTATCACGAACCAGTGTCGTCGAACTATTCGTTGCACTCATGCGAGTTTTTATCAAGGTAAGCAAAGAGCATGTGCTGCCTCTGAATCTTCCCTTGGTTCAAGCAATACCTACCGACCCTTCTCGGACTTCCTGTCTGAAAACGGCTACGGTGGGTAGTAGCAGGAGTAACAGCAGCAGCAGTCTGATCACGCGCAATAGTTAACGACCAGCACAATAAACTTAGTTAGTCCCTTACCAAACGCAGTACGCAGTCTCTAAGCAACAAGCACTCAGGATCCATCCGCCAACCCGGCCCTATCCGCCCTACCCCCAACGCTCAGCAAAAGACTGAATAATCCCCTCCCTACTCTCCTCATACACCTTAACCTCCACCCTCCCATTCCTATCCAGAAGCGTATTCGCCTGCACAAACATACCCTGCGGCTCCGGATGCGCAACCACAATTTGTCTCCACTCCTCATAGATGCCGTCGACCGTGCTGAGCGGCTCGTACAACGCCTCGCGGGATGGGATGTCAGCTGTGCAGCGCCAAATATGGATTTTGGTTAGCAGTCGGCCGAGAGAAGGCTTTCCGTGGGAGAGGATCTTGGCTCGGTTGATGTGGATGCGGAGGGTTTTCTCAGCCAGGTTGCGGTGGATGGTTATTAGGTCGGCGGCGTCGAGGAGGAGGTGCTTGAGTATCGCGAAGGCGGCCTTGGTGAGAACGCGGGTATCAGTATGGTGACTGGAACATGAACCATCTAGGGGTTTTTTTCTGAGACTTACCCTTCGGTGAGGCTGACCCCAAGATTGACCGTCTTTCTCGTAGAACTGAAGGCCGAGAACACCCTCAACGGCAATGAATAGATAGGTGTAGTAAATGACTAATAATGAGTGAGCCTTGCTGAGCTGGCACATCGCACGCGGGGTTCCCGAACTTACAGTCATCAGCGGTAGGCGTGCTGCTTTTATTATAACCGAAGAGCTCAAGCAGCTCCCTGTTGTCCGCGAGAAAGTACGCGGCAAGGTTTGCTCGACACTCTTCAATCGTGTTTGCTAACCGTCCCCCGAGGCCTGGCTAGGTCTCTCCAAAACGATACCAGCTCTTGACAGGCTCCCCAGTCAGTGGGTTAATCGGGGGGTTCTGCTTGTCAAAGTTATATTCTCCCGGAGATGTCTCGCTCAGTAGCTTTCCTTTCCCATGGCCGAGGAGCTCGTGGATGGCGTTCATCACGAAGCAGACAAGGAGAATCGTCTGTGATCCAGACCTTCAAAGCCTCCCGATACGCGTCCAAGCTTCCCGTTTGGAAGGACTCGATCAGATGGCGGATAAAACTGGCTTGCTTGTCATTGAGTGCGTACTTGGCCGCTTCTTCCAGCGCTGAGACGATGCTGAGCATTTCTTGATGATGGTCCCCGCGAACAAGGCGGACTTTGGCGTCGAGACCCGGAGCATCAAGTTCCCGCGGTGAGTTGTCCTTCTCGGTGGAAGCCTGTAAAATTTCATAGACTACTTCTGACCCTTTCCCCGTGCTTGTGAAGCCGTGTGTTCTGAGGTTCGATGGAGTGTCCTTCCAACACCTTGGTGACCTTGCTCAGCTCTTCCTTTGTAACCTTATCTCCGAGATAGTAACCTGACTAGGTGCGGTTGCTCGGATAACCAATTGAGTATGGTGGGATACTGAACATAGGCTCGATGATCTCATCTAGAACGGCGGTAGCTTTGGATGACGGAGAAGCCAGCTTCCGGAGTGAGTCCTTGGAAATAGCTAGAATGAACTTTTGGTCACCAGACCCCTAGTTGAACTTGGTGTTAGAAACCCAGTACCTAGCAAGCCGAGGACAGGTTGGCCGGAATGTGCGAGGCAACATACATAAAAGTTAACCTATATTACAAAAGAACTGGGCAGAGTAGTCGAGGAATCCGTCGAGCTCCTGTGCTGACACACCCGTTTGGTTGGCAAGCTGTTTCCACTGGCCTTGACAAGCACGGTAGAGGGAGAGGATAACGTTCGCGATGGCAGGGCCCTCTTCCGAGACTTGTCTCATGAGGATCTTGCCATCATTCCATGCTGCCTTGGACAGATGATGGGCGTAGAGCTTTTCGCGCGCAGTCAAGCCGTCAAACAACGGTTTGATCGCCAGCTGGTGGATGATGGGTTTCGGGTTGCCGGTGGCCATCGTGATACTGTAACCTCCTTTCCACGGGTTAGAGGTGCCGGTTTGCGTGGTCGGTCGAGGGTCTCACCAGAAAGTTCTGTCCGGCTAGGTGTTAGGTGCCAAGATCTGAACAGCCCCCGCATTGGCTGTGAATGTTCCAAGTTGGTTGGCTGTTGGTCGATGGTGCAGGAGCGGCGGGCGGGTTCCCGGGGGGGGGGGGGGGGTGTGGGCAAACATCCCACCCTTGCCACTCCGGCGGTTGGGAAGGGCCCTAGGCAGGGAGCGTCAACCTGCGTGGTAGTCACACGCGGCGGTCCAGATAGACAACAATAATTATCCAATTGTTATCCTCCTTGACTACCTAATGGATAACATCCAAAACATGATTCCCCCGGGGCATATAATTTCTGAAACACGCCCTACTTGCAACGTACAGTCGGAACTAATTACCGAAGTAATGACCTAGATGCTGAAATACAGCTGTGCTATGCTCACCAGCAGCTGCAAAAACCCGATGGTCACGCTCAGCCCCCCAACCCAGATCACAGCCCAGAACGTGTACCACTGCATGGGATTTCTCCGATCTCTCCAGAGGTCCTTCACACGACTCGGCCGTTGCCGAAGGCTGAATTGCTGGAGCGTCAAGAGCCGGTGGCCGAATACGGGAAAGTCGTCCCGCATAGAATAGGTATCGGATTCCCGCAAGTCGTCCCGAGGGCCCAGCGCAGAAGGCGGAAACAGATGGCCGGGAATTCGAGTTTTCTTACCTCCTGCAGCGGAGGTAGAAAACGCAGAACTTCTGAGGGGTATCGTGCAGAGCGTGATCAGGAGGGGATCGACTGCCAATGTTCCTAGGTGTGGTGTATTAGGAGCTTGGTTCGGGGTCAATGATTCGGCGCAAAGCTTCCGGGAACTGGCAGACTACCCACAGAGTAGCCTGTATGATAGGAGGATCTCTCGGTGGACCATCAGGTTGTGGCAGCGTGGCTTGTTCAAAGCACACTCGTTACAAGCTCCCGCGTTAAAAGCTCGCTGATCATCATAATGCGATGGAAGCACTTGTGTCGTGATTCTAGCGATGCCGACCTAGTCAATTCCTTGTGGCCCCTAATGTTAGAGAAGCAAAGACCAATAGCGAGACGAGATCTTACTGCTCCATGGACACTAATTGACCGCCACCAAGGATGGCGGCGGCACAATAGGAAGGGAAACGGAAGACAGAAAGCTTGCGCTTTTGCCTGTCAAATATCAAGTGTGATGATATGTCGTCCACCCATTCCAGTTTAACTCTCCCGAGAGTGGCCAGAGAAAAGTAGTTGACGCTTGACTCGTAGAGGACATCCTCATGTATTTGGTCATGACCCACACAGCTTGTTGAGCTGTTGAATGGTAAAGTGCCGAACATCTCAGAAAGCGGTCCCTGGAACTTGCCCTCATGTTCCGTGCATGTTTGTGACGATATTTGAACCCTAACAGAAAATGTTCTCCAGGCCGGAAGGGCCAGTTGAATCGGTTCGTACACTGGTTCCATGAGCGCCGACGCCCAGCAGACCACCGAAAATATAGCCCACATGACTCGTTTCTTTTCTTCAGACGTGATAGGCGGGGGCCAAGCATGGCATTTATGGTGGTAGATCTCAACAAGGTGTTGGTAAGCCCATTCTACGCTGCATCCGCCACGATTTTCGGAACTGAAAACCCAGTGAACGGCGTAAAACCAATCCCAGCATCCCTCCGGGCTCGCCGGTGTTGGTTGTCTCAGGATCTTCCAAACAATGCGAAAGTCGTCTTCCATGAAGATCGCGAGAGATTTCTCAACATGGTCGCAAAATACAGAAAGTCCGGGCCATTCCGTGACTGCGCCCTGGTCGAGTCCGAACAACAGGCAGGCGGCTTCTGTTTGGAGGGTTGTCTTGTTAGGAGTCGCTGCGTTAGCCAGAAGCAGAACGAGCTACGCCACAGCTTGGAACTAATCTCACCATCCTACTTCCCGTGTTCTAAGTTACGGAAAACCATTTCATTGGAAAGGTAGGTCGCTGATCAACAGTCAGAATAACCAGGTTCCGAACTAAATGTACTCAAGCATGTAATTCATTGAAGCACACATACGTAGGCGGTTGATACACTTCTGAGCTATGAGAGCAACCAGCTTGGGTTGCGGCGGCCCAAGTGATCCTCCAGTCCACCATCATCTCCAAGCAGGGCACTTTCAAGTTGCCGCTCCGGGTCATTGTTCGATCTAGGATCGTAGATATCCTCTAGGGTATAGACAGGCATCTGACGCGGCCGAAATTTATACTCGTACCTAAGGAACAAGAAAGGATACGGTATGCTAGGCGGACAGGAGTCTTCGGTTCTCCAAGAGATGTACTTGGATATAAGGCGGTTAGGAATATTTAACTAGGTTGCTTTGGAAAGCTATTGGAAGCCCCGCCCCTTTAAACAGGAGGCAATGGAAAGTCAGAGAAAGCCCAAGTGTGGCGGAGTCTGTGGTACCTAACGCAGAGCCGGCAACCGCTTGTGCAGATCGCTTTGTTTAACAGCCAGCATCTCCCAGAGTACAGTCCTGTACATGTACATGCGGTTCAAGGTCATGTGGACCGAGGTTTCAAGTCGAAGGTACAGCATATGTACTCCTGGGCACACCGTAAGTCGCCGATAAACAGCAAGCTGCTGCAAGCAGTTCGGGCGCTAGAGGCCAACCTGCATTCACAACGCCAGAGAGCCTTCTTTTTGTGGTCATGCAGTCCCGCCACCTCAACACACTGCATCCATTGAAATCCATTTGAGCATACTACCTAATCTCAGCCCATGCCCTTGGCTAGGAATGAGTCACGAAGCCTAACTCGGTCAGGGGTTCTGGAATCTGCACGTTCGTTGACCGTATGCCAATCACAGCAGTTCCGACCGGCAACCTTCCATAACCCGGGTAACGGACACAAAAGAACCGAGCATTGATCACCTCCGTTCCTTCCAAGTGCATAATGCATTTCGATATCCGTAAGTGCTTCAAGATACTCACCGTTTCCTGGCCCGCCATTCACAAAAGGAATTTTTCTCGAGTCACCGGGCTGCTACCATTAAGCGATGCGAGAGCTCCGGATCTTGGGGGCTCCACGATCTCTACGAGATTCATGGGATCAAGTTGTGAGAATCTCTCCAGGAATACGGTTGTGTGTGTGTACCCAGCAAGCCCATGATGGCGTTGTAGGTTGTCTTAATTACCTACCTCACCTAATTATAGGACATCTCACTATATTCATGACCTTTTCGAGACCAAACTCCAGTCGAGGTTCGACCCAGCAGTTTTCTGACCAGGACTCACACTTCCTTGAGCAGGCAGACGTGTTTGAGAAGCTCAACAATATCATCAACCCTGTGATAGCATCGTAGTTCAGATCGGCTACTCTATACGGTCTTGGTGGTGTCAGCAAGAGCACCGGCGTCGCTACTAACTTCAAAGGGAGGTTTGATGAGGGTATCTACAGCATGGGGTTCTACGCCAAAGCTACCAGGAACCATTCCCTGGATTTGAGCCTGCCAAGAACAGGTTCTGGCCCCGTAATGTTTCCTCTTCATCACGACGACGAAAATATTCCAGAAACAGGATTAAAGTCTTCCATGGTAATTTCCGAGAGGTTGTACGGAAGGCTAGGTGGGCATGGTTTGGCGATAATTCACATAATTAGCTAACATGATCCGCTCGGGAGCATGGTGTTGTGTAAGAATTCACCCGCATCTATCCCAGGAGCCCTCAAAGATCGCACACAGGCGAGTTGACGACTTGTTAGACGGTTCGTTTGAAAGCTCAGACCGACACCTCGGCAGACTCTTGGGCATCATGTCGTTCCTCATGCCGGACATAATCCCCTCAGAAGTTTTAACAGTGACCAAGATCGGCCGATAATACCTCTTTGGGGACCCGCTAATTTGCGAAGTTGTGCTGAGGTAGGTAATTAAGTATAGTCTAACAGGTTAGAAATTCATCCAAGACACTAAGAGCTACAGTTTTTCAGAAATGTTTGAGAACTTGATGGCGCTCTCGCTAGTCACTCGACACCGAAACCCGCGTACCTTGTCTGTTCATCAAATTATGGAGACTAAGTTCAGATAATTATTTCTCTAGCTCGGAACAACGACAGAAGGGCCCCAACGACACGACCGCACCCCCTATTCATTATTTTACACAGAAGATGAGGACAGCGGCCAGGTTTACGATATTTAGCGGACTTGCACCGTGATATCCTCTTCATGCATTATAGATATCTTGAGGACTGCTTCAAGGAGGAGAAGATCTCTAGACCTTTTGAGCCGTCGTGGAAGCTCCGCTCACTCCTCGCAAACTCTCAGAAGTAACCCAAGTTCCGGTAATAACCGGCTTGCAATGAGAAGGGTGCGGCGGGTTACGTCAGTTGATGCTTCTATCGGATACTACCCTGTACTCACCACGGCAGACGATGAACCCGAGAAGATGGGCGTCATACCCACCATAATCTCCCACCAGGCCAACATTGTCGACGCTCATGGGGAGTCAAGGCCACTCGCTAAACCTGAATGCGTGGAATTAATCTCCGTCTGCTGGAGAACCCCCGCAAGGCGAACCTACTCGCATCCATTGAGAACAGGCTAGGTTTCAGCTACACTTCCGCCAATGACTATTTCAAGTCCGTGGAGTAGCTGCGCAACCCTGCGACCGCTGGATAGCGACACTCAAGAGTCATGGGTGGCCGGGTGTGTGGCGCACGATTATGGAAAGTGACACCCCCAGTAATTAGCATGGTATATCTGAACGACGTTGCTGGTGCTAAGGACATCGTCCCGCACTCCATCACCGAGCTGGAGTCTCACAATCCACGCAATTGGGCTTGGGTCATTGCGGAGGAAAATATCAGCTTGTACTTTTCCTTGATCTGGTCGCGTCCCGTAAACCGTAACACGACTTAACCTGGAAACGGCCAATGTGACCTTCATGCAAGCACATAACAGCTGGCTCAAGGGTGACCAAACCCATCCGCAGCCGGTTCAGTACAGGGTGGACATAAAGCTTCCAAGCAATATGCCTTTCACGGCACTGGGTTATATAAGCCAACAGGCTACTCTCTACTGGGTAGTGTAGCCCTCCAAGATAAACCGAGGGAAAGAAGCTCAAGCAGCAGGCACACATACATTCCTCAAGTTAGAATAATACCCCTATCTGCCCAAAGTAAGCAAAAATACAACCACAACACCCCAAACCCCTTACCCTCCTCCATCCCAGCACTCACTCACCCTGCTTCAAATATCCCAAATTCACCGGTGTCAACGCCTTTCCCCCCTTCAACACCGCCAAAATATTCCTCATACTCAACTCCTCAAACCCAATATGCGTCTCGACCGTCCCGCCCGCATTATGACACGTCAACATCACCCTCCCAGGACCCGGCCCTGACGCCCCGCGCCCCGTGGTTGGCGATGACGGTACTAAAAGCGCTCGTGCCATCTCCACCAACCTCGCATTGACCCGCGGCTCGTCAGCATGCACATCCAACGCAGCAGCACTCAACGTTCCATTATCCAACGCGTCAGCCAGCGCCTCCTCATCAACCAGCGAGCCACGCGCGACGTTGACAAACCGCGTGCCGCGCTGGAACGCCGCCAGTGTGCTGGCTGTGATGAGCGGTTTCCCGTCGGGCGAAGCCGGCGTGGCGAGGACGACACAGTCCGACGCGGCAAGTAAGGAAGTGAGCGTTGGGTGGAAGGTGGCGGAGAGAGAGGTTTCGAGGTCGACTGGTTTGCGCTCGACGTCGTAGTAGGCGATGCGCATGCCGAAGGCGGGATGGCCGAGTTTGGCGGCGATTTGTTGGCCGATGTTGCCGAAGCCGATTAAGCCGAGGACGTGGCCGCGTGGGTTGTGGGAGACGGCGGTTGCGCGGGCGTGGCAGGTTTGGAAAGCTTCGGCGCTAGTAGAAGGGGTGTTGGGGTCTGAGGAGGTGGGAGAGAAGACCGCGGCGGAGATGCACCAGGGGAGGTGTCGGAAGGTCGAAATGATCATAGCGACGGCAAAGTCGGCGACGGCCTCCGCAGCTGCGAGGCCCGAGTTACAGTAGATGATGCCTGGAACCATGTTAGCCATGCATGTGCCCCTGGAATACGAAGTTATGAGCGCAACCAGGGATACTTACCTTTCTCCCCCAATAACTTGGTATCGGCCCAGTCAAATCCCGCGCCGGCACTCGCAAACACCTTCACGGTGTCCGGCAACAGATCAATCAGCTCGGCATCCCACCGGCCCATCTCGCCGCCCGTGCCCCAAAACGGCCGGAAGATGGCACTGAAATCGCCCCATCTCCGCTCCTTCAACGCGCGTATGAACTCGGGCCGGTCGCGCTCGGCGGCACTCGGCCGGACCACTTCGAACGCGGTGCTGAACTCGGCGTAGGTTTTGGGGTTGTACTTGATCTCGTCGCCGATGTGGAGGACAATAGGCCGTTTGGGCGGAGCGGCCGCATTTCCCCCCGAAGAGGTTCGGAGGTGCGCCGGGAGAAACTTGCTCGCGTCTGGGATCAGACTGGGCAGCGCTGGTTCGGGGGAAAGAGAGCGCACTGGCGTGCCCGGAGGCATCGGCGTGTTCGTCGGCTCGGCCATGGCTGGCGGAGTCGGTCGTGAGGCAGTAGGAGGGTCGCTCGCTGGGTATCAAGGGGAGTGGGGAGGACCTGATGATGGTGTTTTGTTGCTTTGGGGGTAAGCTGCGCGAGGGAACTCTTGTTCGGGAACGTGCAATGGCGACAAACAATGTGACCAAATCCGCGCAGGAAATTCCACTATATTTTCTTCCTTTCTCTTCTATGTTTTCCGTCTGTTGCTATCACGGTCCGGGAAATATGATTGCGACGCGGGACCGGGGGGTAACTGTCGCAATGACCCTGACCCCGCTGTGCGAGCCGCGATAAGCTGTGTTGCCGCGAGCCTGCCCACAAGGCCCGGGACGGTGAGTGTCAGCCAACCGGGTGAACATGCCGATCGCGGCGAGCCGGGGGAGGCTTGATGGTCCGCGTGCCCAGGAGCCATCGTCTTGTTCGCCGGTTGGGCTGGGGGCAAAGAGCGGTCACGGTAGCGTGGAAAGGAACATGGAAAGGCGAGGCGGATTCGGGTTCCAGTCCGTGACACAACCCAAAGACTGGACGGGAGCCCGGAGTCCCGGACGGTTGACAGTGGGAGAATGGTTCAGGTGCTCAAGTGTCCTAACCACAGGGGTTCGGGCCGCGGGTCGGGCGCTAGTGCGGGGTTCTAAGCCGTCGCGTCGCTCCTTCCATTTCCATTTTTCTTCCCCGCAGCGGCGTCATCGAAGGCCTCATCCGAAGAGTTTCAGGCACCCCACTTACCCCAACGGAAGCCGAAAATAGATGTTTTCAGTTGCTCTTTTTGCCTCGGCGGCTGATGCGGAGATATCTACTTGGAACTCAAGATTCTTTTGGCTACAACTTGATCCATTTCACTTGTTATCAACTACAACACGGTCCAGAGGCTGGTCCTGAATCTTAACCGAGTAATTATACAGCCCACGGAACCCTCCTCCCGATATTAACCCCCCCTGACGATCTTTCCAGACCTCACTTCCGCTTCCCATCCTCGTCCTCCTCCACCTCCCTCAAAACCCTCGCACACCACAACGAGCCCCCCAAAAAGCCCAAATTCCCAAAAAAGTCCACCACCATCAACCCACTAACCATCCCCGCCTTCGGCCCAACACCACTAAACCAGAAATTCCACGCCAGGTACGGCACCATAGCCAGCCCAAACGCAGTAAAACTAAATGCCGTCATCTGCGACGTGCCCAACACCAGGCCGCACGTCATCGCCTGGGCGCCGAAACACCTCGCGAAGAGATCAGTGGTGGGGTTGTTGGCTGCTAGGGCGACGTAGGGCGGGGTGAAGCCGAGGGCGATGACCGAGGCTGGGTGGAGGAGGCACCTGTTTATGGAGATAAGTTAGTATGACGTACTGGTTCCGGCGCCCTTGAACGGGACGAGAGACAAGGAAGGGCCTTACCATGCGCCAAGGCCGCCGTAGGCCACTGCCATGGCCATTTGCACACGACGGACCGTCTGGAGTCTTTGTGGGGTCGTCATGATTGATCTGATGTTCCTGATCATAGCGTCGAGACGGTGATTATGAGCTAAGAGGGAGTCTTCAAGCCGAACGTGAGTTGGATGGTGTCCTGTCAAGCAACGTCTGAGATGCTATATATTCAGCCCATCCCTGGGATTCCCGAACGCCGAGCTAAGTTCCTAAATTACCCGACCCAAGTGAATCCAACTCAAATCACAGGGTATTATTCCAAAAACACATCCAAAACCTCAAGCCCCTAGCACCACCGGTCCGAAATCATCAAAAGCCGCTGTTGCTGGCCCCTCCCAGATACTGTTTGTCCCGATCGTTTTCCGCACAGCCAGTAGATACACCTCGGTGGCCGCCATGACAATTCTCACCAGATCGACGTTCCCCTTGATGGCCGGTTCTTGTACCCCAGGGGGGGGCGGGATCGGGGCAACCTCATCAGCGAAGGAGAAAATGTTCGCAGTTTCTTCTCCCTTCCACGCCGCCGAAATGGATTTCTCCACCATCCCTGTCACCCACTTGCCGTCCTGATCCGCCTGCGTCACCCACTCGGCCAACGACTCCGCCGCTTCCCCCATCAGCTTCGCGCTACACTTCCCCAGCCACTTGGTGTTGATAGCCGCGACCGCAAACACCGCCTCTCTCGACGGTTGCTCGTTCGGTGTTGGGCTCACCACTCGCGCGATCCGGCCACACACACACCTAGCCAGGTCATTACACCCCCCGTGGCACACGCGAAGCGTCTCGATGACCACCGCATCGGATAGGGAACCTTGGTAATGCCCCGACTTCCCGTCCCCACCGTATACGGCATTCGCAAAAGGGCCAACGATTTTAACCATCTTTTTCTGTGGCGTGGCCGGCCTCTCGCTTTGTCCTGACCTTTTCGGCTCTCTCACTACCCCAGGGTCTTCAGCCTGCCCATCCTCGTCGCCAACCTTCCTAACGTCCATGCCCATCCCATTTTCATTCCCATCACGACCATCGACATCACCAGTTGCAGCAGGTGTGGTGACATCGACTTCCCATTCCGCTTGTAGCCCCAGCGCCGGCCAAAAATCCGGTAGGTCCAGCCGAACCGACCTTCCGCCGGGGGACAGGTCGCCAATAAGCAAACGCATCTTTACCGTCCGATCCTTCTGCTCCTCTCGGCTCTGCCATTCGCGAAAGCAGGCCAGACAGGAGCAGCCGCAGATGCCGGCACCGAGCGGACCGAGGAACAGGCTTACTTCTTCAGAAGTCCAGGCCGGACCAGAGGGGCGTTGTTTGGAATTAGTTGAAATTTGGGGCGCAGAAGAGTGTAGGGCATACGCGAGGCTTTGAAAGGTGGGAGTGGACAAGATGTTTGCGTAGTGACCGAGGGAGACGTCGATCTGCGCATCGAATTCCGTCCGAGGGCGGGAGAGAAGATTGGCGATGGCCTTGCGGGAACTGACGACGGACGGAAGGGTGGCCCCGTCGATCGGGGCTAGCCGAGCAGAGCGCTTGTGGAGGTGATTTTGCACCGCCATGATGCACTGGAGGTAGCGAGACGTTTTATCGGGCACATCCATTGTAATGCTCGGCCGGATGTTCTCCCTCCCCGAGCGGTAGTACGCGATGCGCCCCAAAATCAGGTGCTGCGACGTCGTGAGCATCTCGCCACAGCGCGCGCGGGCCAAAACTCCCGGTTCCGTCGAGGCCTGCATCCCACCCAAGGCCGCCAGCAGCCGTAAGTCGGCCATGGAGGTCTCGATCGTAGCGCCGTACACATCCACGGGTATCATCGTCGCCAGCCGCCACTCCCACCGGACGTTGGCGTGTCCCCACCACGCATCCTGATAGTTGATCAAAAACTGGCACCACGCGGCAGACTCGAGCCCCGGCGCATTAGAGATGGTCTGGGGCGCGCCGACGGCCTTGTACCGGATCGCGTGCTTCCAGGCAAACGTCAAGGGTGTCATCAGGCCCCCAGCAATCTCGGCCGCGATGTCTCCAGCGTCCTCCGCCTCGCCCCCGCACCCTCCCGAACAAACACACCCGCAACAAAACGCCGGAGGGAAACAAAAGCACATCGCGATCGCGGAAAGCACCAATCCTATCGGCGTCCAGATCGCGGCACCCACGCCCAGAACGATCGTCGGAATCCACGATACCCTCCTCCGCGCCTTCAGCAACTGCTTGTCCGTCGCTCTAGCCACCCGCACCTTCCCGTAATCCTTATACCCGTTCACGTCCTTGTCGAAATTCTTCCCTGGCGCAAAGTTCGCCCATTTCCCTTCCTGTCCCTCCTCCATCATCGGCATCTCCATCGCCCCATCCGACGCGGATGCTGCTGATAATGATGATGACGAATGCCCCCCACGTAACCCGGGCAGGGTCAACACCGGCATGCGATATTGCGGGTTCCACGATAACGATGAGACGTGGAACCAGAAGCCGGCCGTGAGGTTGAACACGCCAGTCACGCGCGGGCTGCACCGGCTGCTGACCTGGACGTATTGAGAAAGGGCGGCGACCGTTTGGACAACCGCGAAGATGAGTGCCGCGATGGCGGCCACGAAGGCCGCGATGGCGACGATAAGGTTGGGGTCTTCGAGCGCCATGGTGGTATGGTTTGGTCTTGGCGGGTATTTCGGGGACGCGATGAAAGAATTGACTAGACCGAAGTTGCCATCTCCTGTCAGGCAAACAAGTGTCAAATACTGTCAAAAGATATTCCAAGACTCCAAGAACCGAGTCTCGGCAATGGTTGGAGGGGTCTCCCCATTTTTCTTTTGTCGGGGTCGACGTTAATTGTCTGGAGCATGCAAGGCATTGTGGCACCTGCGGCGGAGATGCATGCTTGTTTTGGGATCTCCAATGCAGCTGAGCCGAACAAGTATGGATTGGAGGGCACGGGGCTGAGCCTCCCATCAGCCCAAGGCTTGGTTGGGCGCAACAACTCCTTCGGCTAGCAGTAAAGCGCCCAAGAAGGGGACAGTTCGGCCGATCCGACGAATCAGGAAGATGGTGAGGTGGCAGAACAACTTGAAGATGGGCGAATGGGTGGACAAGCCATGGCTGAATTATTTCCGAACGGCTGTGCCCGTCTTGTCTGTCCGCCCGACTGTCCTGCACCGTTGCGGGCCGCAGCGGCAAAGCTCATTTGTTGCTGATCAGACCCGGGCAGAGAGGGAAGTGAAGGCGATTGGTTGTTTCTTGAAGAATTGTAACTGGTGGTGCGCGCGCCCGAGACAAAAACTCCATGACGGACGCGTGAAAGAGTGCCAATTCATCATGGCGCTGTGAAAGAAAAAAAAAAAGAAGAAAAAAAACACCAAAACCATACCACCGCAATGTCCAACTACAGCTATTAATTACCACCTTGGCCCCTAGTTTTGGTGATGCTGCAGGTAATAACAAGAGATAATTCTGTGGCAAGCGGCAGACTTGCTTGTGAATGCTAATCTTTAAATCTGAAAAACGAATGTAAATTTGTCAGTTGGGAAACACCTGGTCACTCGTAGCCGTACTTGCCTGTTTAATAATCCCAACGATGAAAATAGGAGCTGCGAATATGCCACCATGTGCAAGTACGACTTACCACACTCACTCTGTCACAATATGCGCAAATCCAGGGCTCTGCAAACCTCGACGAGTTTACATAGGTACGTTGTTAAGCGTCACGGTGTTGTTACTGCACACTTTATTCGCATGTTAATAATTAAGTAACTCATCAACACCCGCATCCGCCATGGCGCAAGAGCGCCGCCGTTCATCCGCCGCCGATGCAGACTGCAGCCACCTCCGGTACCGCATAAATTATCTGGAAACCAACCACATCTATATCCACGACGCCGTCGATGTTCTTCCGTTACCCGTTGAAGATCATGCCAACACCCACATCTGGATTGATGTCAGGGAAAGTCCCCAGGACCCCGATCCCGATTATTTGCTCGCCTTCGACCGATTCAAGAAGCTCGAGAGCGATTGTAATGAGGACGACGTTAAGTTGGCGCTGCGGGGTGGCGTCTTTCCGCACCGTAACGACCAAGCCTACGGCCATCGCGTTGGTCTGGCCACCACCGGCGGGACGACGGTCTATCCACATCTTGTGCCAGAGGATGACGAGAGCCCGTTCAAGATCACGCCGCCAAAATGCGACCTGATGTACGGCTACACCGCCACGATTGGGAACCCATTCACACAACGGCAGTTCGTCGCGCAAATGCCTGAGTACCCAGACCACCCGGACCACCCTGTATTTGCCGCCGCGACGCCGGACGGGGATTTGCGGTTCCCCTTTTTAGTCGTGCAGTTCAAAGTGATGCCGGTCGGTGCCCGAGGCCCCCGCGATGATTTATGGGTGGCCGCGAACGAGTGCGCTGTGCTGGCAGCATCATGTCTGACGGCGATCAAGGCGTTAAATCACTCGCATTGCAAATATCGGAGGACAGAGGTGAAGGATGTGGAGGAGATAGTCTATGCCATCACTGTGGACAACCATATTGCGCGGCTGTATGTCGCGTGGATCAATGATAACAACCCGTGGCCGGATTCGATGGACCTGGCAAGGATCGGCGAATTTGTGCTCAACCGGCCGGAGGACTTTAAATACTTTCGGATGGCTGTGCATAATATTTTGGAGTGGGGGAAAGGGGACCGGTTGGATCATATCAAGGTGATGTTGGATGCAATCGCGGAGGTGATGCAGAATTAATTAGAGGGGTTCGGAATTCGGATGGCGGACACACATCCTAACGACACGAATGTCTCCAAAGTATGATAGCGCGAACACTGGTCGGGAAAGCAGAACTGAGAAATAGATTTGAGTTCACCCACCTGGTCCAGCTCCGCGACGTCCCGATATTACTGGGAGCTGTGCAAACACCCACTGTGACGAAGTGCGCTTCGATCATATCATCCGATGTTGATGCCCTGGACACAGGTGACAGCTGGGAAAATATCTCGGCTTCAATCATCAGCGTCTTGTATGGTGGGTGCACACCGAAACTAGTAGGAGTGTAGCCTCGGTCAGAAGCTGAGAAAAGTCAAGAAACTCGAGAAAAGTAAATCGTAATTCGTCAGGTCATGACCGAATCTAGCGATGCGTTGACAAAGCGGAGTCGCAGACCTGAGAGGCAGAAGCAGCAAGACCAAGTGCCATGATCACGTGCAAGCATCTGCAAAATTGCAGGCGCTTACACGTGACCCCACCAGGGTATAAATTGCCGCCTGCGCTGCCCAAACTTCCTCCTCTTCTCTTTTTCTTCTTCATACTTACCTTGGTTGATTGCGGGGAGATCAAGAAAACCCTGCCATATGACGGAGAGCCTGCATTGCACATCGTGGTGCTAGCCGTTATGAATTGTCCTTCGGGGCCGTTCCGGCCGTAATTTTTGCTGTCTACCAAACATCTTTTTCGCTGTGCACGTCGCGATTCGCGGCGTCGTGGGGAAGAAGTCTTGTTTTGACTCGCTTTCAAGCTTTGCGATTTTCAACGTCGCCCACCGCTCCCATCGCGGCTAAGAGTCTGAGATCTCCGTAATGTATCTTGTTGCAGTCGGTAATAAGATTTCCACTCCAATGACGGAGACACGATCGTCATCAAAAAGACGATGGCTTCGGGCGTCGTTAAAAAAATGGGACGGGTTTTGTTTTCCCAACTCTCGCCACACGGCGCTGTATGCGCTCCATCTTTGACGTTCATTCCACTTGACTACGGGAAACGTCTCTTGGGGCTAATATCGTTCCTGCGCCGTCGCCACAGGCAGAGGCGTGATTTTGACCAGGACCGTTTAAGACAGGTGATGCTCATCCGTGGTGTTTGTCCGTCACTGACCGATGACAAACGAAATAATCCGACCATTTCCGATTCCTCGACGTTCTTCCTTAACGATTACATCTTCTCTGCCCCCCAGCTCTAAATCAACAAGTTAATTATTCGTACGTTCTTTCCTTCAACTTGGCGCGGGGGAAATGGCAGGATTGTGCGAGGCGGGCACCCAACTTGCGAGTAACCAAAGTCCGGCGCTGGCCCAATTAAGAATGACAAGCAAACAACACATAATTACTCCAGTCCCATTCAACCCGTCTCGATCGGGTGTTGTTCAACTTCTTGATTACAATCTTGCCAATCGGCGTGTGTTCTGGTGCTTCCTGCGCCCCGAGTTCATCCTTCTGAATTTTCTGATTGTTTTTTGGCCCTAGCATTCCCGCTCGTAGATACCGGCTTCCCGTCCCTGCCGGTCATAGAACCTTGAAATTCGAGGGATTGGAACTTGTAGGCGATTTCCTGAGGTTTTTCTGGGATGTTCGCAGGGAATCCGGTTACTTGCTGTTAAGTTCAGATCCTTAAATAGTGAGTTCCATCCAGCAGTAGCGTGGTATTGTTTCGTTTGATAGACATCGCACCTAATTACAGAACGAATCTTCTGAGATATTTAAGACGTCGGAGAGGCTTAATTACAAACTCAAAGCTGTTACTACAGAGTGTATTTAATAGCTTCTGGCGATGATTTTGCTTGCAAGAAACCGCTTTATAACGCTCCAAGAATAATAAAACCTAGATAACGTTATGTGGAAAGTGATTTGAACACTACAGAACGGGGCGCTAGTTCGGCGTTCTAAATATTCGTCGTTCCATTCTTCCATTCTCCTCGTATGAATTATAATATCCTAGCTGATTCTGGTGTCAAATCCTGACTTACGTTGACCCTAATTGGACTTTCTAATGTCGATGTTTTCGGATGTGGTAGAACTTGCTATGTGGGGATCATCAATTTCGTGCGCTGGTGTTGATAAACCCCTTCTGCGCTATGGAACACCACAGTCTAGCTCTTGGGAGCTTGGCTCAGTTGGAAGAGCGCAGGTCTCATAAATTTGTATGATTCGGTGTCAAACCGGAGTAATCCTGAGGTCGTGAGTTCGAGCCTCACAGTTCCCATTTACTTTTGCTCTTCTGATCCACATTTTGGCTGTGGTTGTGATCTGCGTCAGGGGCAGTTGTCTTGTATCGTTTGACGACATGTCGAGTGTCTGGGTTACCGGATGCGTGGATTCCGCTATTGACCACCACACTCGTTTAGGGCCGTTCTCATGTTGTGAGTTTCATTTGGGTAATCAAGCAGATTCCATCAGGAGAAAGATAGTTAGTGAATTAAAATCTGCAAATATCACAGAGAAGGTATCAAACAAATGTCAGCTAAGGCATCCTATCGATGAATTTAAAAAGCAGACCAATCCCGAATCCAATCAGCCATCCCCGAAGTCCCAACCTCAAGCCGTCTTCTCCGGTACATGGACACCCTTGATGCTATGACTCGGGCTAGCCGACACGCCCGTCATGGACCCCTCGATATGGCGAGCAATCTCGACATAGTCATAAGCGAACTCCCCTAGCTGACCATCATCGAGGCCAATATCCTCCTCCTCTGCGCTCACACGCAGCGACAGGCCAGGAATGAGATTCATGATGAACAGGATGACGCAGGTCAGAACAAAGGAATACGAGAAGCCGGCCACACTGTCCGCGAGCTGGTAGCCGAGCTGGACGTAGTTTTGGTTGACCCAGCCGCCGGGAATTTTGGTGGACCCGTCGAGATGGGCGATGTAATTGCTGAATTAATGCGTTAGCTTTTTTGTCGAACATCGTCTTTGAGGAGCAGAGAAACGGGATAGGGCGCAACTTACGCAGCAAAAAGACCGGTCAGAAGGTTACCCGCGATACCACCCACGGCATGCTCAGCAAACACATCGAGAGCATCGTCAACGCCGAGGACAAACTTGAGCTTCGTCGCAAAGTTGCACACGATGCCGCCTACAACACCAAAGATGACAGCCGACCAGGGCGGCACGAACCCAGCAGCGGGCGTGATGGCGACCAGACCCGAAATGACACCACTGCAGAAACCAACAGTGCTCCACTTCTTCTCGAGCCGGTAGTCCAGCAGACACCAGGTGAAACCACCCACACACGCCGCAATGTGTGTGACCACGCATGCCATGACAGCACGCATGTTGGAAGCCAGCGCACTGCCGCCGTTGAACCCGAACCAGCCGACCCAGAGGAATACGGTGCCGAGAACAACATGGGTGACGTTGTGTGGACGGTAAGGCAGGCCGTTAACCTTCGTGTAGCCAGTGCGTTTGCCGAGCATGAGCGAGTAGGCGAGAGCGGCAGCGCCGGAGCTGATGTGAACGGGAGTGCCACCGGCAAAGTCGAGACCACCCATCTTGAAGGACCAGCCGTTCGCGTTCCAGGTCCAGTACGCAATCGGGTCGTACACGATCGTGGCCCAGACGAAGATAAAGACCAGGCAGGGGAGCATGCGGCCGCGGTCTGCAGCAGCGCCGATGGCAAGGGCAGGGCTATAAGACGTGTCATGTTAGCGAGGAAGTGCCATGCATGGATGGGATGTGTGGATGTGACAGTGTAACGTACGTGATGGCTGCGAACATGCCTTGGTAGAGGCAGAACAGGATATCCGGGAGCTTGGTGCTGCCGACACTGGGTTGTCCGAGCACCTTCATCAGGCCGAAGTTGGAGAGATCGCCGATGTATGCGCTGCCAGTATGCGAGAAGGTGAGCGAGTAACCCCAGAAGAACCACTGGAAACCGACGACTGCGATGGACATCATCGACAGCCAGATCAGCGCCAGCGCCGACTTGCGCCGCGCAAGGCCACTGTAGAAGAACCCGACGCCTGGGACCATTAGGAGGACGAGCGCAGACGAGGTCATGATCCAGGCGAAGTCGCCGGCCTGAGAAGTGTCTCATCAGCACAAGCACTCCATCTTCCCGGTAATCATCTGTTCCTTACGCTGTAGTAAATGTTGAGGTCGTCATTGAACGAGTCGCCGCCGGGGTCGGCGACACCCGATACCCCGTCGTACGCTACGGGTGTTGAGGCTGACATGGCGGACGTTTGGTCAACGCCGTGGACGATTCAGGAGCTGGTTTCCGGTCAGAGTTGCCGGGTGTTTGGCCGCGCGACGGGGTCTTTGGGAAAAGAAGAGTCGAACTACCTCTCCCACACGAAGAAGGGACCGGGAGGGTCAAATAGGCTCCCGGCTCCCAGCCCATCGGTCCCGATCTATCCCAATATCCACCACCCATGCGCGTTTCATTCAAGCGAACGCGGCGCGCGCAAGCTAACAGATTTCCGAGTTCGCTGCCTCCCTGTCCTTGCTCCCATGTTCCCCTCGTTGGCCATGCTGCGGACTGATAAGACCATCTCCCAATATCGGCTCCTCAAACCAATTCGGGACAGCCTTCTTGCTTGCTTGGGGGAATCGGCATCAAACGGGTTGTGTGGGCCGCTGATAAGGGCGCTCCCGTCGGCCAATGAGTGAGTGGGGGTCAGTAATGGGCGTTCCCCGGGTTTCACGGCCCAAAATGACGTTTATCCCACCACTCGTCCGCCCAACACCCAAAAGAATCCTGGCAAAGGTAACTCCAACGCGTGGTTGAGATGGAAGAACGTGGGTTTCCACGTTCTAAGATCTCGCAGGGGATGTGGAGGCCACATGGTTCGTCGAAAAAGGTGAAGATGGGGGGTCTCGCACGGTCGCACCCTAGGTGTCCATGTTTTGAGGCTGACATGTGTGCCCAAGCTCTTTACGGATATCAGTACCCCGTCTCCTTTTGTGGTTCACTCGAAGGCTCTCAACCACGTATTTCTAGCCTCTGAAGAACCAAACGTGATGAGAAGTGCCGTCGTGATGAGATAATTAGAGGTGTCGCTCTCTCCTGACAACCTCTAGGCTCAAGCCCAAGACCCCGGGTTGGGGGCGCTTTTAGCAGGCCCATTTGTCTTTTGGCGAATCATCAGGTCGCAATCGCTCAGCTCTGATAAGCGGTGATGTGAGAAGCCGTGGCATGGGGATCCTGTTTCTCCTCTCTCGTAAACTCCCGACAGAGCAAAAAAAAGTGAAGGGCGCCGGACGCACCCTGTACTAATGTATGTAGCTACATATCTGCTTGTCAATACCAGGTACTTTGGATTTGCGACATCCGGATATTGTTAGGGCTGTAATGTCTCACATGGCAAACTCGGCACCACAGAAGCCAAGGCGATCCGGGCCATTGTCATGTCTCCACTTCCATGAGGTGTGCCAGGTTCTTGAATATCACCACCCCAACACCTACCTGCATGGAACAACCCCCAACTCCGGGCATCCGTCCCTTATGCAGGGCCAACTACCGCCTGGTGCTGGAAAGATCTGACGGAAGATAACTTTTTTGCTTACATTTCTCATCGCCAACGCGCTAGATTTCTCTTAGCTGCGGCGCGTCGACAGCTTTGGCGAAATTCCGATTCCAGTGGGCGCTGCCCGCCTTATCAGTGGGCACAGCCAACGCGCCCCCTTGTTATCTCTTGGCACGCGCCACAAGCTCTCACCCAAATCTCAGGTGGGTGGAAAGATTCGGGGTGGAACTTTTTGTGGGAGACGGGAGATGCTGAGGGTTATCGATAACCGCTGCATCTCCAGAAGGTTCAAATAACCGATCAAATCCTCGCCGGGTGGGAGCGTAGACCGGACCTTCCGTTGTGTCGAGCTTCCGGGAGGCAACGACCAGACCTGGGCGGCTAGGCACCTGGTGCTAAATTAGGTACCTTAAGTTGGCAGCGACATCCCTCCCCCAACACACCCGAAACCTTGGGAGAGCCGCAGTGAGACTGAAATCACCTGGGGACGAAGTAAAGCCAGAACAGCGGATATATTATGCGACGGAGACCCTCAGCTTTTATCACATGTTCCTGTCCGATCATCTCCGACTTCTGTCTGAAACGTTCTGTCGGAAAGCTTACCCCATCGCAGCAGAAGCCCAAGCTACCCCACCTGCCGAATCGGGCAACCGAACAAACAAGGACGGCTCCGCTGGAGTTGAAATATTCAGCCAAAACCGCTAGAATGGGCAAGCTTGCGATGACATGACTTGGTCTGGCGATGCGATGTTGGTTTTAGCACTTAAGCTTGCACGACCAGGCCCCCTACAGAAGTATAACTTTCTGTAGGGTGTTAGTCTTGCTAGTTGAGAAGCACCTAAAAGATGTGTCTGAGCTCGCCACTGATGGTTGCAATGACGCTACTCATGAATTAGTTGAGGCCTGCCACACAACTCGCACCCCAAAAGGTTTGTAGGACGGCTTGAAACTTGAGTTTTGGAACGGTAGGGTCTTATATCCATGCCATTTTTCGTCTTCTTCTGTGACAGGAACATATAACTTGCATAAGATCGCGTGCATACAGGGCACTTAATGATTGACAGGAGGCAGGCCACAGTTGATCGGTAAGGCGTACTTTGGGCATTGCCAAGCAGCTCACGACACGTGGGTGGACCGTGGAGGAGTGCCGCCTGGTCAACAAAGCAGCCACACTGGTACCACATGGACTCACTCACATGAGCATATTTTGGTGTGATCAGCCACACCTTTGTTCACCACATATCTAGGTACACAACCCCTCAAACCCCTCGCTAGGCTCACGGACTGTGAGCCCGGCTGCAGGCAAGCTCCGCAACATCCACTTGAGCAACAGCGACCGTGCAGATTCGCGAGTAACTTGATTCTGCTGTTTTTTGTTTTGATTTCCAAGGAAGCTGCTTCTGGTATGAGCGCCTGCCTTTGGTACGACATTGAAGCACAACAAGCTTCCGCTTTTTGGCCAAAGACAGGATTTGGATCTCACATTGGGGTCCCCATGATCAGTCCCCTTCCATCTCCATACGAAGGCTCACCAGCCGGCCCGAACGAAGTCCGCTTCTTACTTTAACGTCCTCCTCATCTTGTCACGCCCTTCTTTTGTTGACCCTCATATCGCTTTTCTGTATTGTTACGTTTCTAGGTCCTATCATCTCCCGTCATCAACGAGTCATAGGCAGACCTTGGCTGCTCAACTTTGACCCCCATCACGGAAGCACGGTCCTAAGATCCATGTGCATGTCTCCCGGGCCCTTGAATCGAGGCCCTCAAGTATCGATAACGACGTTTAGAATTCGCATGTATGCGCATCGTTCTGTCGTGTCACGACCTACATACCTGCACGCACTACGTGCCCTGATACTGCGTACTCCGCCTTTGAATTTCTAGTTCCTCCCTCCCTTAACACTCGGTCGCCGAGCCTGGGTAGCGGGGACCTACGCCCGGCTTGCGGGTCTTCTGGCCGTGTCGACATTCCAATCGAGATCCTCGCGCGATCTTTGCTGAACCCCTCCCCTTCCTTCCATTTCTTTCTTCTTTGGCGGTGCGAGAAATCAAAGGCTGCCCCGCCATGCCATCCTTGCGAGGTAAATTCCAGGAAACATCCAGGAAACTGGGAGCCATGGTGAAGCGACGTAATACCCACTCGGAGGAGGAGGATTTGGCGCAGGGTTCCCAAGACTTCAAGCAACCGCGCATGATGACGAAGGCGAGCGCCGGTATGTGGTTTTCGAATATGCGGGCGGTATGAAGCAGCGTAACTAATCGGTTGTCAGCTTCTGGAGCGACTGCGTCGGCGCCTGACGCACCGACAGCTCATACTCCAGGAACTTCGAGCGCACCCGCGGTCGCCACACCGTCCTTTCTTCCAGGCACAGGAATCCCCTCTGATTCGTGGCCTGGCGGTGGATCAGCATCGAAATTTACAGGTACGCGACGTGGTCCATGTGTTTTTCGTTCTTCATGATGTAAAGGTCCCAGTCGAAAGGGTTGCTGAGGTGGCCACAAAATTGACAATCTTGAATTTAGGCGGCTTTGACCCAGATCTCGGACAGCATATCGGCGCAAGCTCTGCTGGAGATAAGGTCATTAATCCATCAGGGGAGACTCCGCATAGTCTAGCTGCCCCGAGCAACAACGACCCAAGCCTCAAATCCAGGCACGCTAGTGGGAAGAAGGTCGGCATCCTCGAAAAGCTGGGAATGGGCCACGATCGGTTTCACGGTGGGCTCAAAGGGCGAGGATCCAAGACTTTCCACTTGAAATCACCGACACGAAACGATATGGGTGCGGTCGCCAGCCAACACCAACAGGTGGAGTGTCTCAGTGATTATCAGAAGCGTTTAGCCTCAGTAACATGCAACAAATGCGGAACACACCTCGCAATCGACACTATGAGCATCATGGAACGGACGGAGAGAATGCTGGGAGAGAGACGTAAGCCAGATGTGGACTTTGAAACGACAGGGCGAACGGAAACACTGACCCTTGGGCCACAGGATACTTTCACCCGTTCCAGTTTTGTGCCAGATGTAAAGGGTGGTCCTGCGTGTCTTGCGACCAATTCTACAAGGGCGATGGGGCACCGATCCTCAAGGATCTGGTCTCTGGCAAGAACTTCAAGACGGCATGGTGCTGCGATCAAGGCCGTATATTTTTACTACTTTCGCTCCTGACCGGACCTGAGCAAGGAAAGCAGCGCACGCCGAAAAATAGGCGTACAACTCGACAAATGACCTTGCGGGCGGCTACCGTAGAGGCAGAGCAATCTAAGGCAAAGGGGAAGCGTCGAAATGGGCAGCAAGAGTCGCAGCTGTCTAAGGGTACAGGCTATGGAGACGGGTTGGTGAGCAAGTCGAAGCAGACGGAAGTCTCCCAGGCGTCGGAGGCAGACCTGGATGTTCTCTTGCTCTACTTTGAGGCGCTGGTGTCTGTTCTGCCATCCAGCAACAAAAAGTTGACCGTCTTCGACACTTATCCCCAGCCGCTGGTGTTTGAGATGATCACGAAAAGCCCGCTGGTGGAGGAGACTCCTAGGTTGTTGCGGAATTCGTCGCTGGAGGAAATTAGCGCGCGCCGCAACCCTCTCGTTACAGTTCTTGGGTTCCTAGAAACCCTCGCCAGCCACGACAGTACCCGAGGGATTCTCCTTGACTCGTTAGTCCGTTTCCCAGCCGAAGAGCAGCTACCCAACCTCAACCTCGGGGCACCCGACCAGCAAAGCACCGCGACGGTTACGCACTACGAAACAATGCAGCCACTGGTGAGCGTCATCGAACAGTTGGCGATTCCCTTTCGCAACTTCGTCGAAGGGTCCCGCCGGCTTGGGGGGGAAGCCGTGGGAAGGGACGCGGGAGGACTGCTCCCAGTCTTGGAGCGAGTATGCAGCATTGCCGACGAACTGAACGCGATGCTGAAACAGCGGGTGGCCATGGGGCGTGCCGACAATGACAACAGAGAGTTTACGGCACAATCCGCCGAATGGCATCGCGAAAATTGCGTTAAGCCCGTCCCCGACGAAATCATACTCAACGGCCACACCTTCGTTAAGGAGGCAGAGCAAGCAGCCAAGACAAAGTTTGTGCCCAACCGCATGAGGAAACTGCTAGCTCAGGTCTCGTCTCTCATGGTCGACTTGCCTGACGGAATTTATGTTCGGCATGGCGAGAGCCGGGTGGATGTGATGAAGGTGATAATCGTCGGCCCAGTCGGCTCCCCATACGAACATGGCCTCTTCGAGTTCGACATGTTTTGCCCCAGCGAATTTCCGAAGAGCCCCCCTGCGATGCACTTTCGAACTACAGGAAACGGCGAGGCGCGGTTCAACCCAAATCTATACGCCTCTGGTAAAGGTGAGTCTAGCTGTACCCAACACTACGAGCTACGAACTACGAACCGGCAGGGGGGATCCTTACTGACTTAATCATCCAATAAATAGTTTGCTTCTCATTGTTGGGCACCTGGGCAGGACAGCCCTGGGATCCGAACCAGTCGACGCTCCTCCAGCTTCTAGTTTCGATTCAAGGTATGTTACTATGTTTCGACTGCTGGATCAAGTTAGAAAGGGGGACGTAGGACTAACAACTGATTGAGCCATGATTTTCACCGACGCTCCCTACTACAACGAGCCCGGTTATGAGTTAAAGCAAGACATTCACCGATCCGAGTCCTACAATCGGTGCATCGAGGATCTTACCGTTCGCCACGCCATCCTGTACTGGTTGGTCAGCCGGCTGGCACCGCCGAAGCAGCCCCTTAAGAGGCCCTCATCGAAGGTCGCTGAGGAGCCGGGCATGACGGCTCGAGCCACGGGAAAAAAGATGATGGTGATGGCTGACACCGAGGGAGCTTCGATCAACTTGGACCTCCCAACTCCACCGCCTCCGGTCAAGGCCGCCGAACCTCAGCCACCCCTCCCCCCTGCTGTCGGCCAGAGTAGTTTGAGTGCCAGCGCTGTGGACTCCCAGCAGTACAATCCTGGAATGATTGCTGCCACGAACACCATGTCGGCACAAGCGGGACCTTCGGCGCCGTCTGCACCGTCCGCACCGCATGGCGGGTTTGCCCCTGCGGTACTCCCTGGGCTGCCCGGTAATAGCAACCTCAACTTAACCATGCCGGGCCAGATGCAACCTGCTGCGGCCCAAACTCTGAGTGTCTTGCCCCTGAGCAATACAGGCTCCGGCTCGGCGCCGTCGGTAACGTCCTTGGAATTTGCTAGGGCCAAAATTGAAGGGGTCCCATTTCCCGTTGGGCAGGAAGACCCTGTTTTCAGCGACATCATCCGCCACCATTTTCAGCTGAAGGCGAAGGCTATTCTCGCAACCGTTCGCAGATGGGAGAAGCTGTCAACGACGGTCACGGCCGGCCAGATGGCTATGGCGGCTCCAAGGATCGAGCGCTTGCTGCAGCAACACGGGTTCCACGACTAGGAGGCGGACCCGGAGGCTGACGAGCGGGCTGCCCGGCGTCTCAGGCGTCTGCGGGCGTGTGTCCAGAGAAACGCTAACGGCCTTTGGGTGCTACGCGAGATGAACCCGAACGAGTACCCGAGGGTGGCATATGTGCCGGTGGCTTTACTTGGCAAGGAGTGGACAGATAACGGAGGCAACGAGGGTCAACAGAACCAGCCGCCCTCCCAGCCGCCCTCCCAGGAAAAGAATCAAGGGACTCCCAAGCAGCCTGACATGGGAATCCAGGCCCTGTACAAGAACCTCTTTTCGAACTTGGCAAAAAAGAAGTATCATCAGGCTGATGGGTCTAAGTTGCCCGTTAATCCATCAACGGCAGCCAGTTTCCACCTACCCCAAGGCCCCCAACAACAAAACCCACCTACTTTCCAGCCACCCCAGCAACCGGCGCTTCTTAGCCCGCTGAATCCACCTTTTGGCCCTCCTACGGGTCTTTTTGGTTCCCCTACGGGCTTTTCTGGTTCCGCTGTGGCTCCTGTTGCCCCCCCTACGGGTCCTTTCCCCTGGCCCTACGGGCCACAGGGTTCGTCAATGACAATGTCGTCGGCACAGTTCTTGGGGGCTTATCCCCCATCCATCCCCTGTCATACGACGGCGCCCAACAGCTTACAGCCGCAGAACCCGGGATTTATGGACTTTGGACACCCGCTTTTCCCCTCTTTCAGTGGCTGGCAGCCTCAGGGTGGTGGTCTCACGCCGCAGCAGTACCAGGCCGGACTCGCACCACATCTTGGACTCACACCACATCACCAGGGCCCGGGGCCGACTCTACCCACCATGCCGTCGTTTCCCCAACCAAACGCGGCGGGCCAGGGGTTAGGATCCCTCAGCCAGCAGGGGCAAGCACAAGATGGAAACTATCAGGGGGCCGGGGAGGAGCAAGGCGGCTCGGACTAGAGCGCCTGGGCCAACGAATTGTTTGAGAGTCAGCTGCAGGCTATGAAAAACCCCAAAGGTGATGGCTCCGGTCACTGAGACGACGGGCGGCCGGCCGAAAATAAAAACACCAAGACACCCCCTTTTAGCTTCGAGATGCTTCTCGGGCAAGCTTGATGGTGAAGCGGTTTATTGGCAGCGTTTGAGGCGGGAACAAACGCTGCGTTTGCAAGCCAGGAACACTATCACCTTTTTCGGCCCTGGTTCCGAGTCCAGGAATAAGCTGGGTCCGATTCGGCAACATAACAGTTCATGGATCGTTCCTCGTTCCCCTTTGTTTTCTTAAGGGTTATTTCTTTTTCTTTTATTTTTTGCGAGAAATACCTGTTCTGGTACCCTACCCGTAGCTCTCCTCATTAGGAGGGTACTACTACCACTCGGGAGCTTTTCAGGTGCAGAGTGGCGGAGGTGTGGCATCCTGGCTTTGACAAGCGGATGAGGTTGTGGTGCTTAATGCATACTATTAAACCTCGGCTTTGATACGGTTGGGAGCGAAGACGGGATGGATTCTGGAGCGGAAGTTGCGGTATACACCCGCTTATGGCTGGTCAGCGCTTGTTGAAGTATTGATCAATGTGTAGCTTTTACTTTAATTTTACAGAGCTGTTTTGCTGTGATTCTGTGGCTTGTGTTGATGTGATTCTTGGCTCTGTGTGCTCGGAACTAAATCCGCTCCTTATACTCATGACGGTATGAGATAACCACAGACTTAGCGGTACCAGGTAGAGAAATTGTTAAAAAGCAAGTGAAGACAAGACATTCGTGCCTGGTAACATCTGATACTGGACCAAAGTCTGTGCTAGCGAGCATCTCAAAGTCGTGCTTGGGTTTACGTCCCATGGACTGACACCCCTTTAATCCCCCCAAAACCTTAAACGCCGGCCATATGCACCGAGATATGAACCCCCTCCATTTTGTGAACCTCCCTCAAACTCCCGACAACCCGATTCCCTCCCTTCAACAGTCCGTCCGCTTAGTTCCCGAACAGCGAAGAGAATGGCACGCAGAAAGCATACCTTAACTAAAAAGTAACATCACAAACTCCCCCCAAACGGATCATCCAACCCTTTCCCACCACCAGCCCCCCCACCGCCCAACACTTTCCTCCGCTTGTTATTATTATTATGAAGATTATTATTAGTGTTATTCCCGCCCGTCCCGGCTCCCAACGGCTCCCCAAACACGGCCTCGTCGCCTTCCAGCGTTCGGTCGTCCTCAAGGTCGCCACCACCGCCGCCGTCGTCGGAGTCGAGACCGCTGGCGCCTTTGCGGGTGGCTTGTTCGCGGCGGGCGCGTTGGAGCTCGACGAGGTTCCAGCGTTCGGGGTCGCGGCATTTGTTCAGCTTTTTGCGGAGGGGGGTGATTTGCGCTTTTATTACTGCTTTCTGTTATGAAGGGACAGAGGTGTTAGTTTGTGTGGTTACGCGGGGTGGGGGTGGGATGAAAGGGGGGTGAAAAAAGGGGGGGTACATTTGTCCAGTGTTCGCGTCGCTCGGGGAGTTCACGGCCGAGCATATCGCGGCAGGCTTCGACGGCGCCGAGGATTTTGTCGCGGATTTGGAACCCGATGATGTGTGCTTGGTCTTCTGCATGGGAGGCTTTTGCGCCGGGCGGATTGCTGTGCTCGGTCCCGGCCATCGGGGTGTCGGCGCCGGAGTCTGGGGCCGGAGCCACGTGGTGGAAGGTTTTGGTTATGAGTTGCTCGGCGAGGCCGCGGTCGGCGAGCGAGAGCGCGGCCATCATGATTTGGCTTGGGGTGTAGTGGAAGTAGGCGTCGGTGATGAGTGGGCTGAAGCGGAGGATGTCGCGGGCGCGGCTTTCGGCGGCGCCTAGGCGGGTGAGCTGTGTGTGGCACGTAGAGGTTAGCTGATAGTCCTTCGAGTGAGGGTGGGAAGAGGGGGGTGAGCGTACGTCGATATCGGGAAGCGCTGCAAGTTCCATCAGGGCGCCTCGGAGAGCGCGGAAGGGATGCTTTACGTCGATTGCGAAGCGAAGGCCCTGGCATAGGAGAAACTCGCCAGCTAAAACACTTTCTGGGTCGTCTCTCCCAAACGTCTTGACAAACCTGGACACAGTCTCCGTCAGAAAAGCTTCGCCCCAATTCCAAGTAAGGCAAACAAGAGACGCAGTCAGGTAAGGCACGGCACCAGCAACTCACTCAGAAATGCTCACAAACGACCCCTCCGCCTTACACCCAAAAAACAACGCGACAATCAGCATCTCCTGCGGTGGATAGGTCATCACACTATTCGTCACATAAAACCTCCTAAAAAACGTCGCCGCCGTCGCCTTAATCTCATCTGACATCTCCGCATGGTCCCCCGCGCGCAGCAGCTCCGACGTAAAAAACGTCACCAACTGCGCTTCTTCAGGCGCCGTCAAGAACTCCGGCAACGCAGGCGTCGATGACCTGCCATTGCCATTCCCGTTGCCCCCAAGGCCCCCTTCCGGGTCGGGGGTGTTGGCGTTGGATGTGGATGCGGAATTGGGGTTCGCAGCAGCGGCGGAAGCAGAGGCGGCAGTGGGAGGGAGCGAGGCGAGGCGGTCGGCGATGCGAGTGCGGGCTGCTGTGTTGGTGTTTTCGCGCATGGCGGAGAGTTGGGTGGGGGAGAAGGACCAGAGCTGGAACTGGGAGGTTTGGCGGTAGCGCGCGTCTTCTGTCGCCATTTTTGTTTCTGTTCGGCCACGGCCGTCGCGGGCCGGGAAATCGGTGGGAGTTTTGGGGTCGGAGGTTGAATTCGAGCCCAAAGCTTAACGGGATGGGTTGTTGGGTTGCGCGAATAATGGTGAAAAGGCCCAGGATCCGTAAGTGTACCGTCGATTAGAACAAATTTTGGTCGGTTGTGTCAAGAACGATGTATGTCGCGCGTGACAAGCTGGTTCGTGCAAATGGGAGAGGCATTGGGGTTGCGAATCACAAGCAAAAGGCGGTTTATTGATTTAGAGGTTTGGAGGTTTAGACCCCACCAAAACGTCGCGGTGTGGGGCCTTTTAAGCACTGCTTGGCAACGCCACAGTCAGGGCCATCCTACGGCGCGTCTCCAGTGGAGGGTGATCGTCCTCGCTTTATCCGTACCCCCTTCACCAAAACCATCAATGTCACGCAGCTGGGATGCCTGTGGTGGAAGACTTAACACAAAGAATTTGGAATCGCTTCATTTCTACAATTTACCCAAACCCATCCACCGGCAATATTCATCCATGTGTACCGCGTCATTGCCCGAAACAAATGAAAATAATCTCTAATATCCCCAACAACCGCGCAGAACCAGTCCACGTCGCGCAACGGCCTTCCGACCACCCAAACCCGCGTTCCAACAACGTGCACAAAGAAATAAGACTAAAACAACCGCAGACGCCGTCATGAACCCGACCATCCAATCCTATCCAGACCGATGTACCCATTCCTGAGAACCCAATGGTAAAATGATCATCACGAATTGTTTCATCATCAAACTAACCGCAGCATCAATTAATATCCAAGCTCCCTTCTCGCCGGCACCGGCGGGGCGGGCTTCTTCGACCTGCTCGGTGGCGGCGGCGGAGGCGCCTTCTTGACCGACCCGAACCCGCCCAGTCCAAACCCATTACCGCTACTCGGAGCGTAGTTGGTGTGGCTCGACGTCCGGCTCAAACTGGTCGTCGAGCTGGCCATGCTTCGCCCTGGGCTCCCAGTATCGCTGGCACTGGCGCTGTCATCAGAGAAATCGTTATCCGCAAACACGTTGACACCGCTATCCCGCGGAGGTGGCGCCCGGCTCACGGGCCGAAGTTGGCCCCGGAGAGAGCTGATGTTGGTGCTGGTCATGGGTGTTGGGGTACCGGTGCCGCTGCTGACGCTAGTACCGCGCTCACGCGCAAGTGTGGCCCCGCCTTGGAAGCTGGCGCCCGTGGTGTTGGTTCTGCTAATGGACGGGCGGGTAGGAATGGGGCCGTCAGCCTGGTGGGAGTAGGGAGACATCCGAGTGCTGGAGGTACGGATCGGCATGCGGACAGGGGGTGCTGCGGCATTTGCAACGTCGCTCTCGTGGGTGTTGATACGGGAAAGACCGAGGCTGTGGGCGGTGTTGGAGCGGGTGCGGACGGTCGGGCGGCGTTCCACGGGGCTGTAGCTTCGCGACGACGGCGTACCGGGCCATGTCTGGCGGACGCGGCGGAGCTCTTCCGCGCACCGCTCATGGTACTCGAGCTCGGCGTCCAGGAACTGGGTCAGATCGCGGGCGCTGTCGGCCTCCGCATCTTGAATGTCTTGCATGCGGCGCAACACGTCCTCAGACGACTCTTCATACTTGGCTTTCGCCGAGCGGAGGTCTTCTTCGAGGCGGAAGTCGTCGCGCTTGGACTTTTGGACCTTGGAGATGCTTGCGTCGTAGTTGAGGCGGCGGTTCTCCAGCTTCTTGCGGGCATTTTGGTACTCCTTCATCATGGCCAAGGACCTTTCCAGCGACTCAAGCCATGTGTTGGTCGCCTCGTGGACAAAGGCATCTTGAATCGCCGACACCCGCTCATTGGCACGGCCCAGCGTGATCAAGCAGTTGCCAAATTCGGAATCCGCCTGGAACTCCTCGCCGTGGCCGACCATGGAGCGTCCCAGGTATCCCACCGGGAGGCTCTTCTCCTTGTCTTCTGAAGATTCGACCCGCCGGCCCATCCACTTGACATAGTGGTTCATCGACCTCTGCAGCCGGTCCATGCCTATTCATGTGGCAATGTGAGCGAGGTTTCTTGTCAGGTATAACAGCGTGGGTAGGGCTGGTAGCAGGGCTCGGGCAACCTACCCTCGAAACGGAGTGCCATCTCGGTCTCGAGCATCTTGAAGTCGTCTGTCATGCTCGTCTTGGCCTCTCCGCCCATCTTTTCGCCTGCCCATTGGAAGGCGCGGTCGAACTTTTTGCTAATATTCATGGTTGCTAGGTATCGCCGGCGTCGATGTGGTTGTATTGTGTGTAAACGAAGGGTATCGGCCGAATGAGAACGAAAGAAGTCAGGTATGTCGAACGAGAGAAGGCTTCTTTCTCCTTTTGTTTATCAGTGCGGTGAACGAATGGCCAGCGCACAGATGGTTCTCCAGCCCCTTGATTTTGTTGTTGTGCTTGGCCGTGGCCAGATGATGCCTGCAACGAGTGACGTTTCCCAATGGACCAGGGGTTTGTTGTCCTTTTTTTTGTGCGCCCGCAAGAGGTGTCGGACAAGAATCGTAAAAAACGAGAGATGGGGCGGCCGTCTTGTAGGAGACCAAGCTTAACAATTAAATAACGAATGTGTAGCCGATGGGGAGTGGCAATAAGTGATGGGATCTGGGCGTCTCTACTTGCGAAACTCCCATCCCGTCGTCAAACGGTTGAAAGGGACCCTGGTCAGGGTATCAAGGTTGTTCGCTGCTTGTGGGCCCGGGGCCGTTGGGGGCGGGCGCTCCACGGCCAGTTGATGTTGCAGCGCTAATCGAGTCGCTGCAGGGCCTCGACAATGCGGCTCGCGTGCTTCGTTCCTGGCCGCCAAGAACGGGCAAGCAAGCCATTCGCCATAAATTGTAATTATTCCACGGTAGCGGGAAGGTTGGGAAGGCGCTTTCACGCGGGTTACATGCATCAAATGGCGGAAAAGAATAGGAAACGGCAGGGGCGATCCAGAGCACATGATTCAGTTTGATGGGCGGGAATTATTCTAGTTTCCACTGCCGTCCTTGGGTTTCCCCGATCATTAACGTTAGGACAAACACGAACGTCTCCAATACCCGCTCACACACGTTGAACATTCCACCCCTCCTCGTCGCAACACGACAAAGAACACATGAACTAGTTTTCTCCACTTGACGCGCGTCTAGAATCCGTTGAGGAAGACGTCGTCCACACTCGGTCCACAGATCGTATGGTCGATAACGGCCCATTTTCAGACCTCCTGAGTTCTTAGTTCCTCCTCCCTCGGATATCTTGACTGGGGGTTGCATCGGATTGCGGGTTCCTGGGGCCAATGCAGGGACACCCAACTTCTCGGGGCCGATCATAGCGAACCAATTTTGGGGCGCAGCAGAAGACTTCCCGTTCTTGTGTGACATTCTCCCTGTCGATGCTCGATTCGAAGCTTGGGAATTCCTTGAATTGCATTTCAATGGACTGAGTGAGTCGTGCACAAGGAGTCGGCGAGACGCCGACATTCTAACAATCTACGACCGAGCGTTTGCCGCTTGCTCTCGTCGAGGCGGTGGACCGCAGTCGTCCTCTCCCATCACCAATTGGTTGTTATGCTTTCTAACCGTTTTTTCTTACCGCCCTCGCAGACCGAGCTCTCCAAGGTACTTCTTTACTCCAATACCCCGCCACCTCTGAACGGGAAGTAGTCGGGCCGGGTCATGCTTGTTGATAGCCTGAAGTTTGTCGAAATTGCTGCATTCCGCCCATCATTGTCGATCACCAACCACCCACCCGGCATCTCCAGCTGGGGAAAGGGGGCTGAAAGAAGGACAACTCACACCTCAGACATCCAGCACGAGACAACACGGATGGTCTCTGGCGATGTCCGGGTTCAACACGGGAGGAGCTGCGAAAGCCCGCGAGCCGCCAGATGCTCAGGAGACCCGGCCGCCAATCATGGCCGCCGCTCCAGCGCATCCGAAACGGTCTGACCAGGGCTCCCCCGGGTCGCTGGCGTTCTCGACTCACCCTCCCCACATCTGTTCTTGGCCCCAATTCCTGCGGCACCATTACTTGCGCTTTGGTTCTGAGCCAGTCGTCCAATGCCCCAAGGCGTTTCAGCATCGACGTCGAAGCATCCACTCGTTGGATCGACGATCGGAAGCAGAGCCAGGAGGCCATTGCCAGGGCCCCTCGTTAACCCCGAGCGAATCGCGGATCTAATTCAAGATTTGCGAAACTGGATTGGTGATGGTTTTGGCGCTCAAGTGTGCTTTATGTCTGTGTTCATGAGTGCCTATGATGAAAAGGAATTTGGGCGAAGATGCCACAGCTAGTCGTGAGAATATCCCTTCTTTTTGCACTCAAATGTGGGCGGCAAGACACTGTGAGAGACGCTCGGCATTCAACCCCATATTCCGACGACAATTGTCTTTGGACACTCTCACACTGTTTTTCGCATCAAACGACCCCTCCCATTTCATATCGCGCGGATCCCGCGTGCTACCCAGTCTCCACGGTGGGTTTAAAACAACGGATCATCCGGGAGTTGACAAATTGTTCTGATCTGAGCCCCATCCGTCATGATGTACACTTCATTCGTCAAGCAGGATTCTAGAACATGGCGAAGTTTCAAGGCGGTTCGTATCACAAGAAAACAGCACGAGGTTCCATACACATAGAACCTCATTAAAATCGCCCTGAACAAGGGATGTCGGTTCACCATTCACCACTTTGGTATTGGCCGTAATACCCTGTATATCAAGTAACCAATACAACACCAACCCAGTTTCCCATACGCCAAAAGAAAAGCCTGGACGTCGCTTATTTTTCCTCCACCGTAGGTATTGCCCACCTTCTTCTGTCCCCATTGATCCCGCGGAACAAATTATACCGTCCCGCTGATACTCAACTCCCGAATCTCCTGCAACACCTGCTCGACTCTCGTATCCAACTGGCCCTGTGCGTATTGCTCGCGCGTGTCGGCATCGAGGTATTGTTGTACCTGCGCCATGCGACTGTACGCCTCGGCACAGAAACGCAGCTGGATTTTGACAAGTGCCTCAAAGGATGGGTCGAGGTATGGCACGCGCAGGTCGATGAGCTGGGGCAGTTCGGTGGAGAGCTGCTCGTTGAGCTGCTCGTAGGCAGCTTTCGCCATGTCCATCTCCTTCTCGGCCCGTGGCAGCTTCGTCACGTCCTTGTCTGGCTTCTCGACGAGTTTCTTCACTTTCGCTCGGAGCGCGTCGTAGTCCAGGAGTTTGTGCCCGCGCTTTTTGATGCCTAGGTAGCAAGGGCGGCATGTGTTAGTGATGAGCGTGGCTGATCCTGCCTCTGGGTCAAAACGTACATTCGTTTACGTCGGGAAAGTAGGCGCAGAAACGGGAGATGGGTTCCAGCACTGTTGTCCGGTATGGCCCGTCAAGTGCTTTGATCGTCTCAGCATCGAGGTCCTCCACTGCCTGCTTGTAACTCCTGCTCACGCCGTCCTTAGCGCCCGAGTCTCCGTAAAATGCATCGATCGTCTCGGCAATTCGCATTTGTGATGCCGTCATCGCTTTAATCTTCTGTCAGTCTGACCCTCCTCGCATCCCGTTTTGTTGTTGTTGGCCAAAGGGGCATACCTCGTAACGAGTCCAAGTATCCTTTTGCCTCCTTTTGTAACCGCAACGACGCGGCCTCCATTGTGCGGAATCGCCTATCAAAAGTTTCAGCCCGTTGTTCCCAATCCCTCTGTATCACGCAGTCGTTGTAGCCCTACCTCTCCTCGACTTCATAATCGCGGTCGTTCGTTTTCTCGACATGGCCTGTTCCACTCCTCGTCAGCAAGGCATCCCCCTGATTCAGGGTATCGTAAGGGTAGCAGAAGAGTTTCACGAACCAGTTTTCATCATAACCTGCGTCGTCGCACGGTTGACATTCTTCTTGAAGCCTGGTGTACAAGTCAGCCGTGGAGCCCGGCATGTGAAGCTATCGCGGGGCTACGCACCCGCCCAAGACATGATTGCGGAATCGCGGCCTGGCGCTGTCGAGCGGCTAGAATAGTGATATCGAACTCCACGAATTGGGAGGTGTAGAGACGGGACGCGCGGAATAATTTGTTGTGAATAATGTGGTTGGCGTTGAAAGTGTAATCAGGGGAAAATGATCGCGAGAAGCATGGATCCTTGTGGCGCCTGGCCGGGTGACCTGCTTGGGAGGAACCAGAAATCAGTGACGAAGTTGCTTGTGGCGGTGCTGTTGAATTCTAGGTGCCGAGCCCCGCGGTTCAGGCCTGGGCACCAACGACGTCAGTGAACACAAGCCACGAAAGTGGGTGTTAAAGTGGGGCCCCATGAACCCTGCTTGATCACCTCGCTGTGGCCAAAAAAAGCGGCAGACTAAAACAGTAACATCTGATCAAATCTTAACAGATCTTAGTTACTCTTATTCATCTTTTTTCACTTGTTGGGTTTATTTTCTTTTCGTCTCCCTCCACCCTCCTGACCCATTTTTGTTGGTCTTGTTTTCATTTTGTAAAAAAGTATCTTATGCAAGAACTTGGCCTGCCGCATTTTTTGGCCACAGCGAGATCACCAATCTCGAAATTGTTGCAACTAATTATTTTAACGTCGTCTTGTTTTTTTTTTTTAAAAAAAAAAAACCAAAAAAAAAACCACTTCAACATAACCACAGTTAGGCCGGTCTGGAAGGAGCCGATGATTATCGGTAGGTGGGTGTCGGATTCTCTTCATAAGAACCGTGTCGTTCATTAATCTAGACTTTTTAGTGTTGTTCAGAACAAATTTCATTCGCCATCCCACCCAGACTACAGCTTCTAAACCTTGGGATGCCTGTAATTAACGGTTAATTGCCAGTTTGAGTGGCCGGGAACTGATGCCTGAACGGAGTGGGATAAGGTGATCCACAGGTGCCCAATTGTGCCCCAAATGGCTCAAAATCAATCATATTCCTGATAGCAGGTGAATATTTTCATAGAGTAGAGAAGTCGGTCCTATCCTCGAGGCGGGCTTCTGGGTCGAGGGTGAACCAGACCCCATGCCCCTAAAGATTGCCTCGATTTAAGCTATGTAGATAATTAGATCCCGAACGCTGGCCTGGAGGGCTCCTTCATCTTAAACCTACTGGAGCAAAGATGCTGTATTCTTCGGGAACAACGCCCAACTCCTGAGTACTAACATCTTCGATCCGCAACCTTGCTGCGTTACCGCGTTGAACATAAGGTACTTTTCGTACAGTGCCAGGTTTTCGTTGCGCTTGCATGCCTTTGCCAGGGAGAACGCCGTGCGGCACAGAGATCCAGGGTGGCACTCGCGGCGAGACAAGATGTCAAGTGCTTGCTCGTAGAAAGGACTACTTGAGGTATAGTAGTTAGTAGGACGAGCAAGGAACGAAGTTGAATTGGTGATTCTGACATGGACTCTCTGTAGTCTCCTTCCGTGGCAGCCGCATCGCCGATCTTGTGCTGAGTAAAGGTTGTGAACTGATGCAATGGTATAGGTGTCTTTCGGCGCCCAAGACACTCCTGTAACGCGTCCAGCGCCGCAGGCTTATTCTTCACGCGGATGTAGATGTTGCCGAGGTCGAAATAGCAGCTAAGATTGGTCAGGAGATCCTCACACGACCTGGAGCATGAAGGCTCTGCGAGACTTACGTAGGTACCTGCTCGCTGAACTCGCCTCGCTTCCGCCTTGCGGCATTCAGGGCCTCGCGACAGGCGGGCAATGCCTCTTGGAATCTCCCCAGCAGGAAGAGACAGAGGCCGGTGTTTCGCAGGTAAACATCTTCGTTGGCTTTCATGTCTAACCTCTGTCTCAACCGAACAAAAATCTCGAATTCCTCCACGCGCCCGGAAGCCATCAGCGACACGGCTAGGTTCCCTTGTCCAGCGGCAATCCACATTTCGTCGTCGGGGTTCGAGATACATCTGTTGCTAAGCCGAATGTCGGGCACCTTCTCCGACATGGCCACCCCGGAACCGTGGGCAGGCTGCTCTCGCTCTATTGTTGCCAACACGTTGTAGACGTGGCTCGTTATATCGCGTACAAACCAGCCGCTATACCCCACGCGCGATCCTTGGCTGAGCGCGACGTCACAAATATTCATAGACTGGCAAGCCATCTTTTGCGCAGTACTGTATTGGCCTAGCTGCAAAACGTACCTGATGCCGAAGTCGTCAGCGTCTTCAGAACAACCGTTTAATTACCGAAATTTCAGGTTACGTAGTTTCGTCATATTAGATGATAGGGGCGTCGGAAATGCTCACCAAGCACAAAAAGCTGCAACCTCACAAAGTAGGATCGGATGCCCAATGTCATCTTTGAACAGAAAATAAGAGTGCAAGAGTGCCGAAACTTGGCTAGCAGGCTTTTCGCAGGAAGTCCACTTGTTATGGAGGGGCCTGCCGTCTTCTTGAGTCGAGGAGCAGGCATTGAGGACGAAGACAATACGGTGGAATGTCTTAAACCTTACGATTCTACTCATGATTTAAGGACAGCGTGGCGGACGAGGCGATGACAGCTGATTTGCTTGGTCGTGCCGTTGCGTTTTAGCAACGCTCTGCCTCAAAGATTCATAATGGCTACGTTTAAGCTAGATAAGTGTTAATTGTACTAGTAGCAGTGACGAGATCCTCCACCATTGTGGAAGTGAAGACCGCGCTAATTTTTCATTTATGAGGACCTGGATGAAGGGGCTGTCTATGAGATCGCTGAGATCCACGACCTCAGTCGGGAGATCAGGTCCTTCAAACAACCCCGAGAAAACATCAGCACGCGCGTCTGGAACGATGAAAGGAATTAGCTGATTACATGGCTTCTGGTGTTGTGCCTTAGAAAAGGCTTAATGGGACCCCGTCCTTGTCGAGGAACGCCACAAAGTTGATCAAGCGGCGCGATGTACTGTCAAGGTTGGCATCCGCATTTGCGCTGTGGGGGGAAAGATGACGCGCCCAAATTCGACTGATAGATTCTTCGAAATGGGCTGGAGTCCACCGTGCAAGATTGGGGTCGTAGAGGAAGCTTGTTTCAACGCAAGGATCGTCTCGCCGGAACGAGGCGAGAGACTTGCCCAAACCTCGCACATAGTTGCCTACCAGATCCAAGGCTAGCGGGAGGTGACCTACGGCATCTGCAATCAGATGTGATGCCTTTATATTGTCCGCAATTGACCTGTCAGCGGCGGCAACCTTCGGCAGGAGTTCGGTTCCACTCGCCCGGGCCCCTGAGAAAGGCACCATCACGACAGTGTCTTGCACGCTAGTGAACCGGTGAGCCACGTTTTGGCTGATTGTCGTCAGGATTATGGAACCGCTCGACGCTGGAGGCCAGTAATCCTGGAGAAGCATCGGGTCCTCGACGTTGTCACAGATCATTAGCCACTTCGTTCGGTGCCGGTACTCCCCCGTGGACCCTAGACACACTCCTGTTAGTCTAGGTTCACTTTCGGTTCCTCGGTGAGTGAATTAGAAAGAAGGCATGCCTTTATTACTCGAGTTGAAGGTCTGCCGCTTCACTAGCTCCCGGAGTTGGGCAGGGCGCTGGATTGAGTCATCCGCGCGGCACATCCCGCGGGCAATGGCTGCAAATGATTGTTGCAGTTTCAGAGAACCCTCCGCAACGACCCAAAGGATAATGTCGTAGTGGCCGATGTTGTAGGCGTACTCCAAAGCCAAATTGGTCTTCCCAACTCCTCGCATTCCATAGACCCAAGCGGTCCGAAGATTTTCCAGTCCAACCGTAGGGAGAAGGCATTTCTTGAGTTGGCCGAGTTCTGTCTCCCTGCCATGACAAAAGTGCCCGTGTCTTAAGGGGAGATTATGGAAGGAGTTAGTAGTAGTTAGTTAGTAACATTGTTGTAGGCAGCTGCAAAAGCTGTCGTGGCCTCAGGTGCTGTAAATCACCCCAACTCCACTGTTGAGGATGTCGTATCGTCTATCCCAGCGCTCATCCGAGGCAAGGACGGCTTCAGGGTTAACCCAAGGGCTCAGATCCTTCAGATTTGGGATGTGAGTCTTGATCCTTTCCGTGAAAGGGCCGCAGGTCGAGATGAAGACGTTCCCCATAATTAGAGGCATAGCTTCGGTGTTTTACCAGATGCTTCGCTGTTAGTAGGCACCTTAGTACTCATTCTTGAGATCTTGTGGTACAGAGCCGATGTCATCGTGACAACAGCCGAGGAGCTCAGCTTGATACGTGATGAGAGCAATCCTCGGTTGGTTGTACGAATCGCCAGTGAGTCGAGCTGTATAACGCTGGAAACGTGGCCCGTGATGCTGCAATTCCTTAAGGGCCGTTACAATAACTTGTATTCCCCGGTAGCTTCGGTAAGTGATGTGCCATGGCGGAAGGAATGCGTCGGCGAATCGGAGTGAAAGGCAATAACCACGCTGGCGAACTAAGTGCCTACCTATCTAAGGTAGGTAGGTAGGTAGGTAGGTAGGTAGGTAGGTAGGTACCAGAATGAGCGAGCCCCACCGGACTACCAGCGACTCGGGTGCTGCGTGTAGAAATATTTTGACGCAGTCCTTGCATGATTGAAGCCACGCCAGCACGCGTTGAACACGGTGTAGTTACTGTAGTGTGTTCACTGTGTTGACCAACCGGAATTCCCAGGACGTGGCACGCAGTTTGCCCATTTGACGCAGCAAACCATCCACTCACAGCAGCGTGTCAGCACCTTATCATCGGAAGGTGCGGTAAACGAGCATGGCTTCTTTTGTAAGATTCCTAAATTGACTGACAACACTGAGAAAATGGCGTGCTAATGAGGGTCGTATGGTCTTAGAGCCCTTTCGAACGCATCCAGAGCCAATGGCCCGCCACCGAGGAAATCCGGGACAAGTGCGGCGTCGGGTCGATCAGCATTGGGGTTCTCCATCAAGACGAGGTGCTCTTCACGGGTAGCACGGGCTCTCGAGATGTTGACCAGGAGGAACCGGATTCGCATACACTCTACACGCTCTGTTCCATCTGCAAGTCATTCGTTGCCGCGGCGGTTGGTATCTTGGTCGACCAAGGGAAGCGCAAGTGGACTGATGCCGTTGGACCTTATCTCGCCGAGTTCAAAGCAAAGGGCGACTCCAGGGTGGCGACCGAGGCGACCTTTAACGACTTCCTGCGACACTCTGGCGGCCTGACCAATCCAATCGTCACCATCCTCGGCCCTGAGGGTAGGGTTCTCTTGCCGGAGAGAGATTTCATCAGCCTGCTCAACGATACGCCGACTGGGGACCAAACATTTGGGTCTTAGTTCAATGCTGCCTGGGAATACAGCAGCGTTTCGTACGGTCCCCTGGCACTCGTCATCGAGCGCCTCAGCGGCAGGCGATATGCTGACTTCGTATCCGAGGAGATTCTGAAGCCGCTCGGGATGAACGACACTGCCGTGTACAAGTCACAGCTCGCCTCCAACAGCAACCTAGCACGCTCCTACGTTCGCCTCTCTGACGGGTCATGGTGCAAGCAGCCGGAGCACGAATGGACGGATGAGCTTAACACACCCATCCTAGCCATGTTTGGCATTCGAAGCTCGGTCAACGACCTGCTCATCTGGTGTGCAGCTACGATGGATGCGTACCGAGGCGACCCCTCCAATCAGCTGGCCGCTCTCTCGGGGGTCATCAATCCGTTGAAGGAAGTCGATTTTATTCTGGACGGTTACTACTGGCCCCGACCGAGCCAGGACGACATACAAAATCCATGTAACTACCACTTGTCGTGGCCGAAGTGCATCATGCCTTCATCCATGATTCACTGGGGATCTTGGAACAAATCTCTCCCCTTCGAAGGTGACCTGCCACAGGAACAAATCAACAGTCACATACTGGGAAGAGATTCGCCGCAGCGGACTCTGTGCAAGATTACTGGGACGGGATTCTGCGGCGTCGGGTCTATCAACGTCTTTCCCGATACGATGAGCGCCATCGTGGTCCTGAGCAGTGGGTTGAACCTTGGGGATCCCAGCGACTTCACCGCGGCGTTGATAATGCAGGAGCTTTTCGACCTGAAGGGCCGCGTCGAAATTATGCCTCTAGTCCGCCGCGAAGTCGAGGCTTGCCGTGCTGATTGGGAGCGCATCATGGTGGACTGGAGGGAGCACCGCAATGTTTCGCATCTGGAGCACCCTCTGGAAGACTACATCGGCAAGAACGAAGGATTTGGGATTGTCCTCGACGTACGGCCCCGGCAGGGCGGGGGCTGGGAAGTCGCTTTTAATGGCAGGGAGGAGATCACGCAAGCCTTGGAACATTACAACGAGAATATGTACAGTTACCAGCCCACGAATCGGGATGACTGGCTCAGGGGTGGTTGGCTGGACTGAGATTATTACATGGTGGGCGTCTTGCACTTTCACCGGGAGGAGGTGAACAGCCGAGTTACTAGTGTCGCCTGGACATGGGAAGGTGGGAGTGACCCCGCCATTTTCAAGAAGAGGGAAGTTTAGCACGCCTCTGCTGCTTGAGTCGGGTTCGTCGCGGGGTTCCAGCTGCAGGGCTCCTCACCTTACGGCCCCTTCGACACGTTACTATAGCATGGTAGATGTTGATCATTTCTTCCATCTCGGCATCCCGCAATCGCGGTGTTGGCACACACGATATCTCGTTGCCGATCCTCCTACTGTTCGTGCGAAACGAAAGTCTACCCAAGGGTTATATAGGTGACCCTGTTCCCTCTTGGTAATATGCCAGTCGTGCCTATGTCTCTTGACACCGCCCTCTTGCCCCCTCTTTCACGAATTAGAAAACTTTTTATTAAACCATTGGGACGGTCAACAAACTCATTTGCGCACGATATTGCAATAGGTAAGGAAGTCCAACATCGGGCAACCCGTAAGTATCCCTAGTATACTTCCTGCGAACCAGTTGTAGCAAGTTTCACCGGACCCGGGTCCGATACCTGTTAGTCCACGCTGTGGGATTCTGAGGGGGAAAGAGCAGAAAATGAGTACTCCGATGAGTTTGACGGTGGTAGGAGGTAAGGGCAGTAACTCGAAGTCAGGAGGATCTTGTACGCGACTGATATGCGCACTCATTTGCAACTTGATAAAACAAGTCTTTGTTATCCATACGCATCCTCGGTGTAAGGCTTATCTGTAGGATGGCCACCCTGACGTTGAGGACCAAACTGAGACAAAATGACGACAAACAGTGCAACGGAAAGCAAATGGTTTTATCAGCTGGCGGCAGTTCGGATTCGGGGCACAACACGACCAGTCCTACCAGTAACGGAAACCAACGTCGCATTCCGGGAACAAAAAAGCGTGAACTCGAAGCGGTGTAAAAGTCGCCTGAATTTGCAGTGTTTCCACGGAGAATTGCCTGCGAGAACGGAACAATAAACCATCCACAAAGCTCAAAGGAACGGTGTTCACAACATTTATCTTTATACACCCAATCTCCTTTATTCACCATATTTTCTCGGTTTCGTTTCCTTCCCCCTTCTGCGTGAATAGCGTCATTCTTTCCTTTTCTGGTTAGGTATGTTTTGTTCATTGGCCAGAGGGTGCATAGAACTCTGGCGCAACACAGCTGCGGGTTGATCTTTTGTGCCCAATCTTTGCCACCCAGCCTGAAGCCCCCAATTTTCACCGACGGCATGAGTGGCAGTGTTCAGCTTCAACCGGGAGGCCTGCCAGAATATCTAGACACTTAATGCAAGGCACCTCCCTAAGATGGCTTGAAGGCCCTTTGTATCACTGAACCACCTCACTCGCGTTCAGTCACTTCAGTCTTTACTAATGCCCGACCCTCTGATTTCTCCTGACTACCCTTCATTATGGCCGATCCACTCTCCATTGCCGCTTCAGTAGCCGGCCTACTTGCGATTTCCAGCAAGGTCATCTTCGGCCTCAATACATTTGCCTCCGCCATATCGCATACCCCTAAGTCCCTGCAACGAGTGGTCGCCGAAGTCGTTGCTGTGAACCGCATTCTCGGAGAAGTCCAGAGGTTGATTGCCTGGCAATCTGATGCCGAACGACCCAATAACCCAAGTCTGGACCTGGTTCAGCTTGATCAGCTCGTGACGACCTTAACTGGCTGTGTTTTGGTGTTTTCGGAGTTGGAAAAGCACATGGATGACCTCGTAGGGATGGAGTCTGGCGTCTCAGGGTCCAAACCGAGAATCGTCTGGGAACGGATGTTGTGGACGAGGAAAGAAGACGATATTGAGAAGTTGATGGACGACTTGCATCGACACAAAACAAGCTTAAGCCTGATGCTGAATATCATCCAGTGGTAGGTTACTTTTCTGAACGGTGATTTTATACCATAGCGATGAAGTATTACTAACGGTCGTAGCACTAACCAGGTGGAAGCCGTGGATTGCATGAAGCGACTTTGTTCTCTCGTGGTGGATATTGTCGAGTCAAACCGCATCATATCTACACAACTCCGAGCGATCATGGCGCAACAAGGTATTGCAGGCCCACCTGATGACGCTGTCTCGGTCAGGACAAGGGGGCCTGCTATCTCTAGTCGTTCGGTCCCGGTGGCCACTCAGCGACCATTCGAGAGACTCCTTCGCAAGTCAAAGGTATACAAGTATGACCGGCTATGGAACATGTCCACGAGTTCCTTAGGCAGCTTTTCAACTACGTCCACCAGACGAACAATGTCCACTACACCGACAAGCATCTCGACAGCGAGCCTCAGCGAGGTGTCGAACATATCGGGCATTGAGCTTCCACTCCGGCCGGAAATCCTTTGGAACCCTGAACACTATATAGAAGGCAGTAATACAGCCTTTGCTGCAGGTAAGACGGAAACAGTCAAAATCGTGGCGACTAGATTGGATATTAACTATAATCTAGTTTCGGCCGATAACTCCCCTGGCTTTTTCGCGGCTTTGGACCAACAGAAGAGCGACGGCAGCCTCCGAGCTTCTCCAATGCGAGCTCAACAGCTTAATCCGATACCGGCTGTATTCGTTAACACTTTCTTGAATCGGGCGTTTTACGGCAATTTTGGAAGCATCGGACCTGTGTTCGTGAAGGCTTACATCAAAATGATGCCAGAACGCCAACTCGTGTTATCCGGTCGGCTGCCGCTCAAAGTCTTGGTTAACGAGTTCAAGCGCGGCAATCATGAACGCGTGAAGTCAATGTGCCGGGCTTGGACTGGCCTAGGAGAGTGGTTCCTTGAAACATCAGTGGACAAAAAGTTCTTGCAGGCTGCGATTGACCTAGTCATCGGCGATTTCATTGACCTCCTTGATCGAGGTGAGATCCAGGAGGCGAATTATTACTTCCTTGCCTTAGCCGAGGGACTCTTGCGCGTGATGGAGATGGATAACAAGCTGGCAGCCAGAATAGCAGTGGACGCATTAGTTCAAGGATGTGAAAACGCAGTAACCCATCCTCTTGTTGCGCAATTCGCTGCGATGGTGGAGTATGTTCTTCAGAAGATCAACCTCTCAACAACTGTGTGGGGGTGGATAGAATCTCGCACAACTGCCATTACCGCCCTCCTCTCAGTGCAACACGCGGCTAGACTGGGAAAGAATAATGTCCTCGACTTTCTGGTGGAGGCCCTCTCAGGTGTCCAAAGGCGGCTTTCCTTAAGCACACACCCACAAGCCTGGCTCACCATGGTTCTCGTTTGGGAGGGGGATTCATGGCTACTCGAGGTGTCGATAGCAACAGCAGCAGTACTTCTACAGCACGAGCGAGGGGGTGAAAAGGTATTCGCAGGGCTAGTTGTCGATGGTCTAGAGTGGATCTTGAAGGTGGCCAGCTCAGCAAACCGACTCAGCGAGGTGCTCACGCTGATCGACAAGTTTACTGGTGGGTTGAGCGAGGAGGCTTCCTCAGGTCCCGTCGTATCAAATGGGGGTGAAGAAGGCACTGTGATGGGGACTGCGTTCGGGGAGGGTATACAAGATACAAGCCATGCTGCTGGGGTTGGAAGTTCGGAGGTGCAAAGGGCTTTGGAAAAGGTACTTGCCGCTCTGTCCAGGATGCCCGTGGATTATGAGAAACTTATAGACAGAGCTTAATCATTAAGGATATTCTGAATACACAATGATTTTGGTGACAGTAGTCGAGAACTGTATAGGTTTCCTAGAGTCCACACTGGCCTCAACTGTGTTCAGTCTCCTGGGATGAAACAAAGAATTTCTGTCCTTCTTCAACTTTCGTCATTCCCAATTCCGGTCCTAGTCTTACCTGAGATTCGATATCCCATAAGAGTACTGCAGCTCACTACTGCATTCGGGTAATTACCTAGGTAGGTACCTACCAATCATCGAATCATCAAGGCATATAGGCTGGCTGGACGTTTCGGGCATGCCCCATCGGTGCGCTAATCCGGAAGCATTATTTACTCGACCAACTAAACATCCCCAGTTACTTTTCCCCTGCTTGGGCGGTAAAGAGAAGTTAAAAGTTGCCGAAGATGAGACTGGTTGTCCGGCCCCAGAACCGGGTGTTGATAGAGGTAGCCAGAAATCAGTGGTGCAGTTGCTTTGTGGCGCATGCCCAGCTTAGTCACAGAAGTGGGTATTAAAGCGGGTCCTATGCACCCCTGTCGCCGGGCTTGGTCATCCATCTCAAGACTTTTCCCGCATTGTCTTGAGGAAAAAGAGACTTCAAGAGAACCGTCCAGTGAGGACGGATTATAAGGAGCCGGTGACTCACGGTAGGAGGGTGTCGGATTGTATTTATAAGAATCCTGACTTTACTTCTTTTAGACTTCTCTTGTTTCCGAACAAACCCATTCATTAATCCCTTCATTTCACACTAGACAATTTAAAATTCAGCACCTTGCGCCAGGGTTCACCTCACTACCTAGGTAGCCGATAGAGACGCCAGCCGTATATTATCACGTCGCAACGCCAACAAGACACTCCATTCTACGTCACCCGGATAACCGCATCGCGTTAGGGAAAATTAGGCAAAGAAAGTACATGTCTGTCGAATCCCATCAACCACAAATCAACAAGTCCAAGCGGGGAAAGAAAGGAAAGAAGCGATCTTCCACAGCGGACACTACCCATGCAGTCGGAACTCCCACCCCATCCCTCAGTCTAGACACCCAACTATCCGCCGCCATCATGCCGTTACCAAAACAAGTCCTCGTTGTCAGCATCGGCAACCCAGGGGCACTCCAGCAAACTTACCACTCCGCCGGGCACATAGTGGTCAACCGCATCCAGCATCTCCTGGGCCACTCCCAGCCCAGATTCGATTTCCAGCGCCTTGGCCACGCACGCACGTGCGCTTCCCTAGGTTCCCGCTACCTCCTAATGCAGAGCCCTGTGGCCATGAATATATCTGGAGAATGGGCGGCCAAGGCCTACAAGGAGCAGTTGCAGCAGCGGGGCCTGCAGCCGAGGGATCTCGGGTTTGTGGTAGTGCACGACGATTTGGAGGAGGCGCTGGGCGTGGTCAGGGTCCGGCCGTGGGATAAGAGTGCGCGCGGGCATAACGGGTTGAAGAGCTTGCAGCAGAAGATGATGAAGCCGGTGAATGCGCCGTGGGCGAGGGTGTCGATTGGAATTGGGAGGCCGGAGTCGAGGACGGACCTGCAAGTCAGGAGAATGGGTGTGGTGGATTTCGTGCTGAGCAAGGTGCCGCCAGACGAGAAGCGAATGTTGGAGGGGGGTGTCAGTGAGGCGGCTTTGGACCACATTCGCGCTCTTGACCAGCGGTGGACTATCACCCCGTGATGGGCTGGTCAATCACTCAATGTGGATTCTATTTTCGGGCCGGAGGTATGGAGCCCTAGAGCCATATGGGGAGAGCGGGCACGGCGTAAACAATCGCATCTCAGTGTTCGATACCTTCCTCCAGAGACGCGTCGATACACTACATCACAGCCACCGAGTCCCGCTATATCTGCGCCGCCCCTACCTGCCAACCTGCCAACCCATGCGTTATCCCGGGAATATCCAACCCATTCCTAACACCCGCCTCACAGCTTCGACCTTGACCCCAGCTTCCTCACAGCCCCAATCGGCCCGGCCCCGCTCCCAACGTTGACCAAACCACTAGCATTCTTTTGGCCTTTCCCGGGAGGACTGGGATTTGACCCGGGACTGGGACCTAAGCCCGGGTCAGGCACGTCGCTGTCGCGGAAATTGATCTCGATATCGTAACCGCCGCTGCTGTCGTCCTTGTCATGTGTCTCGGCCTTGAGGTCGATGGGATCACCGAGCTGTGAGGGATTGGCGGGTTTGTTGCCGTGGGCCTTTTCCGCGGCTAGTTGGCGGAGTGGTTTGTGGGGCATGGTTTTTTAAGAGTGTTGGGTAACTTGGATTGGGATGGTTCAAAAACGGTATGGATAGTGTAAAAAGTTGTATAACAAAACGTTTCAAGGCAATGTGAGAGTTGGATTGGAAGTTGGAGAATAGTGAAGGTGTATTGATTCGACGTGTCGCAAATATGTGCAGCGGGGTTTGACTCGTCTCGTCTCGGGAAGTGTTGATGTCAACAGTGACGTCTTTCAAAAAATGTGGCAAAGGCTAGAACAGCAAGCTATCATTCACTTCACACCTATCGGGGCCCAATCGTGATTTGTGAGCGTCTGGCATGATTTACCAAGTTCTTGTCCAACCGAACCTAAGGAGTTTGGTACAGGAATCAAGAAGGGTTAATTGTATACTACAGGTGTCTTCGGTTGTCCATCCCTATTAGAGTCTTTCTCGCTATGCTACTCTCTATTATCGGACTAGTACTATCCAACGCTGTAGAGTGTAAAGAAGGAACGACTAATGAATTGGTTTTAGATCACATTTCTGTTGAAGAACGAGGTATGATTGCCAGGGTTCGTTTTAGCCACGGAAGCAATTTACAACGTTCCATTCGGCACATAATACCGACGGGAGAACGACCTCCCTCCTTGTATGTGCTTAACTCTGCCTAAAAGCTCTGCATGCCCAGCCATACTTAAAGCCCAACAAAAGTAGCGACTCACGATTCAAGATGATCGCACATACATATTGGGCTGGGACCCTGAAGTCAGGTTGGGTTGACCGACCTCCCTTTCCCCTAGCTACCTCATACACAGCTTCCATAAACGTCCGTCATGATATCCAGCACTCTCCTCCTCGAAGGCCTCCTCCCCTTCCTCCTGCTCTTCTCAACCCCAATCCTTGCCGCCAGATCCGATGATGACACCCCCTTCATCCGCAGCATCTTTCTTTTCAAAGACGTCCTGAAGTCCAACACCACCGCCCTCCAAACTTCCGGCTTCAACACCCTCATCATCTTCGGCGTGGGCGTGCTCGCCAATGGCGATATCATGTACTACTCCAACACCCCTGGCAGCAGCGACACTTTGATCGCCTCCAACGGGACCTACGTCGGGGGCGACACCCTCGCGGCGAAGGTCCGTTCGTTTAAGGAAGCCGAGGAAACAACACATGGTGATGATGATGTGGCGGCCACGGGGGATGTCGACCGGGTGGAAATCTCAATGAACGCGCAGAATATCCGGGAATTGATGTCGACGACGACGGCCGAATCGATCTTGTACCAGAACTTTGTAGCCCTGAAAGAGGCCTGGGCGCTCGACGCAGTTAATAATGACGACGAGAGCATCTATGATACGGCGAGCACAGTTGCGTTTGCGAAGATGCTTGGTACAGCTGGGTATCGGTACACTATTGCGCCGTACACGAGAACCTCCTTTTGGGCCGGCGTAGTATCGGGAGCGAACTCCGATGATAGTGGCGGAGAAGAAGGAAAGGTGCTGGATCGGGTGTACCTCCAGTTGTATGATGGCGGAGCGGGGAATCGGCCGGGAGATTGGCAGACAGCGCTGGGGATGAAGGTTGTGCCGATTTTGTGGGTGGTGAATGATTCGAAGCCGCAGTTTGGGCAGACGCCGGCCCAGGCTGGGGAGAGGTTTGCGCAGTGGAAAGAGCAGGATGGGGTAGCGGGGGGTGGGTGGGTATTGGAATGATTTTGATATTGAGAAGATGGGGTCGTCTTACATGGAGTATGGGGCGGCTTTGCGCTTTTAAACAGGGACCCCCTTCGAACAAGAAGGGATCCTAGTGACTGTACCTACTCATTGAATACAATTTGGATCGGCTTACTTCTTAGTAAAATAATCCTTTGGTCATATCCGACTCATATATTGAACCGTTTCGGCTATTGAAAGGCCATGAACTTACCTGTTCTATTCTGGTTTCAATGCTTCGTTTCAACGCCGTTCTCGTAAAAGCATTTTACCATAGAAAGTCCTTATCCTAGGTACCCATCACCCTCGACCCTGGTAACACAGTTCCCATCCCTGCGAGGGTGTACATGTACATGTCCAAATGGACCCATACACGACCGTGTGCCCGAACTATCTAAGACGGTCCGTGAGGAAGTTGTTACCGTGGCCTGATTATACCTCGGCGGCAGTGGCACGATCTGAACTCCTCAAGGTGAGCAACACACATGATCAAAGAATCCAGCATCGGAATAACATCAAACTTGGCCTTGGCATTCTTAGCATTGGCTCATTGTTTGTGAGTTGGCAAGAGGTTAATTACAGGTCGCATCTTCAAAGAGGGGCTAAACCCACCTCATTAGGTACTTAGGTACCTACTTACTCATCATCCTCTTTGCTTTCCGTCGCCGTTCGTCCTCAGGTAATTATGGTTATGTTCTGCATCAATTATTGCACTACAATCATCTCAGCGCCTAGGTATCTCTCGAGGCTGGAGGCACCTTCTCAATATCGCATGACACACTAGGACACTCGTCCACGTAATTTCTCGTTCCCAGTTCTTTACTGCTCAATGAGAGCGCCGAGTCCACAACTTAATTATTCTACACATTCGAATTTCCCGGGCCACAATTGAACGAGCCATCTTTCAAAGCAAAACTCACGATGTCCTCCCAACTGGAAAATCTGCCATCGGAGGTCCTCATCCTTGTGATCAAAAATGTTCGCTCAAAGTCCCTTTTATTTGCAGTTATACGCCCTGTGAATCAACGGGAGAAATACTCAAGCTTTAACAATTGCGCAAAGTGGACCGGAAGGCTGTCTCCCTTGTGTGCAGGAAACTGCACACACACGTCATATCGGCAATTTGGGAATCATTCACCGTTGAGCCGTTGGCGGAACACCTGCTGCATTGCACGACTACCGTAGACTTGCCGACAGCACCCCTTCAGCTTTCTCGCAGCTGCACTTTCGTTCCAACGTTGATTTTGCCACCGAGGACCGATGCCCTCATCGCATGATAGCATGGGAAACTGATGATGAGAGCGATTTCGAAAACGAAATATCGGTAGATTCCTACGACATGTTTGGCGGGACCATGCGCGATCTGCCGGAGTTTTGTTTCCTCGCCCCGAAGGCGATGATGGTGCTTAGGGAACTTCCAGATGGCCAGCTACACACCTTCAGGTGGTTACCTTCCTTGACATCTTAAGTTTCATATCGGGATCCACTGACAGTAAACTGTAGCTGGGACTTAGGCACTTGTGTGCCTTCGGAAATCTTGGGGCCGGATGGATGGGTCACGCACCACCATCCATCCCTACGATCCTTAAGCCTCACAACTGACCCTTACTGCGAGGAAACTGGATCCGAAATAGATTTGTCGTCGCTGCGGAAGCTTCAAAATCTCACTTGGAGAGGTCCCCGGGCCAAGGACATTCCTGCTTTGTCTGACGCCATCCGGGGAAATTTGCCTCAGCTGCAGAACGTCGGGTTGGATCTCGTGGATTGGCCAGGGATTCAGCTAGAGCTGACCTGGGATATCGAGGAAGATATAGACGAAGAATCCTGGTTCACTCACACTGTTCTTGGGCTGACGAGCGGTCTTCCGACGGTCGCCTTCGAGGCCATCCGCGACTTGTCTCTCTCGCAAGTTCCCCTTGGTGCCGCGATGGCACACGCCATCAACTTCAACACCCTCTCCTCTCTCAGGCTACGAAAGTGCCCGCTGTGGGACGACTTTCTGAAGAGTGCCATGGAGCTCAAAGTTCCCATAAAGTTGAAGACACTCGAGCTTCAGTACAACGACGACGTAACACAAAGTGAGCGAGGTGATGTCGTTGCGGGGGATTTCCTTGGCGTTTTTGAGGGACTCGAGGAGCTATTTTTCTGTAATCCAAAAGCTGAGATCGCTGTCGAACTATGGCACCGTGTCGTCCACCAACAGGCGACCCTGAGAAGATTTGTGCATCACCAGAGGTTAATCGGCTCTTCTGGTATCTCGAAGCAAGACATGGACTTCCCACCAGATCCTAGCATGCTATGGCCACAAGGCTATGGCAAGAACCGTGACATACCCCGGGTGGAAGAGGATTATCCCCAAAATCCACTCGCAAGCCTCAACCTTGAGTTTATTAGGCTGTCCTGTTACCAGGAGCTACTGGTAAGTGAAATACCTACTCAAGAACCACTGCAACGCAACTTATTGCTCACGAAACCGGGTAGGAAAGTTTTGGTCTGCCATTCATGAAGAAGGTTTCGTGGAAGATATTGCACATCTGTCAGTCTCACACCGACATCGTACACGGCGTCACAACGTCGGATATATATGACTCTACAGAGCACGCCTCGCCCGGGCGGCTGCTGCGGCTGGGGACCCGGAGGTTTGCCCAGTGGATCTTCGGACCTCAGAGAATTCAGTCGCTCTAGCTTGTCGTGTTCGGACACTACGCGCACGGAGTCCAATATCCGGAGAACTTCATTCTCTGCAGAAACACGGAAGAGAGAAGCGAAGCCCATTTCCGCCTCGTCAACCAAGGCGACCCAGAGGAGGATGTCTTGAATCAGTACCGCGACGCGCTGGGAGCGTGTGCGACAGAACCGCTTTTTTCGATGTGATGAAATTCGGTGTGCTGCTTTAGTGTTGAGCAGGCGTGGGTTTCGGTGGTGACAAAGAACGGATGCCCCCAGATGAGGGGACCATAGCCATGTCTTCTCCTTTTCTCACGCGACCAGCGCGTATGCTACTAGGTATAGCTTCTCTCTCTTCAGTTCTTAGACTTAAATTACCAGAATCAAATCAACAATAGGGATGCCCCCTTGCCTCGCCTTGATGCCATTTGTTACTCATAAATGAGGGACCGGGGGATTTACACTGAATCACCGGCGTATACGGATGTACGCCTGATAAAAACATGCAGACAAGAAGCTTATGCCGACAGCTTTGAGAGGAGAGTTGTTGTGGGAGACCACGTAACCACCGGGCTTCCTTCTCCTGACAGCCCACCTTGCCGAGGGATTCTCCTCCTCCCTTTAATAGGTGGTATCAATTGCCTATTTGCGAGAAACGCAAGACCGTGCGGCAAACGTTCGCGTGGGCTTTACACTTGATATGGTCTCGAAAGGGACAGTTTAAATACTAACAGGGCCACAGCGTGGGTTGCTTGCAGTGTTGATAATTATGTACATAATAACTACCATTACCTCTATGGTCTAGCATTAATCCGCGATGAGCATATCCAAGAGTCTGTCTCATCCCCCCATTAACTCAAGACCCTCGGTGACTGATTATCCCAAAAGTCCTCGCTCGTCCCGGTTTTTCTCCGATTTCCAAGGCACGTCTCCCGGTCACAGATGCAATTGCTTCATTAATTAGCCATCCCCAACGAGCTCTCCGGCAACCACAGCCTACGCCACGGCGCTCAATTGACTGGGCTTGACCGTCTTGTCCTGCTTCTCGCAGGTGATAGTTCGGCTGGAGTAGATCTCGCCAATCTGCCAGTCTGGGTTCTGATACGTCGCCTCCTCGCAGGTCAACGTGAAGTTGGTGGCACCATACGCAGTGAAAGTAGTCCTGCTCCTTGTCAGTCCCCGTTGCAAATCGCCCATCACTCGCCTTAAGAGCGTCAACGGCCCGAAGGGATGAACTTACGGGTACTTTGGGTCGGCATCGTCACAGGTCCAGGTTTGGCTAAGTGTCAACTCGCCCGTGGGACGGTTGAAAGTGAAGCTCGTCTTATCGTCGCACTTGTAGGACACGGTGCCGTAGAAGAAGTCGCTGAGCTGGCTGCTGGAGCCTTCGCAGTGGGTGATGGTTTGCTCGGCCGGGTTGACCAGGTCGAAGAACGCGTAGCCCCACGAGTTCTGGTGCGCTGGTGTTGAGAAGATGTACGAGGCGTGGAAGTCAAAGTCCTGCACTGTCCATTCGAACCCCTTGAAGGACGCCTTCGAGCAGCCCGCTGGGGACCTGGCGGTAGCTACGGGGGAAGCCGTGGCGAGACCGAGAAAAGGGACGGCCGCGATGACGGAGCGGAAGTGCATCTTGGCGGTGGTCTTTTTTCTGTTCTTTTTGTTCTTTCGGGTGTATTCAGGAGGAAAGAGAAGAGAGACGGGCAGAAAAGAATAGGTTTGTGATGAATGAATCAATGATTAAAAATTAACTTATAATGATCGCTGGGAGTGTCGATCTTGGCCGTTTGCGAGGATAACCCAAGCTCTTGGATCTCAGTTGGTCCACTTTGTTTGTGAGGAAATCGTCGTGTTGGGCTCAAAACCGGGAAAACAAACGAGTCGACGGGACGCTCGGCTATTTATACATCCATGACCCTTTCGCTCGTTCATGCATACCTACACGACGTCCCGCCGCTTCCCGTATTCCTTTTCACGGCGTGCGGGCGAGCTTGGCATGGTAGCTGGAACCGGCCCTGCCTTGTTGGTCCATTTCCACTGTAGCGAGTGCGACAATGGGGCGACCCCCGTTGGCCCCCAACCACGCGACGACGGTGGCACAGCCGAGAGCCGGTGGATGGATGCACCACCAAGCCACAGTGCAACGGCCCCAACGGTGCCGGTCACCCAGATGCCCTGCCAATGGATCGGTATTTGCGGATGTTCGGATGAAGCCTGAAGGAGCCGTGTGATGAGCCAGGCACAGACTTCCAGCTATTAACCTTAACCTTAATGCGAGCGGGCGGTCGCATTGATGAAAGCCATACCATTCCCCTCCTCTCCTTCTTCATACATGGGGTATCAGGCAGCGCGGGTGGTCGGTCATGAACTTGAAAACGGTCGTGTCTGGGCGAAAACGCGGCATGTTTTGGGACCGATTGCGCTGCGCGAAGCGCATCGTTGACGAGCTGAGGTGCCGCCTCGTGCAGTCACGACGTGCCGTTGTTCCAATATTTCGATGCAACGTATGTCTTACCGCCTAATTCCTGGTCTTGTTTTCAGCTTCCATCACGAGAAATCTCGTATTGATCGAGCCGACACGGGAAAAGCGGTGGCAAGACCTGGCTCTGCAACCTTGAAGCTGGGAATGGACTGGTGTCTGCGGAAATCCCGCGAAGTGGAGCGAACGGTGCTCGGTTTTAATTGGTGGCCTGTTTGGAGCCCTGTCCGCTGGTTTCCGCCTCGGCACATGTCATCACCACGGGTCGACGAACCGCATTCCTCATCCGTTGTAATCCGATTTTCCGTTCATCTTTCTCTCCGATCTCTTCGCTCGATTTCCTTGCCGTTCCTCGTGCTAAACTTGGCTGGAAGCTCAGTCTAAGAGTTCAGCTACGAAGCACACCGAGTGTCTTGGTCCCCTGAACAACCTCGACGCTTACACAACAGGGTATGGCCGATCCCGGCAGTCCGCAGAGCTTTCGATGTATCGCCTCGTTCAAGACACAATTGTGAAAGAAAAGGCGAGAAAAAAGAGCAAGAAAAGCACGGACCTGAGAAAAGACGAAAGGGAAAAAAACCCCATCCTACTAGTAAATGTACAAAATGCCCAGCAAAATCGATTGAGTCTTCAGGGTGATAGGATAGGTCTTGGCGTAGAGATTTTACACCCTGTTTGCCAGTGTTGTGATATCATTAAATCACTACTTTAGTAATATTGCCCGGGTTCCTCTCTTTTCGTCCCCCATTATTGTGTTTAACGTCAATGATCACCTTCATTAATAATCAAGTTTATGCCCTCATTCAAAACCTCCGTGGGTTCCTGGATCCTACTAGGACTCTTAAACTAGAAACCGTATTGGCCGTAACTGCACGACAACATCGATTACCGAGCGCCATAGGCAAATGTGGTCTGTATGCAAACCGCCGGCGATAATTGTAACCCAGGTCTTCCAAAACGACAGGTGGTCCCCAGGTCTAGCCATACGGCTCGACTCTAGGGACTGGTAGATGAGGACAGACAGGAGCTGAGTAATTGTAAAATCCAAAAACTAACCCTAAAGTTGGTTCATAGATGCCACATATCCGGCTCTCAAAGTAGAGTTCAAAATTCAGGAATAGATCTCCACTAACTAGGCTGGGAGATAATTACCTAAGCAACATGGTATGATGCTGGTATTGTCCTGTAAAGGCGTCCATAATACCTGTACAACTGCCAAGAATCAACCGTTTATCCCTTCGGGGAACCCGGTAACACATCATTAAACAGGTATTGTACATGGTAGTGCCAGTTCAGCTTGGTTTGGTTGGGCAGCTGGTTCAGCAGAGTGGTCTACTCAGCCACATAATTAATGGCAACTTTGTGTGACCCCTGAAACTGGTCAGCGTAAGGCGGTGATTCTTTTGTTGCTCTCGATTTCATTCCCAGCTTTTGCATTTATTCATGTCTCTCCATCGTTTCCCATCCGCGGGCATATCGTTTTCGGTCATCAGAGATCGGTAGAATGACGATGGGCTATTTTACAGCTCCATGTTGTTAGCATTGGGCCGTGAGGGGTTTCATTTGGTACCCCAGCTTACGGTCGCGTTTGAAGACGAAGTTAAGATCCACTTCATGTGGTGAAAGTTGATGGTAAAATAAAATTCCTGCCCGCTCTATTTTTGGTTCACAATCCATTCATACATTATACACTCGTTGATTACTCCGCATCAAGGGGCGCCCTGGGTGGCGTGTCGTTGACCTGGACACCACCACGCTTTTTCTCGTGGCTGTCCGGCATGGGCAAGGCCCAGCCTCCTTCACCCTCCGGCGTGGCCAGCCACAACCGGAGCAGATGCCTTCGTGGTGCGGGGGGAGCAAAATCTAGTTAACAACCCGTGTTAGCGCACCGACGCTATGCTTAAAAGAGTTGTGGTTGATGTACTCACCCTTGTATGCCGTCCGCGCATGCAACAGATGCGCGTTGCTCACAAACTGCACGTCTCCAACCTCAAGCACCATATGCAGCGCCTCACGCTGGCACGTCTCCTCAAGGATCTCCATCGCCCGCTTCTGCGCCTCCGACAACGGCGGCACCTCACCACGCTCCTCAAACCGCTTCAGGCTGCGCACATAGTACGGATCCCACTTGCAGTACAGTCGCCCCTGACCACCATTCTCCAAGTACACCACCGGTTGCCGCAGGTACTCGTCCTGGCCCTCGCTGACCTCGCCCTTGCGGTCAAAGTACCAAATCGGCTGGGTCAGCAACTCCGCGACATCCGGGTGCTCACGCTGCAGCACGTTCCAGACATTATGCACACTGACAATGTCGCTTTCGCCGCCCTCCTGTGCACGGTTCACGCAGAGCAGGCCGACTACATCACCGTCGTCGGCGTGGAAGAATTGCCGCGCAGCGGTGCGGTAGATGCGCACCGAGTGGATCTGGGTCGGGTCGTCACCGACGTCCTTGACGTGGCCCAGGATGTGGCCGCGCCCGTTTTGCGAGATGGGGTAGCCGAGGTAGATGCCGAGGCCTAGGTAGGCGACGGCGTTCTTCTCGGGGGACCAGAGGCCGGCCGGGAAGTTCTTGAGGAGGGTGAAGCCTTTGCCGTTGAGGAGGTCGTCCCGCAGGGCAGCGAGAGACGCGGAGAGTGTGGGTAAGGGGAAGGTGGCTTGGGAAATCCCCGTCAGGGGGGCGCCCGAGGCGATGTAGCCGTCTGCTGCATCGGAGAGTTCGTTGATTTCTTGTGTGGTGAGAGGGTGCACCCAGCGTTCTGGGTGGGATGTGAAGTCGGAGGCCTGCCAGACGGTGGGGCCGGTGATGTGCTTGGGGAAGGCGGAGTAGGGCTTGAGGGTATCATAGAGGGGAGGGTGTTGGCCGGAGGTCCGGATGCCGTCTGGGAAGAGGTGGCGTGGAGCGTTCTCGTTACTCTTACTGGGTTGGTGTGCAATGGGGGACGTGTGGAAGAGCTCAGCCTGCGGCTCGTCAAGGAGGACGCCGGGTGCCATTGTGTTGGTGGGAGTGGTATATCAGGGAGATGAGAGATTCTGCCTTGCTCGTGTCGAAATCTAGGCTTCGAAAATCATACAATTGGCCAGGAAAGGGCAGGAGAACGTTGTGATTCTGGCTGTTTGATGTCGAGAAAACAGAAATCTCGAGGTGAGCACGAGGGGCCACAGCAGGCGGTATAAGTACCCCCCTCGATAACCTTCGCACCATAACGACACATCTCCTTGTCCGGAGCAGCGGGAAATGCTTTGTGAGCGAGCACAGGCAATGGCGTGATCGCATCATCGCCCGATGAGGAAGCCACCTGCAAACAGAATGGAGTATCCGATTCCGCTGCGGCAAGTTGGTCCTGCTGTGTTAGCGAGATCCTGCGGTGTTGCAAACACCCGGCTCGGCGGGATGTTGGATGACATGCGTTATGGCCATTGCGAGATCGAATCAGGAGATGGCGTGCTGAGCACCGGCCATGTTATCAACGCGCATCCGCCCCGCAAATGTCTCCCTGGGATCCCGGTTCCGCTCCGGAGCCCGGCTTAGCAATGGGAAACTCGGCTTCCTAAGCGCATTCTTTGGCGCGCGCCGGTTCGGAGGGCGGTCTGTCGAGCGATGACGATGAGGCTCGGTGAGTTGAGAAGTCAGGTGGAGCCTTGGCGATGCGCTATCAGATGCTGGGCAATGCTTGGTGTTTTACCCCGTGGGATTCCGACCGCTCCGAGCCGTCAAACTCGGCGCGCGCTTCCCGGAGGGCGAAATCAACAAAACCATCAGATCCATTTATTTGCTAGTGTAATTACATAAAAGATCGTTAGCCGCGACTCGATTACGACGCATAGTCTTGCCTGTCATGGTAAACTTACCTAGGTATTGATGGTAGGTTCAAGAGGTATCTACTTCCGAAGCTGCTCATACCGTCAGACCGTCTGAAAATGTCGAGGGTTCCCTGGCTTGATCATTTTTAGTGAAGCCACACTTCGTGAACTGGCGGATTGACCAATACACGGGCGGCAAAAATGGAACAATGTCTGTGATATGGGGTGCTGAGACAGCTCGATGGGGCGCGTGTTGTTGCGGTGGGGAGTTGACAACCGAAATCCCGAATGTTTTGGGCGCAATGTTTTGGAGGAAGCATGGTTGTTTTCCGAGGCGCTGGATGAGAGACTTTAAACGCCTGCAGATGTCGGGGGGTGCTGGTGTTAAACTTATTGGCCAACAAACAGCCAGCGCTCTGCGCTCACTTTCTCAAATGACGGGATCATTAATTCTTGGGTACATACATAGTTACATATTATCCTAGCTGGAAATCGAAATATTTCTTCATTGGAGGTCATAAATTCGTTCAGGCATTGGGTACTTCAATCATGCTTTACAACACCTCGGTATGTGATTATAGATCTATATAACTTTCTTAATTCCAAGTTCGCACTCTGCCAAGGTATGTGAAACGCAAATGTAAGCAGTGGCCACGCCATTTTTGAAGGTGTAAATTAAGTGCTGCCGGTTACCTATACTGATTGAAATACTAATTACTTAGTTACCTTAGGTACAGTATCTAATTCCCATAACTAGGGGCTTGTGTTGTCCCCTTTGTCATAGACATCTTTAAACATCTCCACGGTGAACAAATCCCTTCGGTTCGAAAGTTGATCATTCACGGAAATTATGTTTCCATCAACTGCACTTGACACCTTCAGCTTGAGCAAATATGCGCACCATTTTTCTGGAGTGCCAAGGAACAAAACACTGCGCTGAGGACTGAAGAGGGAATCATGTGGTTGAAAGTTGCAATGCAGAGTAACTTCGGCAACAACCTGCTCAAACTCTCTTAAAAACGGCACGACGAAAAGGCTTCGACTGGGTGTGCAACCAATCGGCGTTTTTACTCACCCTTGCCACGCTAACAGCGACAGCCTGTAGTGCACGCAACTTTGTTTAATTCCACGCGTCCCGGATACATCTCGCATAGATTTCCCTCTAAATCGCTGAGCAACCTGAGCCTCTTCAATCACCATTGCCGCAACGTTCATACTCAAAATGGCCGGTTCATTTCCATGCCATTCGCTCCCTCGGCATCCTTCGTCCCCACTTCGGTAAACATCCCCTTCAGTGCGAGGGACTAAACCAATGGGTGAGCTTCCGCGGGCAAGGAAGGGTGAGCCGAACATGCTCAATCCCGCGCGTTCCTGCAGCAACCCCCTCTGTTGTATTTGGTCGTCTGCCTGCTGACCATCCGAACTATGTACTAGGTTGGGTTGTCTCGTTGAGTCTACAAATACATGACTTATGTTCGTAATGACTTCAGATTGTTTCACCTCCATCGGATAACTTTCACGAATTGAGACGGCCAAGGCAAATCCAAGCTGTGGTCCACCACCTACCTAGTCCAAGACTCCACGGCACATCGGCCCCCACTAGCAGCCATGGCAGCCGCACCATGCACCCCCTCTACCTTCACAGACACCATCTCCCTCTTCGGCGGGAAAGTCCTCACCACCACCGCCGCCCTCGTCACCAACTACTCAGCCTCCGTCTCTGCCCTGGACCGCTACACCCAGCCCCCCATCGAGGTCCGCGACGCCTCCTTCTGCAACATCACCGTCACCTACACCCACCCCAACCAGGGCGATACCCTGATCGTCGAAGCCTGGCTGCCGTCGCCGGCTGAGAAGTGGAATGACCGGCTTCAGGCGGTTGGTGGAGGTGGGTGGGTAGCTGGTCGGAGCGTGCAGGCCTACGGTACGATGGCCGGGGCCGTTGCGGATGGGTATGCGGCTGTGACGACGGATGCTGGGCTGGGGAGTGCGCAGGATGCGGGGCCGTGGGCGTTGCGGAGTGAGGGGAATTTGGATTATGTGGCGCTGGAGAATTTGGGGTCGGTGTCATTGGAGGATGAGGTGAGTCTTTATGTTCGCTTGTCTTTGTGGGAAAGGGAGGTGGAAAGGGGGGAGATGGATTGTTGTCTGACAGAAGTTAGGCCATCATCGCCAAGTCACTTATCAAGACCTACTATGGTCGCGGCCCGGCCTATTCGTACTGGAACGGTTGCTCGCAGGGCGGACGGCAAGGTCTGATGCTTGCCCAGCGGTATCCGACAGCGTACGACGGCATCGCGGCCGGCGCGCCGGGGATCCAATGGACTGATTTCTTCCCGACCATGTTCTGGCCGCAGCAGGTTATGAACCTGCTCGGTGAGTATCCCAGCCCCTGTGAACTACAAGCTGTCACCGCGGCTGTGGTTACGGCCTGCGACAAACTTGACGGCGTTGTGGATGGGATCATTGCCGATGTCGACAAGTGTTTGACTACATTCGACCCCTTCTCCCTAGTCGGCCAGAAACTCAAGTGTAATGGTGATCAGGAAGAGTCCGAAGCCCTTATCAGTGAGGCCGCAGCCGTGGTAGCCAACGCCACATGGAAGGGCCGTCGCAACGCGCAGGGCGTGCAAGTCTGGCCTGGACTCGACCCGGGCACCGATATTACCGCCGGCGTGGCTACAACCAATTGCACTTCGGGGACATGTGTGGGTGTGCCGCTGCCCATCGCTACGCAGTGGTTGACATTGTTTGTCGCACGGGATCCCGATTTCGATTTGTCTAACTTGACCCACGGCGAGTTCGACTGGCTCGCCCACCAAGGCCAGCAGCGCTACGGGTCGTTCATTGGGACCGACGACCCGGACCTCTCTGCTTTCCATGGTGCTGGTGGAAAGCTCGTCACCTTTCATGGTTTGGTAAGCGTGCTGGGCCGTTTAGCTCTATGGGTATCCTCAAAACGGGAGTGCTGACGTTTTGGCTAGGTCGATCAACTCCTGCCACCTAAAGGCACCGTCAACTACTACAAAAAGGTCTCTGGTGTGATCCCCGAAGTGGACGACTTCTATCGTCATTTCGAAGGCCCTGGGCTGGGCCACTGCGGGATAATGGGCACGTCGGGCCTCCCGGTCGGCCTCTTTGACCAGCTTCGTGCGTGGGTTGAGAACGGGACGGCGCCGGATCAGACGCGGGTCGATATTACTGACCTGGAGGGAGAAACTCAACGGCGCATTCTGTGTCCCTATCCGCAAAAAGCGGTGTTTGACAAGGATTGTGGTGCGACGGGTGACGAAAAGTGTTGGTCCTGTGGTAAGGAGTGATTTGTTACATTGATGGTTCCAATACTCGCCGCTCGGGCGTCTGGTGTAATTACTTTTTACTTCATGTCCATACCTTTGGCCAGCCCCTGCTGTGGGAATCAATTCTATGCCGCATTCATGTATTTTCTGTGGAAAGTATGGCGGACCCACACCCGATGCTGAAAGGCTTTGGTTGGCATGATTCGTGAGACAAGAAAGAGCGATCTTGACCGATATTTGGTGTTGCAGCCCAAGCTCCACCTCCACCTTCTGCTCAAGCGTCTACCAATTACAGAGTTGATTTCTCGTTGACAATTGAAGAGTTGGCCAAATGCCTAGCTGAGCTTGCAGATGCAGGTTCCAGGTGGCACCGCTTGCATCGTCTAATGGTGGCAAATATCGGGTGGTCGTGTACCTGGTATTCTGTAACACGGTTTTACATTTTCGCCCCGCTTCTCCGAGGAAAACTTTCAGATGCCCAATGCTTAAGTCTCTACTTCAACACTCGTTCTCTTAAACAACCTTCGATCTTTTCTTTCTTTCCCAACATCAAGCACATTTCAACGCTGCCAAAGACAAATACCGACCGCCCACCATGGAATCCGACTTCACCCCCACCAACGACACCGGCCTCGTCCTCTACGACATCGCCCCAGCCCCGCCTTACCCCAAGCACAACGCTGCGCCCAACCCCTGGAAGGCCCGCTACACCCTCAACTTCAAAGGCCTCCCGTACACCACGCACTGGGTACAAATGGGTGAAATCAGCGCCGTGCGCCAGGCTCTCGGCGTTCCCGCCTGCCGCAAATTCTTCGACGGCACCGAATACTACACTCTGCCTGTCGTGACTGACGGCTCCACGGGCGCTAAAGTCGGCGATTCCTTTGACATTGCTGTTTATCTCCAAAAACAGCACCCTGAAGCGGGCGCAGGGAATTTATTCCCTGGGGGTGTGGACTTGAACTATGAGTGCTCGGCGGGTATGGTGGGGTTCGGCGTGCCGTTGTCAGAGGAGAATTCGCGGGAGCCGACAGCGGTGTATGCGCGTTTCAACACGAATGTGGACATGGTCTTCTCGATTCACGCGCAGCTCATGGCGGAGGGGATGAAGTGGGCGCCGGAGCGCGAGGCCGCGATCAAGGCCGAATTTGCGCGACGGGCGGGCAAGGCGACGTGGGAAGAGCTGGTGGGTTTGGATGCGGCCGGGCGGGAGAAGTTGAGGGCATCGCTGAAGGAGATGGTCAAGGATTTGGCTGCGCTGTTTCAGAAGGAGACGTCGGGGCCTTTTTTGTTGGGGACGCAGCCGTGCTATGGGGATATCATTGTCGGTGGGTGGTTGAGGATGATGAGCAGGACGTTGCCAGGGGAGGAGTGGGAGGAGATTCAGGGTTGGTATGATGGGGTGTTTGGCAAGTTGCATGCTGCGTTGGATGAGCGGTTTGGGGAGGTGAAGGAGTGAAATGGGTTCTTCATCTCGCGAAATCATTTAAGACTGGGTGAATGTCGAAGGGTTCAGTGAGCAAAGGATGCCGTTGGACCCAAACCAATAAATGGATAGGGATATGGCGTGATTCACCAAAAAGGGACGACCCCGTCATCCGAAGGAATATCAACGATTGCTTACTATGCTGAATATGCTTTGTCATGTATCCCCAAGGCCAACCAGCCAGTGATGATGCCTATCTATGTGCAAACCTTTATAGACTCCCTCCGGGAACCAACCTTTTTAATGGATGCGCCTCCGTGTTAAATACATATTCGTCCAAGCTGATCAGATCCGGCTCACTGAAGATGAGGTAGAAATACTTGAGCGTTTCTCCCAGCCAGAAACTCTCCATCGAATCGCTCTTCTGTGCCTCGCCCCCGCCCAGGGTAACATCCTCAATCGCCGAGTTTGCCAGCGGCGTCTTGGTATGCTTTTCAATGGCCTCAAACATCTCCCATGCCGACTCCAGTAGGTCTTTGCGTCCTGTAATCCGATACAAGATGAACACGCTTTCAATAGCTTCTGGCCGTAGGACATAGCGTGTGTCTCCAATCGATACGAAACCCTTGGGGATCCGCTTGTTCTTGATGATTTCGTCCGCCTGCTTCGGGTCGGCGTTTCCGTGGAATCCAGCCCTCGACAGCACCGCCTTCCGCCACTTGTCTTCGTCCCATTTGCACTTTTTGCGGTCCTCGCAAGGCAGCATGTTGAACGACTCGGGCATGATACCAGAAGGCAATGCGCGGTAGGTCCAGACACAACCGTCCGTTAGCTTGGAGCCGACTTCGACGTGGGTTGAGTTCTCGATCAACTTTCCCCCCAGAGCAAACATACCGCCAACAAAGCACACCAGGTGTTGCGCGTCGGGCCGGAACTGGCGCACCACCTCGCTCTTCTCCTGAATACGCACAGCCATAACTCCCGACACCAGCACGTCCGCTTCATCCGGCAGCATCGGTCGGAACAGATTAGCCCGCATCGCCGTGTCCATCGAAATCTCATACATTTCCCGATACTCCGGTAACAGCCCGCCCACCAGTGCATGCGTCTTGGGCAGGTACTCATACAGCGAATCCGCCATCGCCCCCAGCGTATAATCCTGACCGTTTCGAAAGTCCGCCTTGCGCGCGTTCACCACAATCGGCCACATCCCCGGTAGCCTCGTCTCCATCTGCTGTGCCCGCAGCGGCTCAATGATCCGCTGCACCGCATCAAACCACTTCGGATCGCCCGTCAGCAGCGACAGCCGAATAAACTCGAGCGAGAAGGTGCCAATCTCCGCCAGCAGCACATGGTCGTCGGCGCGCTGCGTCTTGCCCCATCCGGCAGCCCACGCGTTCCAGCGCGTCATCGGCATGCGGTTGGGGGTGTCGAAGGCGACATACAGCAGCTCGCCGACCTCGCGGGCCTTCGCCAGCAAGCGCCTGTCGCCGCTGAGGTCGTACGCGGCGAGAAAGCCGCCGAGGTAGCGGATGGTGGTTTCGAACACATTAACGTCCTGCGACGACGGGACGCGGTCGAAATTGATCTTGGTCGCAGCCGCTTTGGCCGCTTCGGCGAACTCGTCTTTGAGATCCATGATCCAGAGCGTGTCGAGGCTGTCGACGAGGGTCGCGCCCCAACCGCCGAAGGGATCGTACCGGTCGCCCGTGACGGGGGTCAGTTCGTCGCTGAGCCAGGCGTGTTTGCGGTAGGACTGCCAGCAGCGTTGGAAAGACGCCTTGACGGCGTCTCGGCGTTGGAGGCGGATCGTGCGCTCGGATTCGGATTCGGGGTCGAAATCTTTTTGGATCTTGGGCAGCACGAGGGGCTCGCCGGTCGGAAGGGCCCGCATGTCGGTAACGGGGAATTGCGTTTTGAGTCGGGCCCATTTCGACTTGGACTTGGGCAATGGGATGGCGCCGTTGGGTAGTCCGTCATGGGCGTGGGCGATGTCGCCGCCCAGTGGGGTCAGCAGGAGGTCGTCGTCAAAGCGGTCGCGGAAAGAGTACAGGAAGAGCAGAATCGAGCCGGCGACGAGAAGCGCCAGCGTCCGTCGTCGCCCAAACACCGGCATCTTCACGGTCGGGGTGAGCAGCGCGTGCTGCAGCTGTTGCGGGAAAGAGCATGCAGAAGCGGGATGACCGAGTTGACGATGGGTAGGAGGTTTCGCCCCGAACCCGAGATCCCGAGCATCCGAAGCAGTGGCCCCGCCCGTCAGCCTAAGCCGCGGGCGCTTGTGCTTGGCAAGCCCAATGGATGTTGCATTCGTTCTTTGTTCCGTCTGAAACGGGACCGATTGAAATGTAAACGTAAATTACTGCCAGCTGTCAGCGAACTGCAAGGTGGGCATGGCGATGAGGCAATCGAACAAAAAAAAATGTGAAGGACGCAGGAAACCGTTTATGATATCCCACTTGGCGCAAAGATCTTCGTGGACCTGAAAATTTACCGCTTTCGGCAACTCTGTTCGAGGGTTCCTACAGGGGTTAAACTTTTGGTTCATTCAACCATTCAAACACGAGGCGAGGAAAAAATATGGGTTTTACCCATTCTGTACCACCGTCCTCCACGTGGGTGTGCAGTGCAGCTCAATTCACGGGTGGTGTGCGTCCCTCGGAGCAGGCCCGCGCCGCAGTGCCTCGGTCATTGATGGGCTGGGCGGCGGACCGTGGACCTTGTCGGTGGGCCGCATTGCCGGCGCCTGCGCGGTCGCCCGCTTCATCAGCGGCGACTCATCTGAATCGTTGGGCGGGGCGACCATCGACGGCGCGTTGAGCGAGTGCCGGGCGCGGGGCAGCGCCAACAAAAGTCACCCGCGACGCCGCCTCTGTAAGGGCTTCGTAGTCGGCGGCCCGTCCCTGAAATCTTCGTAGATCTTCTTGAACGGCTCGGGGAGAAGGTCGAGATCCAGGAAGCCGAGCTTTTCGGCATGTATAGGGATGAAGGGGAAGTGCTGCACCACATGCGCGCCAAGCTTCGTTTTATCGTCGCGAGCCATGATGCGCATCAACGCCTCAGTCATAATGTGCGCCTTCAGGACAAGGACTACAGTCTGGTCCAAGTGGAAGGCTCCCCACTCTGGGGGACGTTCGTAAAACGGGAGAGCAGTCCGGTCGCTCGCAAGCGCAAGGTACGGTGGAAGCTGGCACGTTCTGGGGCGCGCGAGAGTAGCGCTTAGCGGTGGCAGGAACCAGATCGTCTCGGACTGCGGAAAGAGGGAGATGGCATAACCGGTCTCTTCTTGGATGTGCATGTGGAACGCCGGATGCGGACACCGGCTGTTTGGAGAGTTCCCCTTGATACACTTCAAGGTATCCGGGCACGCAACCAGGGTGTGGCTGAAGTGACTAGTCCTGAGAACCTGGCCCGCGGCAGCCGTTTTGGCATCTGGGACGACGAAGTGGAGCCCCTTTGGAAGGTTAGCGTGGCATTCATAGTAGGTAGGTAGTTTGTTTCTGAACCAGGGTAGCACAGGGCGTAACATACGTCACACTGAATTGGGACGCCGTGAGTTGCCCAAAGGAAATGATACCACAAGACGCAAGGAATCTCGGCAGCGTTGAGGCCCCTCGCCACTGAGTCAGCAAGCTCTTATGACTCGTCCCTGCCCATCGAGAAGCGTGCCCTGGCAGTCGTCATTTTAGGCTTCCGGTTGATATGCCGCCGGATTGGAAGATTTGTGGGATTGTATATTGGTAGGTATCAATGCACTGGGTTCGGGGGTGGCTCGATGCAGGGGGAATCGAGTCCAGAAAGCCCTGGGGGGCATGGGAGATTTAAGTAGGAAAGTTGAGGAAGGGCCTCGAGGGCGGGAGGATGCAACCGCCAGACCTCCTAAGCCCCGAGATAGCATCGAGGCCCTATGCCCGAGAGTCCGGGTCTCGGGGAGGGTCAGGTTCGATGCATTGTTTGCCTTGGACTTGTACTGCCGCATGCGGCTGTAGAAAGGCAGGATACCCTACTTCGACTTAGCCGCTGGCACAAATACCAGCGGCTGGTTGCGGGCCGTCTCTATTTCTGCGCTGGCACCCTCTCGGGCGGCAAGTCAGGCCACTGCTAGGTGGCACAACCTTTGCCGTATCTTTTTCGGCGCCGCTTGCGGCTTTTACTTTCTGCCACAGACCTTCGGGCCGCGAGACGCCACGTCGTACAGCCTTTATCCTATCCTCTCCGTCGGCCGCCGGCCAAAGCGTCAGGCAGTACAGGCACATCTCTCTTGGAATGCCGAAAGAGGTCGTTATTGAGGCTCGAGGGGCAAACAGGTACCTAGGTACCTTAAACGTGGCACCCCACTAATTAACAAAGAAAGAGGAACACCAAGCCGTACACAGCGAGGGCTGTGCAAAGAAAGATCTGGTATCAAGTCCCAAAAAAAAGCTCCCGGCTCGACCCAGGAATCCAGAAGCTTCCGCGGTCTCTGCTGCGAGTCACCGCCCCAGCGCTGAGCCCGTCGACAGCATAGGTAGGAGATGATGCCGCACATTGACACTTCAAGGCACCTCAACCACAACCATGAAGGGGAGATTGCGCTATCCTCGAACGGGATGTTTGCCGCCTAGTTGCCGCTCGAGCGATCGCCAGAGCCCCGGTACGTCTTCCGCTACCCCCCGCTGGAACCCTCCCCGGGGAACAAAGAGAGGCAAGATGTAAACGGCAATTCTAGATGTTAGGGGGTTGATAAGCTCTCTTTGTTTTACAGAACAGCGCCGCAACACCTGCCTCTCTACAATTTCTCATCCTGCTCTCGAATTCATTTGTGAAGCAGCCGTGGAAAACGGGTGAAAGTGCCTTGTTGGGGGTTTTGACCTTTGAGGCATTGGATCTGTCTGGACAGGACGGTACTGCAGTGCAGAGAGCCATGGACCTAGTCTCCAGCGTAAAATATTCTTTTACTCTGCTTAACTATATCGCATGTTTGATGTTACTTGACACATAATGGAACTGTGGTTATTACTAGAATCAGGTAACTAAATAATAGGGATTGAAATATATCAGCCATTAATACGGCGAATCCACTACCGTTTTCCTCCACACACTTAATGTAGCCTTGTCGTATTTTTTTTAAACTCTAGCAAAGATGGCATATCCGCACGCCCGTTCACGATATACTGTCCACCTGTCTGTTCCTGCTCGATATCCCCTGTTGACCAACCAGCGCGAAATCCTCATAAATAAGTCCGGGCCAGGTCCTGCTGTAGGTCATCAACAACATCCTCAACTACTCCAAGCTCAACACCGGTCACTTCTCCATCCACTCCGACATTGTCGGCGTCGTCATCATTGTCACCCCACAACCCCTTTGTGAACAGGAGGATAACCACACCCGCCCCATAGTGGCTGATCCGGCGGCTGATCCAAAAA